TTTATTATTATACCTGTGCCTCTGCGGTTCCACTTTGTTTTGCATGGTAATCTTTCCCCACTCTTCGTTGTGTGCTCATGTTCCTATGTGAATCCTATATATAGGTTGTGCCTCCCTTTTTCATGTTATTCACCCATGGTTGTGCACTCTGTTACCTGCAACTCCATTGCTGCTAATGACAGCAAGAGTGTTTTATGAATGCTGCAAGGATTGCCACATTTCAGACTGCATTCATTTTTAAACAGCTAACAATATGGCAGCCTGGTGAACCCCATATACTGCAGTCCACTCAGAAGTATCCCAGGGGACCAGTCTAGGCCGGGAGAACATTGTGGAGAACATTGTGATTGAAGCCCACGAGCAAATGCCCTTCACAATACTTACCTGCTTTCTTACTCATGCATTGTTGTGCCAACTGACATTCCAGTGTCAGTCCTGCTATTTTAATCTGCAGATGCCTGTCCTGTGAGGCAGCAGCCCATATCCCCCTTGCCAGCCCTCCCATGGAAGTGGCACCTACTCCTCGTTTTGTACACCAGTCCTGTGTGTCCCTTTGTTTTGTGCTACTGATCCCTAGTTAAGTATTGTGTGCTGCCCATTGTGCCCTGACCTCCTAAGAGTGACCGACTGAAAACAGGAAATTCTGGAAAAAGTAGATGTACAAAAGTCACGGTGCTGTGACATATTCAGTACATCATGTGCCATGTGACTGAAACGGTGGTATAAGCATGCATAAGTTATGTATGCTTCCTGTTGCTCTATTATTCATGTGGTTATGTTACACATAGTAACAGGACAACAAACATATCCTATACTTCCGGCTCAGCTCTAACTCCCATTCACACCACGGATGACAACTTTTAAACAACAATTTACTGGACTTGTGACTCTCAGAGAAACAAAGAAAAACTACAGTTAAGTTAGTTAGGGGATTAGTTAGTTTATTTATTTGTAAATTTTGTGACAAAACTACCTTCTACTTTCTACTAGCATGTATCCAACCTTTCTCCTCCATCTACAATTTCTCCACAATAACTGTTTAAGTCTTATAAACAATAAAACAATTTTCCCATACGTAATCTTGTACATTAGTCATCATTGCCACGCCGCTTGCCAGGTCCGTTCCTGCCAGAGAGCAGTATGGGTCCCGGCAGGCGCGCATCGTTGCGGGGGCATTCCCACACATCAAGGGTAATGCCGCCGGATCCTTACCTGTCTTGCAGACACCCGCACCACATGCCTTTAAGCGGACTGGGACCCGGCGGGCGCACCTCGGTCTGGCGGCATTCTCACATGGTAATGGGAATGACGCCCATCACTCACCTCAGCTTCTGACAGGAGCTCTTCACCCTCACACAGCGGCCCGGCCGGGTCTGCAATCAGTAGAGACGCCGGCCGCTGCAGATAAGATGCTTTTAAGGGCTTTGTAATTAACCCTTAGAGTGCCATTCCATTTTGAACGTTTGGGTGTGTTACACACACGCGTCCACTATCACATGCTTCCCTGCACTCAATCAGGGAGCACCTCAGGCTATATATAGCTTTTTTGTCCATTTCTCTGTGCCCTGTTGTGGTTTCCATTGTGGTTATCAGAGAGCGCATTTCTGGTATTGATTCCAGTGTATTTTGACCTTGGCTTTCCTTCTGTCTATCTGATCTATCCCTTGACCATTGGCTTGGCTCCTGACTAGCCTGACTTCTCTTTTCCTTGACCCTTGGCTCGTTCATTGTTTCCGTGATTTCTGCGTTCTTGTCCATACCTTGTCCTATGGTTTATTCTTTTATATGTTAAATCCAGCCATTCTAAGGCCCGGTAATACATCTTAGGGTTTTCTTTATTTTTTACTTAAGTTCTGCGTGTTGGGCATCAGCTATTCCTGACAATCATATACTTAAAATACTTTCATGTAATATTTCACCCCCTTCCTAATTTAAACTCTTTGCTATTTTAAATATACACCCTTCTACAGCCTTCATTCCAACATCCAGTTCACACCCCTATGTTACATTTTGAATGTCATATGATAGGCCTATGAATTAGTAAATATAGAATTATGCTCATAAATGAATTCCCTGTTGAAAGACTTTGAAAAAAAAAAATTTACATTATGGGTGCATCTTCTATATCCTAACATAAGTGTGGAGTGCTCATTTTTTGCAAAGTGAGTTTTAATACACGTGTTATTCTTTTTAATTCTTTATTTGTTCGCAAAGGAATTTCACAATAACCACAATCATATATACAAAGAGTACAGCGTGCAGTAACACATACAGAGTTACTATGTGTATCACATCAAATAATTATATACCGATCCTCCAGAAGACAAAGAAGGATTATATACCATTTAATTAGCAGAAGAAAAAGGAAAGAATAAAAGAACAATGAAAGATATGAAATGGAAAAAGGGATTAAGGGGAGAGGGGGGGTAAAAGATGCCTCCCCGCCATGGACGTGTTATTTATGCTCTTGTCTCATGGATGGTATTTAAGCGTAGAAAAAACAGCACTATGCTAGATATCGCATAAAGTCTTTAAGTACATTTAAATCAATAATATCTAGAATAAGTCTTTAAACATGCATTTAAATCAATCATATTACATATCCAGTATTATTATTAGAATTTATATAGTGCCAATATATTCTACAGAGCTTAACAAATATCAAAAGGTGGATATTTGAAGGCTCTTCTCAAACAATCTGTGTTCGGTATACGAATATGAGGTGGGCAGATATATATTGTTGGGTGTCTTGACTATGGACACTTACTGGTAAGGTGGTTTGACTAAGATTTGAACAAAATTTTTCATTACCGCTGCTGTAATCAGCCAAAATCACTACTATAATGTTGTATTTGATTAATGGAGATTTTTAGTACCTCTCTTGCTATAAACTTGTTATGGAGTGAAAAGCAAAGAACAAAGTAACGATTAAGACCTAGTAACATTAACCTTTTACTACTAGGGCACATTTCCCAAAACAAGTCCTGTTTTTTTCAGGCTCCTGTCCTGACAAACACTGGTCATGGTAGGTGTCTCACAGGAGGTACCTGAGCTCATGTTAGCTTGTTGTTCCCCATGTGTAGCCTCTGCGCTAGGAGGCATGCAGAGAGTTACGCAGGGATTAAGAGGCAGAGAGGACGAAGGGAGATAGAAGGGGAAGATGGAGTCTGGATTAGTAGTAACCGAATAATAAATGAGGATCAGAGAAATTTTGAGTAGGGCATTGACGACAATATTACTAAACACCTTCAAGTTCCAGTTGTCTCTGTTTTTTTTTTTACTCAGTCTTACTCCGTGTGTGACGTGCTCAGAGTGAGCACATGTGCAAATAGTGCAATTTTCAAACTGTCCAGAAGTGCCTCTGGTCTCTTGAAGATTGCGAGCAGCTAGTGGTGGAGTCTGATTATAATGATGCACGGGAGTACAACACTGAAGTCTATGGAGGATGCCACAAGACTGGGAGTCTTTATTCCCTCAGCCGTCATTACCAATGGCTGGTGGATAGACAGAGGTTGGCAGTAGTAGCTCTGCGTTTCTGTCAATCTTTGTGAAAGTCCTTATTGTCTTATGATATATTTTGACTGTGTTGGATTTTCAGTGAAATTCCAACACAGTTTTTATGAGCGTTTCGTAAAGATTTTATGAAACAATCATTTTGGGAGGCGGGGTTGAGAGTTACAAAGCTGCTTTTACTGGGCATTGCAGACATAAAACCATAAAAACCAAAATTATTTCATAACTGCATATGTATATATGCGCATAATTCTGTATCTCGCATATTGTGTTGTAAAATTACATGCAGTGTTACAAATATGTTACAAGTGGTTAGACTATCAGCACCGGTTAGGGAGATACCATAGCAACCACAGCGCATACGTAGACAGCAGAGGGACCTCCTGTGGGAAGTCTCCTCTGCTCTCCCTGTCTCTCAATTCCTCAGCATTGAGTGTCTGCTGAGGTACTGAGAGACAGATAGAAGAAAAACCTCCTGTTCCCTCCAGCATCCTGAAATCAGCCTGATTGAACACATTGACAGACACGTCTCTGGGACCTATTTTTGCTGGGTGGAACTTCAAAATGCAGGACTGTCCTGACAATATCAGAACCATTGGCACCTATGTAGTGTTTCTGTATGACTGTATGTCTGTGTGTACATGTCAAGTTTTGTTTATGCATAAATAAGGGTGCGTGTGTGCATGTATGTGACGATATCTAAGTCTGTTTATAGAATGATCATAGCTTGCTAATCATGGTCTCTAACGTATGCCTTTTATTTTAGTACGGCATGGGAACTACAAAGGGAACTGAACATTCATCTGAAACTGTATTTATAGGTATGACTGCTAACACCTTATTTAGCTGTTCCACTCATACTGTTTGATGGTTTGAACTGCCGCTTGGGGTTAAACAATGAATCTTATAAACACTTGATGTTTATGGAATAATAAAAAAAATCTCATGATTGGAGGAAGATTTCTCTGGTGTGGCACGGGTCTTAGCTGTATGCTTTGCCTGTGTAAGTGCTATAATTTTAGCAACTATAAAAAGGCATTATATAATAAATTTAAAAAAGTTTGAGGACGCTTGTTTGATTTTTGGAGGTGTCCTCCTGCTGAGACAGAATAATGGGTAAAGCGTTAATGATCCTTACTAGTTTAATAAGGTTTAATGACTTGCAGAATTGTCTGTATTACACTGCAGAAAGCTGAAAACCCCTTTTTTATAGCATATCTGAAGATTTTATTGTGGAGAAAAATACAGCATGAATATATAGCCAAATTCTATCAAATTAGATCCAAATATACACAGGGAAAAGGGAAATTAGAAACATGCATTTCTTAGCAGTGGTGCTGTTGTAAAGAACACATAATATACAAAATTATATACAAAATACAGATGAAAGGGACACTATATGCACCTAGACCACTTCAGCTCATTAACCCCTTAAGGACCAAACTTCTGGAATAAAAGGGAATCATGACATGTCACACATGTCATGTGTCCTTAAGGGGTTAAAGTGGTCTGGGTGCAGTGTCCCAGGTCCCTTAACCCTGCAACAGAAATTATTGCAGTTTTTAATAAACTGTAATAGTTACCTTTGAAGGTTAACTCTACCTCTTGTAGCTGTCTACCAGACAGCCACTAGAGCAGTGATGGCGAACCTATGGCACATGTGCCACAGGTGGCACGCCGAGCCCTCTCTGTGGGCACGCGTCCATAGGTCGCCGGAGGGAGGGAGGGTGCGCTCCGCCGGCGCATCCATAAGGCGGCACAAGTGGCCGCCTTACGGTGCACCGGCCCAGCGGGCGCAATGCCGGAGTGACCGGCAGGAGGTGAGCGCATAGCGCAGAGCGCTCCCTCCTGCCAGGCACTCTGTGTAGCGTGGCCGAGCGCGCCTCGGTACTTACCCGGGCGGACGGAAATGAAGTGCTCACAGAGAGAGCACTTCCTGTCCGCCATGTACCGGAAATTGAGCTCCGCGGTGCGCTCGGCCACGCTACAAGGTAGGATCTCAAGGAGGGGGGGGAATGAAAACTGAGGGAGAGATATGGGGGAAACCGAGTGGGAGAGAGATGGGGAACCGAGTGGGAGATATGGGGGAACTGAGTGGGAGAGAGATGGGGGAAACTGAGTGGGAGAAAGATGGGGTGAACTGAGTGGAGAGATATGGGGGGAACTGAGGGGAGAGGAGGATGGGGACTGAGTGGGAGAGAAGATAGGGAAGGTGAACCGGAGAGATGGGGAACTGAGTGGGAGAGATGGGGACTGAGGGGAGAGATATGGATGGGGAACCGAGGAAGAGAGATGGGGGGGAACCGATGGGAGAAAGATGGGGTGAAACGAGGAGAGATATGGGGAAACTGAGTGGGAGAGAGATGGGGGAACTGAGCGGAGAGATATGGGGGACTGAGTGGGAGAGATATGGGGGGAACTGAGGGAGAAAGATGGGGGGACTGAGTGGAGAGATATGGGGGGAACTGAGGGGAGAGAGATGAGTGGGAGAGAGATGGGGAACTGAGTGGGAGAGATATGGGGAGAAATGGTGGGGGAACCAGGAGAGAAATGGGGAAACTGAGTGGGAGAAATGGGGAAACTGAGTGGGAGAGATGGGGAAACTGAGGGGGAGAGATGGGGAAACTGAGCGGGAGAGATGGGGGAAACTGAGTGGGAGATATGGGGGAAACCTGAGGGAGACATGGGAGGGAGATAAAACCGAGGGAGAGATGGGGGGAGAAAACTGAGTGTGGGACGGGGGAGAGGGGGTACGACATACACACAGCACCCCTGCCCTACACATATCACCCCACACAAAGACACCCACACATCACCCCACCCACACACACACACACAAACACATACACTGTACCCCTCAATGCAGTGTGTGTACACTCAGCAGTCTGTCTGTGTGTATACACTCAGCAGTCTGTCTGTGTGTGTACACTCAGCAGTCTGTCTGTGTGTGTGTACACTCAGCAGTCTGTCTGTGTATGTGTACACTCAGCAGTCTGTCTGTGTGTGTGTACACTCAGCAGTCTGTCTGTGTGTACACTCAGCAGTCTGTCTGTGTGTGTACACTCAGCAGTCTGTCTGTGTGTGTACACTCAGCAGTCTGTCTGTGTGTACACTCAGCAGTCTGTGTGTGTGTGTGTGTGTGTACACTCAGCAGTCTGTGTGTGTACACTCAGCAGTCTGTGTGTGTGTGTGTGTGTGTGTGTATTTAGCAGTCTGTGTGTGTGTGTGTGTATTTAGCAGTCTGTGTGTATTCAGCAGACTGTGTACTCAGCAGTCTGTGTGTGTATTCAGCAGTCTGCTAAATACAGACAGACTGCTAAGTACACAGACAGACTGCTAAATACACACACAGAGATGTTAATTAGTTCGGACAACTGTATGAGTTGTTTTTTTCTAAACTTAAACCTCAGTATTCAGGTTTAATTGCCGTTTTGGAACTTTGAGGGGAAAAAAATTGGCATGTATTACGTTATGGGCACTCGGGCTCAAAAAGGTTCGCCATCACTGCACTAGAGGTACTTCTGGGTCGCTAGGTGACTTTTGGAGAGGGTGGTTAAAGGGTGGGGGGGCAGCACTATAGTTTCAATTTAACCCCTTCCTGACCGCTGACGTACCAGGTACATCATTTCCCAAATCTTCACTTACTTGATCGCTGGCGAACCCACGCCGGCGATCCCACGCCGACGATCCCCCGCCGGCGTTCGCGATCCTGGGGTCTGCCTGGGAGCTCGGGGTCCTTGCGATCACATGGCCGGAATTGTCGGCTTGTGCAGTGCCTGCAGGGGGAGTGCCCAAGCTCTCAGGCTGTCCCCCTCATGCCTGCAGAAAAGTTTAACAAAGTTTGTAAAACTTAAATAAAAGTTTAAAAAGTAAATAAAAAGTAATTAGATCATATATATATATTTACATATATATGATCTAAGTACTTTTATATAGTTACATAGTGACATAGCTGAAAAGAGGCTTGCGTCCATTAAGTTCAGCCTTCCTTTTGTTTCCACATTTGTTTTTTGCTGTTGATCCAAAAGAAGGCAAAAAAAAACAGTTTGAAGCACAATTTTGCAACAAGCTAGGGAAATAAATTCATTCTTGGCCCCCAGAATGGCAATCAGATTTATCCTTGGATCAAGCAGTTATTACCCTACATTGAAAGATTATATCCTTGAATATTCTGTTTTTGCAAGTATGCATCTAGTAGCTGTTTGAACATCTGTATGGACTCTGATAAAACCACTTCTTCAGGCAGAGAATTCCACATCCTGATTGTTCTTACAGTAAATAAACCTTTCCTTTGCCTTAGACGAAATCTTCTTTCTTCCAGTCTAAACGCATGGCCTCGTGTCCTATGTAAAGTCTGGTTTGTGAATAGATTTCCACACAATGGTTTGTATTGGCCCCGAATGTATTTGTATAATGTTATCATATCCCCTCTCAGGCGACGTTTTTCTAAACTAAATAGGTTTAAATTTGTTAACCTTATATGCACATACACATACATCATCCATTATTCTAAGTGTATTTAATATAATATACATAATTATACATTGGGTTGTCTACTTTTGCAAATGGTATGCCATCATGGAGGTAATTCTCATTCCTGGGCTACCATAAGGTATCAAAGGCAACATTACCAATCTGGCAAACTTCAATGTGAATAAAAGGAAATGCAAGCCTTATATTTGTCTCTGTAACTCTGCATGAGAGTACATCACTGGTATATGAAGCTCCAGGAACTGAAAGGGGCCGTGTCGAAGAAGATGGCATCAGCCACAAGTGACAGGTTTAGGTAAGTAAGGCACTGCAAGTGAAGCATTCATCATCTGGAGTCTTTGCAAAAAATGCAAAGACCCCTAGAAGGTAACAGGGCGTATTTAAGTAGTGTTGGTTGCCTAAGTGTGCCAGGAGTATCCTTTTAATATCTGATGCATTGAGCATGAACAGGACCCACTGGTTACGTGGAAATGCTCACTTCCACATTTAATGTGGGATAAGCCATAGTTAACATTTGTTCCTTTACACAGAATCACGTATTTTTAAAGCAACCAGGTCAAAGTGAATTTACTTACAGGCAAATTTTGCAAAATACAGCAATTCCCAGATCTATCTGCAGATGCTATGCAGACAAGAATGGAATTTTGTTTAGTTACTGAATCCCTGCAACACAAAATAAAATGAGGTTTAATTGGGACTTTCCATCTCAGATGTTGATCAAGAAAAACGGGGAAGTCCAAAGGAATATCATCCCAAGAAGATGGTTAGAAAATATTGCTGCATTTTTTACATGGCTATCATGAAGTTTTGCTCATAAAGACAGGAACGCAAAATAATGAGATTGTCATCTCGCCACAACTCTATCCAACCTTGAAAACTGCCTCAATGCTGGTGACTAGTTTTACCTACCTCTTACAGGTAATCCTTTGTGGAACTTTGAAAACTTGAATAGTGTTAACCTTCAAATGTTCTAACAGATATTTGAAAATTCTCACTGACTGTGAAGCACATACTCAGGTTGCATTTTTCTTTTAATTTAGTTTCATTTTCCTTTTTCTTTCATTCTGACAATATTATTTGCATCAGGATTTGTACTGCTCATGATTTGTCATGTATTTGATTTGGTTGGTGTTCGCCTTAGTTTTTCTTTTAATTACAGTTTGCTTTCCCTTTTTCATTCTGTGACAGATCCCCTATCCCTGGATTACCAGACTGTTAATTTTTGCTTATTTGATACACTGGGTAGTTTGGTACATGGGACTCACCGAACACCTGAGACCCATCCAGTTTGTATACCGAACAAACTACCGAACAGCCAGACCACCCAGGGGAGTCGGGTGCTGCTCATTGACCCTTTTCACCCTTGTTCATACCTCAGTAACCACAATTATCTCAACATTCTTAGCGTTTGGCTGGGTGGCCGCCATTCGTATGACCGAACACGTGGTGCGGCCATCTTTGGTCATCGAGTGCATGGAACTCAAATCGGACACTCGCTGGCACGAACACCGCTAGAACTTCAACTTCCATCGAAGCTCGGTAAAACGTGAGATTTGAATGGTGTTCAGGGGGAGCAAGCTCCCGAACAAGAAAAAAAAACTAAGCTTACCCACGAACCGTTATGTTCGGTACTTTTTATTGTTTTTGGTACTCCCAAAAGAGACCGACCGCACAGCCTGATTTCATGGAACTCTTTTGGGCAGGAGCCTTGTGTGCGTTTGATCAAACTACAACTTCCATGGAAATCCCAAACCCCTGAACCGATCTGTGTGATTTTTGGATATGTTGGTCCCCCAGATCGGGGCTATCAGTTAATATGACTATATTGGGGTTTTCATGTGTCTTGGGGGTACTTTAAATATATTGTAAAATGTATGTTTTCTGTCCCTGATTGAGTTAGTACAGTTCATGACTCAATTATCTCTCAGGCACAACTCCATTTCCGGTGCCAAAAAGAAAGATGAGACCTTTGAAACAGGAAATGGAGTTAAGTAGTCCCTAATTTGTCTTGTGTTTTAAGGAAAACTAGATCAGAAAGGATTTTGAGAAAGGAAGAGAAGAGGAAACAATAGGAGAAAGGTAAATCCAGCACGACAGTGCAATTTTAAACAAAGATTTTGAAAACTTGAGAAAATCCACCTGACAATGGCGGAAAAAAATATTGGAGAAAAAGGTGCCCTTTTTTTTTATAGTTTGGGAGTAGCGCATTTGTGAATTGAATAGAAGAACCGAAACAGAAAGGGAAAATAAATAAAATAATATTTTTGTGCAAACAGGGGAATATAGGCACAGATATTAAAAGCTCCAGGAAAAAACTGAAATGGAGCCAGTCACTTTTCATGAATAACCCCCTTAGTTCACAGATCTCTTTCCTTTTTGTGTTCCTCACCTACAGATACATTAGAAAATTTTAAAACCTCCAACAAATACAGACTTTCCCAGATAAATACCTAAAGAAAATGAAAATAATAAGTCAATCTTTATTAACAGTCCCTCCAGTCATCATGTTTAATATGATAAGAACTAGAATTTCCATTTTCCAATTCTATTTCCTTTTCTGTATTGTTACTTTCCACTTGCTTGTGAAATGGGAGGGGGGGAGGGACCACAAGCCCTGCCCTTCCCTAATATGGAGACTGTACTTTCTAGATTCAGTCTCATGACGTAACACGCTGCATTCCTCGCACTTGACTGAGCGCACGTAATCAGCTCGTCCGTCTCCATGACAACAGTGGGGCCAACTAGACCTTGCCCCCCTCCGCCAGTGCCGAGAAGGAAAGCTCGCGTACTTTCGCCAGGAATTCCAGGCCACGCCCAGCCGCCCTCTTCCGATTGGTTTCACAACGAGATTCGTGACGTCGGTCGGTGAGAGAATATATAAGCGGGCTGCCGGAACGTTCGACATCACTTTCTCAGAATTACAGCAAGAATAAAGTATTAATAATCATTGAGCGTCCAGATGACCAGGCATGACTTGGGTGCATAGCTATTCTATACAGGATTTACGCAAAATGCGCTGTGAGCTGAACCAGAGAACCGACGGAAGAGCCGAGCTACGACTACCTGCTGCTGTGTACTTCATTGGATTTCACCGGAATATCCAGGAACCTCCTGCCCAGGAGAGCATCACTAACTTCTGCTGGAGCGCCTTCTTGACAGGCTGACCGTACTCCTCCGCTACAACTATCTGGTGAGAACACACTCTATAGTAACTGGTCATAGGCTCTACCCCCCCCCACACACACTATAGTAACTGGTCATAGGCTCTACACCACCCCTCCCCCCACACAGATACACACACTATAGTAACTGGTCATAGGCTCGACCCCTCCCCCACACACACTCTATAGTAACTGGTCATAGGCTCTTCACCTTCCCCACAGACAGATACACGCTGTATAGTAACTGGTCATAGGCTCTACCCCACCCCCTTACACACATGTACACATTGTATAGTAACTGGTCATAGGCTCTTCTCAACCCCCCCCCACCCCCCACATAGTTACACACTGTATAGTAACTGGTCATAGGCTCTCCCCCCACCCCACAGGTACACACTGTGTAGTAACTGGTCATAGGCTCCCACAAACACTAGTCATAAGCTTTGCTTTCTGAGACACTACAACAATATGATAAGAACATTCTATAGTGGCTGGTCATAGACTTTGCCCTTTAAGACCTGCTATAGCTTGATCATAAGTTGTGCTGGTCTTTAACTGTACCCATGGAATTCCTTAATTCTGGACCCTGTGAAAATAATTATTCCTAAATCCTATTAAGGAGCCATTTTAGCCTATTGTTTGTGGTTTAAAGTAGGTCTCATCCACTCCCAACACTAGACACAAGGAATATATCTATTAATGGATTTATTTATTTTTCTTACAGTAGACTCATTTTACTTGTTAATAACATGTTTGTCATGTCCTGAAAGTATCAGACTTTGTAAAATGCAGATCTTCTGTTAAATTGGCTTTCTGCCCTGGGATTTTTTAAAATCTGAGTTGCAGAGAAACAAAAGGTATGACTGACACAAAGATGGCAAAGCAATGGAGTACTGTGGCTGGTGTATTTTTAGAATTTTTCCTCAACGTGCATTACGTACATGGTTTATCCTTGTGGCTGAATATAATAATTTCAAATTAGTAATACTGAAATATATTTTAATGCAAGGACAGTCAGAGCTAAATATTCCTCTGATCAATACAAAAACAGTAGTCATTTGTTATGAAACTGTAGAAATGGGCTGGATGTAAAGTGATGAATCCGGTCGGAATGATATTGTCACATGGTCGGAATAATGAATCATCGGTTATTTGTTTCTGTACACACAAGCCTTTGTTCTTACGCTATTGTTTAAACTGATTTAGTTGGTGTACAGAATTCAAGTTTCGTAAATTTACTGATTCACTGTAATATTTTGGGGGGTTTGTATGAAGATGAGCTCTATTGTTGACTGTTGTAGTGGTAATTTGGGGCATGTGGAAGAATTCCACCAACATCCCATCAAAGTAAAAAATACTCTTTGGTTTTTTTAGGTTGTTTTTAACTCTAGGTTAAAATCCAGTTGGCACCACTAATCTGCCCATAACAAAAGCACACTAATATTGCTTGCTTTTAATTAAGCAAGATTGCACTCTACCCAAGAAATCTGAAGCTGCTTTTCACAGGGTTATTAAACTACACATTTTCAAAAATTAAATCAAATTTGAAAAACTGAGGCAAAAGTCAACAAATCTTGAAATATTGTACAACTCGATCATACACTAGTTTTGCCATTCACTTTTAACTTCTGAAAATTTGGAATTATTTGAATAACACTCTGATTTAATGGTTTCTAATGGGGACGTTTAGAATTAACAAAGCTTTATGGAGGCTACCGTGTTGTGACCATTTTACGGTCAGTGCAGCTGTAGCACCTTTGGTTGCTGTCATACTGACACCCACTAAACATTGTTTTAACCCTGCAATGTAAACATTGCGGTTACGCAAACTATCTGACATTGCAGGGTTAAGAAAACAGAGGGCCATACATCCAGATTACTTAATTGGATGGCTAGTGTCCCTTTAATGTGTTTTTTATTTTTATATATATTTTTTTTTTTTCCTCGACCTGGACAATTCTTTACACAGTAATGCAACATGAGCTCTTCAATCTTTTTTTGTTTGAGAATTTAAGGGTCATTAAAATAATATAGTCCATGTTTGTTTTCTCTTTTTTTTTTTTTTTTTTTTTTTTTTTTTTTTTTTTTTTTTTTTTTTTTTTTTTTTTTTTTTTTTTTTTTTTTACAAAAAACACCAAATGCTAACTTTCTGTTTTGTTTTTCCTGTAGGAAACTATCAAAAACAGGATGGGTGTTGACTACCTCAGCCTTGGCCCATACTGGTTAAACCTAACAGCTCCCTTGACCTGTTGGCACAAAGGAACTGCCATCCAGATGGATATCATGAAGAATCACCCGGAGTTGCAGGGCATACATACGGAACTAGGCACAGACTTTGTCCTGCTCACAATGGCAGCTAGACTAACCCACTCATTGATCTCCCTGACCAAAAATATAATGCACAAAAGGGTCTGGTGCTGGAAGCTGCTCCCAAGTGCATTGATGACCAAACCATTAAAAGTAGTGCTTTGGATGTTTTGGCGTGTTCTAGACATTTTATTGGCATTGGAGGTGACTAAAGGGATATTTAAAAAGAAACATTCAACTCATAAACAAGCTGCTCATACAGGTGTATCTATAAAATACCACTGGACGGCAGAGCTGTCCAACTCTGCTCTTGAAGAGGAAGTGTCAAATATCATACCTGTCAAGAGGCTTCAAGATACTGTAGACATGGACAGAGAAAATCATTCCTTGGACAATATGTGTAAAGAGCCACTCTTGCCTTCATGTACGAACCCATTCATCCTCTCAATGATTTGTGTACCAACTGACGAAGATGCTTCAAGCATATCGGGTGAGTCTGATGGATTTGGAGAATGGGAAGTGGAAGATGGTCATATGTGTTGTGAGAAGGATGAGTTGTCTCTCACAGAAGAAATGTCAGCTGACAGTGGACTGCAAGAGTTTTGGACCCCCCAGTCCAAGACTGAAGACTGTGATGAGGAAAGTGATTGGTCTGACTCTTGGGATGAAGACAGTGATTCAGAATGCAGCAAAGTGGATGAAGACCTGTGGGCCTCATTCTGTCCAAAAGATGATCCTTACAACCCACTTTGTTTCTCTATGCCCACAAAAAGCACTGTGAAATCAAATGACGAGGCATATGTGAACACACCAGAGTCCAGTATTTGTGAAAAGCCTGTAAATGATGAGCAGAGGAGTAATGTAAAATCTCCAGCACTCACGTGTGGTGTACAGACCAGAACAAAGGGAGATGTGGCAACTGCATGCAAATATTCTGAGGTGCAAGAACCTGCTCATACTAAGAAAGTAAGTTCAGGCTAAAGCTTTTTCTAACAGCCAGATGTTTAGTGTATTGTATAAAAACATTTGTCAGGGGGAGTTGTTTGTACAGACTTTGGGTCAAAGCATTTTACATTGTGACCTGACCTACAAAGAACTTTTGTGTGCATCAGACAGCTGAGCAGCTCTAAACAGTATACAGTTTTTTTTCTTGTATCTTGACACTATCTAGAAGGGCCTAACTATCTGACTATTGAAGTAGTCCTTGAAACATTAAATAAAGTGGTGTCATATTCTTGCATAAGATCTCTTCTGAGACATGATGCCATAGTCTGAAATGATCAGGTGACTATCAGTGCAGCACATTCTTGTCTAATAGACTGATGTTTGGGATCTGAATGACTCACTCTTGGCAACAAGTCACATGACTATCATCATACCTTACAACCAACTTGTAACAGGGGGATTACATACATTTTCTAAAGAGGGCATCCCAGTGGGGATTAACTGCAGCATCTGTAAATGCAGAATAGACTATTTCATCATGTAGCACAATTTCTTCGTTGTGGGTTGTGAGCATCCCTCTCTCTGCTCTGAGTGCATCGTGCAGGTTTATCTCATAATAGTGGTTTATGATAACTGGTTTAGCCAAAAATGGACATATGGGTGTATAGTTGTCATTTAATGTGGGAGTGCAGTGTTTTTTGTTTTTTTTCTTCTCCTTGCATTAACAATCTGTTTCCTCCAGGTTCATTTCTCTCCTGATGTCAGCATACACCGCATGGTTACATGGAGTTATGCCCACAGAATGGCCCGCAAAGGCCCATGGGAAGAATATGCAAGGGATCGCTGTCGTTTCAAAAAACGCATCTCTGAAACAGAAGATGCTATCAGTTACTGCTTGACCCCTCGGCATCGTGAGAAAATCTGGGATTTTCTCTATGGAAGAAATGGAAATTAGTGTTGTAGGAAAGATTGCAAATCTATGACATTATAAAGTCTTCAGAATGTTGGCAGTGATGTGTAGAAATACTTCAGTATTAAGCCATCTTCTGACAACTGCCAGTCCTGAAATTAGACTATAACTGTAAAGTATTTATTTTATATTTTGCAGGGGGGGGGGGGTGTATTATATACAGTTTCTAGCTGAATGCTAGAAGGGCTTGGTGTAATGTTCAGTCCAATTCTTTTGGGACTTTTATTTTCCCATCTCCAAAAGTGAGAGTGGAACTGTCCATTACTCCTCTCTTCACCCAGTAAATGCCTTGCAAACCGCTCTACCCTTGCTCACTAGCTGTAAATTTTTATTTATAGGGAGCTGGATGCTTCCAACATTGTTATATTTTGTTAATATTGTATATTTATATTTACCTTTTCTTTTTATACTAAAATAAAGCTTTTTGCTTTAGTTATTTGTGTCTTGGTTTTTACATTGTATTTCATGGTTTTTTTCGGGCTTAAGACTGTATGCTGAAGGTAAAAGTTCAGCGTTTGGGTATCATTCAATATACAAAGAAAACAAACCAAGGCAGGCTCAGGAAGTTCTTGGAAATACTCTATACTAGGGTTGCCAGTTCCAGTCTGTATCCACAACGAACTTCCTGATAGAACTTGCATGAAAAGTGCTGTCTCATACATGTAAGCATTCCATTACTACATGAGGCAAATCAACTGGTATTCTAAACAGCCTTGTTTTAAAGGAACACTTTTTTTTTTTTCTAGACAAAAATAAAACATTTGCTTGATACAAATAAAGGAACACCGAACATGCCCTTATTGCCCCATAACAACTAAACAAAAACAGCTGTTGTGGTGCTCTTTTTAGAGTACCGATCATACACCAACTGGATACTTTAACAGTAAGGTTGGTATAGCTGTAGTTTGGCAAATGTATAGAGTAAATACCTCCAATACAAAATATGCAGAGATTTCACCAAAACAGCATAGTTCCACAAATGACATGCTTGTCAACCCTTAATGAGTGTACAGAGGACTTTTCAGGATCCATAGATGTAGTAGTGAACATTATGCAAAATGGCTGCCAGTAGTCTAAAAAAAAAACACCTAGAAGGTTAAAAAGAAAAATGACTCACTAAATACTCCAAAGCAAATATGCATTCACAAATGGCTTATTCACTAAAAGAATAGCACACTTTAGATAAAATTGGCTCACAAATATACTGGTTAGAGCAAAATAATTAAAGCTATAGTTTGCAATGTCCTATTTAAATAGTATACCAACAGAAAGTTGTGAATTAGTGTCACTCCAACCTCCATAACCACTTATTTAAGTGGACATAACATGAGCAACTGCATGTGCAGCATTTCAGTTTGATATGGTGCACATACAGACTTGTGATATAAGATTTGTGACAGGGGTTTAGTTACACTCCTGGCAGGTTTAAAGCAAACTGCATCACAATTAAATCCGTTATTACCCACCACTAAACCACAATTTTAAAATCGAAAGTCAAACTACTGCCACATCACGATATTAACTTTACAGTCCAATTTGTGTGAGAATAAGATGCCAATTACAAGCACCTAGATGTTTAGTTTGTCAATATAATCATTTGGGTATAGAATGCGTTCCATTTGATAATCTACAAAACATGAAAAATACTACGTCTGTTATTCTACCAGGCAGTCTTATATTCAGTCTTTGCATACATGTGCAAGCAACATAACTGTTCTTTAAATGAAGAGTCTGAAAACCCAAACCAGATTAAAAAGACATTTAAGGCTGTAGTCTAAAACTAAACCAGATTAAAAGGACTCACTGGGATGCAGCTAACATTCTTTTTACATGCTTTACAGACCCAGTAAAAGTGAAGAGCAAAAAGGACACCTTAAACAAACTGTCCTGCTTGGATGGAAAGGCTGCCCTTGGAGATTAACCCCCTTCTATACCAAAATAAAGTAACTTTTTCATGTATCTTGCAGTATAACATACTTCCTAAAGCCTCACACCCTCATTTATACTTTAGTTATAATAGTTTCTCTAAAGGCAGGCAATCAGCCAGAAGCTACTAGTCACCATAGACGTGCGCAGCCTATCGCATAAGTGTGTGTGTGCACCCTAAAGCAAACAAACGCGCTATATATATAGATATATAGATAGATACTGGCACTCCAAGGATTTATCATTCAAAAGTTCTTTTATTTAAGAAAAAAAAATCTATATGATAAAAATTATTTATATATATATATATATATATACATATATACATACACACACACACACTACTGTTTGTGTGTATTTGTTTGGAGGGATTGTTTAGGAAATAGCCCTCATGTGTTCTTACCAGTTGTAGGGAGGGACCATGCTGCTGCCATCCCTGGTGGTCCAGTGGTGAGTGAACTCTAGCCTGCGCGGCTAGTGTTCATTCTCGCAAGATCTGAGCATTGCCGCGGCAACGCTCCAACCTCACGAGAGGAACCCGACTGAGCTGCTGGCTAGAGCTCCCCGAGTCCTCTCCTGCCTGTGGCCCACGGAGGCACATAGCGCAGGCTGTGGGGATTAGGGCACCCAGCACACCCCGTGCGCACACCTATGCTAGTCAGTGAATGAATGTAAACTTGCTGAAAGACGGAGCCTGACCAAGCGCATTAGAAAGCCCCTTCAGCCACTTACCTTAATCAAGCGCCGGGCTCCCTCGGTGCTGGTGACCTCTCCTCCCCCTCTGACATCGGCTCCCGAGTGGAGCCGCATGCGCATTAAAAATGACCATAGGCAAGCATTTCTCAATGCTTTCCTATGGACGTTCTGCGTGCTCAGTTCGATTTTTGCATTGAGCGTCGGGGAAGTGCCTCTAGCAGCTGTCAGGAAGACAGTTTCTCTGAAACTGCTATGTTTATAACTGAAGGTTAAAACCTGTGGGACATGGCACCCAGACCACTTAATTCCCCCTCTTCTTACTCCCCCCTCCCCCTCTTTTTCTTCTTACTCCCCCCTATGGGATGCTTGCATTATTTGTATGAGGGGGAGGCTTATTGTGCAGCTCTGTGTAGATCTAGCAGTGTGGATGGCTCAGTTGGGGGTCCAGTGGGGACCGGGCTGGCCAGGTACAGGTCAAGGGCAGGAGCTGCGATACCTGCTGTGGTCTGCTCTACTCCAGTGTGGATTTCCGTTCACAAGTGCTAGGTATCTACGTGCTGCAATGCTTAAATTGAAGATTGTCCCTCGCCATCTTTTTTCACTAGCAGATATCTGAAGTTTCACTGGGACTCCTGATAGGCCAGAGCCTGTTTGGCTCTAGCAGCCTTGAGTAAAGGCACCTGGCATGCCATGCTTGGCACATGTGCCATAGGTTGCTGACTCCTGAACTAGGCATTCAAGTGATATATCATTAAAATATCCTATTAGGTTGTGATTTCACACTACTCTGACCTGATGAGGATGGATAATAGAACAATGAAACTTTGGACAGAGCAGTTTAAACTTGGCAAGACATTTGTCTTTTTTCCTTTATAAAAATAAAAACATAAAATAAAATTAAGGCTGTAGTTATTTAAATGAGTGTGTATACATTGCAGAAGCCTAGTCAGTAATGAAAATGCTATAGGTTTTTAATTGTCTTGTGTAATGATAAAATAAGCATACAAGGTCAAATAGCTGTTGTCCAGCACATCAAACAGTTTCTCTGCCATCATAGATGCATGTATAATAATACCTGTTAACTCTGCATTGTAAAACAAGATTTTGATGCACAAGAAAATGCCTGTTTGTTTCATAGCAAAAAATATATATGTGTAAACAAAAGATTTCAACATCTTTCAGTTTTACTCTCAAAACCATGTTTTTGGAGACCTGCAGGTTTGTGGCTAAAAAAGCACTAACCTCCAAAACAAACTGCTGAAGAATTTTTCTAATTTGATGTGAGATTTTTAATTCTAGAATGGTTAAGTCATTAGACGAAAGCATTACACCAAAAATTTTTAATGTATCTCATTACGGCAGTTTATTTTTTTTCAAAATAGATCAAGGAAAAGCCCACTGTCCAAATACAAAATATTTTTTCTTAAATCAATGTTTAGTAGATATACCACAAATGAAAACTATTATGCATAGTTTCATTGGAGTTGTATCTAAAAACTGTTTGAAAACTGCAGGTTTCTTGGCTGCTGCTCTCGTAAGCCCTCCTCTTCTAACCCCGCTCAGACTTGGGGGGCCTGCCCAATCACAGACTTCCCAATGCAGCTCAATAAGACGTCTTTGCAAGGCAGGTGCTCTCCGCAATTGCTGCCTATTCAAATAAGCTACCCAAATCAGCAAGTAACAGGGCCTGTCTGCTTGAAAAGCCAGGAAGGTGAAACCATTTAAAATTGATAAAAGTGTCAATCTCTATTGAACGGCCTGCAGCAAGGACATTGTATAAAAAGGAACCACAAATAATCTATAGATTATACAGTATACTGTTAAAACCATCTGAATTGTGTATAAATCAGCATCTGACAATTGTTCAACTTTAATTTAACAGAACCTACAGTTTAGCGGTTTGTATGGTTTCAAAATGGGTCCAACACATTTGAGAACCTATAAAAATTAATCACAAAAGTTTTGCACCCACTTTAAAACCATCCAAACCCACAAATTGTTTTTTTTTTGTTTTTTTAAGAGCAGGATCTAAATTTTATTTTATTTTTTTAAAATACATAAAAACTCAACTGCTTTTTAGCACTAGACGTTTATTCTACAGATCAGAATAGAAAATAAATAAAAAATGTAACCACACAATCTTTTTTTTTTTTAAACCAACACGACAATATCCCCAATTTAATTTAAAATACCTTATTCTGTATAATGCACGTGTCTTCATTTTCTAACTATTTTCACCAAATTTTATGCAATTTGTTTGCTTTTTAATAATCTTCTGCCTAAAGCAATAACAAGCAAATTGAAACACAAAATATATAAAAAAAAAAAGGAATGTGAGGGTAGGTCAATAGAACAGAGATGACCAACATTGGCACTCCAGATATCTGGTAACTCCATTTCACACAGTGCTTAGCAAGCCCACAATTTAATTCAGCATCACCCGAGGTGCAAAGGTTAGGGAACATTTCTATAGCATGTAGAAGCAAAAGTGTGCCAACACCCCCCACAAATTACCTCAAGGCAAACAGAACTTTAACACCAATAAGAGAATGATGTACTATTACAGATTAAATCTTGTAATTTGCAAGCATCCCCAATTACTAACGATAACAGAGCACAAGCTTGACTTCTCACAGCGTGACAGACATAATGGAGTCATTTCTAAACACATACTGACCTTAAAAGACAAATTTTAAAGATCTAGACTAATAAATCACTTTACAAAATGTTCTAAAACATAGGTCATGCATTACCTTAGCATCACATGGAATAGAATCTCTACAAATAATAGCCATGACAAACAAATTTTAGTGGTCGTTTTATTATTATTTTTTTTATGGATGGCATCATACTATTCTATGTGATGTTCCATTAAGGTGATACATGGCATTTTTTAGTGTGGGTTGTCATATTAGTTTATCTTTATTCTTTGGTAATAGGTAGTAACTGTCCGATTGTGAAAAGGGGCTGCTTTATTTTATTGTGAGAGTAATTGCCAGGACGCTCACTGCACTTTATAGACGTTTTAAAAGATATGAATGTGTTTCATTGTTCAATTTGTGTTTTCGCTCTCTCTTGCCTACAAGAAGACTTTCAGGGATATTTACTAAAGTGAGAAGTGTCAGGAATTCAAAATTTAGCTACTTTTAAATTTGACATTTACTTTGAATTCCCAACAATTCTCACTTTATTGAATAACCCCAAAAAATGTTTTTGGGAAGCTAGCCCTGCCCTAGTGAGATCTAGTCCCTTCAAATACCATATCCCAATTAACAGAGTGCCAGAGGAGACAATATATCAACAAATCAGTTCTAAACTAGCCATGGTACTGCTAACCGCCATTTGTTGTGGACTACATTTCACAATATATACATAGAAAGGGAGAATACATTGGTATATATGTTATAGTTTTTAATAGCTGAAAAAAAAAACAAAAAAAAAAACATTTGTATAAAGTTCAACTGCTGTATTTAAATTCATGATACTGTAGAACCTAAAATAACCTTTTCCTCTTATGAATTGCACCAATTACTAAACTAAATAGGACAACCAACCAATCAGGAAAAATCTAACTGTATGCTGGGAAGTATTAGAGTTAATAGTGTAAAGGTAGAATTCAAATACTGTGTGGGTTTAAAAAATATTAACAAAACATAGAGACCATTTATGTGAAACTTGCTTCAATATTTATATATTCCTTAACCACTTAAGGACCAAACTTCTGGAATAAAAGGGAATCATGACATGTCACACATGTCATGTGTCCTTAAGGGGTTAAAGAACTCCCACTCCCGTTCAGTCCACCTCATCTGGCAGAGGATTGAATGGGAGTTTGAATCCCTATAAGAATAAAGCAGGTCTAAAATGTTCCTTTGATGTCCCCCCAGTTAGATATAACTTTTTTGGACATTTTTGTTAAACCCCTATTGTTTAATGTGAAATCAGTTTCCGTTGAAGAAATCAGCATCTGACAGGTTCAAATTACAGGTTGTTCAGAGATATGGGAATCAGAGCTGTTTGAAAGGTGGTTAATTGTCACCTCCAAAATATGGGAAAGTAAAAGGGAGGAGAAGTCAGTTTCCTAGCTAGCATCACATTCACACGGAATATATAAATTGCTACCAAAACAGTATATATAATTTACTGTATAGCAAAGAGTTGTAACAAAGCAGTTATTTGGTATGAGCCATCAAATGCTTTGCTGTGGCAATGTGAGGCTGACTTAAAATGGCACAACCTAGAGCAGGCTTCCCCAAACTCCGGCCCTCCAGATGTTGGTGAACTACAACTCCCATGATTCTATGAAGGAAATAGATAGGCTGAGAATCATGGGAGTTGTAGTTCAGCAACATCTAGAGGGCAAGAGTTTGGGGAAGCCTGACCTAGAGGATACCTTAAAATCACTAGTAAATCACTAAACCCTCCCCCCACCCCATTCCCTCATTCGCTTAACTTTCATAAAAACGTATCTTTAAGATTTGTTTTTTGAAAACAAAAAGCCTGATTCCCAATGTGAGAGATTTACTCAGAGGCTGATTGCACATCCCTTAAATTTGATATTTTGGAGAACAAGGAGACGGCCATGCAGGAGCGCTCACTTCTAGAATTAAAAAGAGTGTCGAAAATCGTTTTGTTTTATTGTTTCTGCTACTTGGCCTCTCTTCTGTCCTCTCTTATTATTGGTCTGGATGAGCTGGCTGTTCGTGATGAAGCTCTGGTTCTTTGTGGACCTTGTCTTCAGATGGGGCTTCACCGTGAATGTTAGAATGAGGATGGGGTTCTTCTACTTTAGCTGTGAAGGGGGAATAAAAAAAGAAAAAGAAAAAAGAAAGAAAAAGAAAAGAAAATGGTTTGTCATTAAATGAAAGTTTGCAGGAAACTTGTCCTGAATGTTTGTTTTTGTTTCTTTATACATCTGAGTAGCTTTTATAGAGCATTGTCCAAGAAAACATATCAGACTTACATTCCTGTACTACACTAAGCATCAAAACAACTTTTTGTAACTTGGGAAAATAATTTTGGAAAGCGGTTCCCTGGCCTTTGTCTACCTGCACATCATGTCTGCAATAAACTGCAGCAGTTTGAAAAAACAAACAAACAAAAATCAAATCACTGCCAACCACTCAACCAACTGTTTAGCAGTGCAGCTATTGTCCCCTCTGCTCATACTGGTACTTTAAATACTCAGAGAGGCTATGAAGGAAGGGTTCTGGCAACTGTACAAAGCTGAACTACAGGTTTTCTGAAACCCCTGTTCTATCCGCTATTGGGTAAACTCAATGCTATAAACCATTAATGGGAGGATTGGCTCTCCCTAATGTAAATTTTGGCACTGTTCAGAATTAAATGTAGAAGTTGCAAAGCCTGTGGATTTACAGCAAATACATTTTTATGTTTATTTGTATTTTATATTTAAAAAAAAAAGCAATATTGTCATTTCCGAATTAAAACCCAATTACCCAAGGTCTATTGTAATATCCACATTTAAAAAAAATATATATATATCCTTGACGAATGTTTACTGTGCCGCACTTTCTATTAGATGCAAGGACATTTTAAATTAGTGAGCAACGTCTATAGTTTGGGATGGGTAACTACACAGGAGGAGTAGAGGTACAAACCTCACTTTGAGAAAGCCCCATATGGGGATAGGTGGGACAAAACACATCAAAAAGTCAAGGTTTTGTCACTGCATCTGTCGTGCGTGTGTAACCTAGTAGGACGTGGTAGACATGCTAGTTACTGGAGTGAACGAGGACAGGGCCCAGAGTACACGCTATATATAAGTGGATTTGGTGAGTTTAAAACTGGTATAGGTCCCACTTTGTTTCCTGTGAGCAGTTTGAAACTTCAAGCATTTTGTTGTTTAAATAAATGGCATTCTCTACTATGATTTGTTTTCTTACATTGTGAACAGTTTTTGGCACATTGACAATAGCTGAAAGAAGCCCAAGTTAAGAAGAAAAAAAAATTAAATGAAATAGATACGATATTTGTGCGATATATATTTTGGTAGGAATACACCAAAATACATTGTGTTAATCTGTATGTATAATATACTGTGTATATGAATTTTTATGTTTTGATGTGTGGCCCTATGGAATATTTTGTCTACAAGAATTTAAGATGTTTAAAAAGTGATATACGCTTAATTCTGGGTCTAATATAAAGAATGCAACACCATCCTGAAAAAGGAATAAGCTGAAACCCAATATCTATTGTATGTATACGTGTATACCAATATTTCTATTTTTGTGACACTACAAAAAATTTTATTTGTAAGATTTAAGGCATCTAATTTTTACTTAATTTAAAACCTAAGTATTTTAATGAGACTGCCTTTAAACAAACTTAGCATGTAATACGATGCAACTGTTCAAAACCGCATCTAAAAATGTCAGACCACAGAAAGTACTGCTGAAGAGACACAAATCCATCAGTTATTTAAATCCAAACACCCACAACCATACAAGTCCTTTAACAAGAACAGCCGGTTGTAGCCTAGCTTAGAATGCAGCTTATTTTTGGTGTTTGAAAGCTACGTCAGCCATACCTTCCATATAGCTATATAAAACAACAAACTTAATTTAGACACATGCTTCATACTGACATGCTTGTGACATTTTGCACTTTTTATTTAATATTAGGCTCAGCGACTTTAGAAGCTCTATATTGCTCCAATAACTTAACCCCTTAGGGACCAAACTTCTGGAATAAAAGGGAATCATGGCATGTCACACGTCACGTGTCCTTAAGGGGTTAAATAAAATACCCAATTACAGAAAAATAGCCCTAAACAAATGAATTAGTTCCAATTGTGGCAATGCGTCGTACATTTAGGATGATATTGCTTAATTTTTGGAAATGAGAAACCAATTATTGCAAATTAGTACTATGGTCTAAGCTCAACATTGCAAACTTTGTTATGCAGAGATTTAAAATTTGGTAGCAATCATAAAACCGGTTATACAAAAGTAGAGAGAGCGGAGCTGAGCGGAGGACAGTGCACGCATGGTCTACAGCTCTGCCAACAGCCAAGTTCACTACACAGTTTGCAAGGCTATATGTAAACCGATAGCGGTGATAAGGATACAGATGTACATTTCATAAAAAGGACCCCCGACTTGCTTGTACTTACCTTTGTCATCTGCTGGATGAGGAGCGTCTCCCTGAAACTTCAGCTCACCGTTTGGACCTGCAGCTGCTTGCTGGGACTTTTTCTGTTCCATATGCATGACAGCCTGTAGGAAGTACATTTTATTGAGCTTGTAAAGCTATAAGCTAACCGCTTGATAACCAGAGATTATGAAACATGTCACAGCACAATACACCATTAAATATGGCCAACCCCAAGCTACTTTATTAGGATCATTTAAACTGTGCGTTAATAGTCACTCAGCAAGTGTCTTATTTCTTTTAGACAAATAATGTATCTGGTGGGTTTAGTTCACTATACCTGCTGGTATTCCTTCTTCTGTGCATCAAGTTCTATCTGCCTCTGCTGTAAGTCTTCATGTTCCTGGCGGAGTTTCTCAGCTTGCTGTTTCAAGACCGCTTCCTGCTCTGATAACTCTTGCTCAAACTTGCGTAGCTCTTCCTCTGTGTACATTTGAGTTTCATCCACGGTCTTAGAGACATCAAAAAGAAAGAACAATTAATTGGCACACAAATGCAAAAAACAAAAATAAAGTTTTTTGCTTCAATTTATACTTGAAAATATAAGAAATATCTTAAAGAGACAGTGTAGGCACCCAGTCTGGGTGCAAACTCCCATCACCCTTGACCCTAGAGTGGCAATTATTGCAGTTTTTATAAACTGCAATAATTACCTGCTAGGGTTAACTCCCCCTCTAGTGGCTGTCTACCAGACAGTCACTGAACTGACTTCCTGGCATGAAGGCCCAGTATTATTATTATTATTGCCATTTATAAAGTGCCAACAGATTCTGTAGCGCTTTACAATATTATGAGGGGGGGGGGGTGTAACTATAAATAGGACAATTACAAGAAAACTTACAGGAACGATAAGTTGAAGAGGACCCTGCTCAAACAAGCTTACATTCTATAGGAGGTGGGGTATAAAACACATTAGGACAGGAATATAAATCAAATAAGGTGGGAGTGAAGCAGAGCTGGAGGAGAGAGTAAAGTGCTGCCCTATAGGAGAGAGCAAAAGACAGGTGTGTAAGGTAGAGGTTACTCTGGGAGGCCATAAGCTTTCTTAAAGAGATTGGTTTTAAGGCACATCTTAAATGATTGAAGACTAGGGGAGAGTCTGATGGGGGGTAGGCAGGCTATTCCATAGGAAGGGAGCCTCCCGCAAGAAGTCCTGCAAGCGCGAGTTGGCCGTACGGCTGCGAGCAGCCGTCAGGAGGTGGTCACGGGCAGAGCAGAGGGAACGAGGAGGGGCATATCTATGGATCTGTCAAGAGATATAGGAGGGGCTAGAATTGTTCAGTGCTTTATGGGTTAGCAATTTGAATTGACTCCTATATGATACAGGGAGCCAATGTAAGGGCCGACAGTGGGGTGAGGTATGAGAGGACCTACTAGAGAGGAAAATCAGTCTGGCGGCAGAATTCATTACAGACTGTAGCAGGGCGATATGGCTTTTGGGAAGACCAATCAGGAGAGGGTTACAATAATCCATGCGGGAAATTACTAGACCATGGACTAGCATCTTTTGTAAGAAAGGGGTGGATTTGGGCTATGTTTTTAAGTTGGACTCTACAGGATTTGGCAGCACAATGGATGTGAGGCTCAAAGGTGAGGCCAGAAAAGTATGACGCCAAGACAGCATGCTTGCAAGGATGGACTTATGTGGATACCACTAACTTGAAGGGAGAGCGAAAGAGGAGGATCAGTATTAGGAGGAGGAAAGACAAGGAGTTCAGTTTTAGAGAGATTGAGTTTCAGAAAGCGGAAGGACATCCAGTCAGAGATGGAAGAAAGGCAAGCAGTGACACGTTGCAGGATGGCAGGAGAGAGGTCTGGTGAGGAGAGATATTTGGGTGTCATCAGCGTACAGGTGGTACTGGAATCCAAAAGAGGCAATAAGTTTGCCAACATTGGGGGAGCATGAACTAATGAGAGAGGAAAAGTATGACTGTTTGGCGAGTGCAAGGGCTGCGCTGTATGAACACAATATGAATCTGCCTGGGTGCGGGACTTCCTCAAGGAGCGTTCAACACAATGGGAGCAACTCTGCAGATAGCGTGTTGATTTAGTATGCCAAGGTTGGGGGCGTGTCCTCTTTGAGGTGCATGTTTGGAGTGGGGCTGCAGTGTTGAAGGCAGAGGTGAGGGTAGTGTTATATGTGGAGATGGCCTGTGAGGGACAGGAGAGGGAAGGGATGGATAGCCGTTGTGAATCAATTTCAGCTGACAGCTGCTGGAGATTAATAGAATTAATGTTCCTCCTGAGTTGAGGGGGGTTAGGCTGAGGTTGTTGGGTGAGGGGGTAATCTAGAGCAACCGATAAGAGGTGGTGATCAGAGAGAGGAAATTGAGTGTTGCAGATATTAGATACTGTACATGCATAAGAGAAAATAAGGTCGAGGGTATTGCCAGCTACATGGGTGGGAGATTTAGCCCATTGCAATAGCCCAAGGGAGGAAGTAACAAAGTAGTTTAGAGGCTGCTGAGGTCAAAGGTGGGTTAATGGGAATATTGAAGTCTCCAAAAATTAGGGATGGAATATTAGAAGACAGGAAGTAGGTTAGCCAGGCAGCAAAGGGGTCAAGGAAGAGGAGAGGGGAACCAGTGGGACGAAAAATAACGGCAATGTTAGCAGAGCGGGGTTTGAAAAGGCAAAGTGAATGAATTTCAAATGATGGGAAAGAGAGGGAAGTGGGGTGGGAAGAGTTTTAAAGGAGCAGTGGGGTGAAAGGAGAAAACCTACACTGCCACCTTTACTCATTGCTTGTCTTGGATTGAGGGTAAAGTAAAGACCACCAAAGGATAGTGAGGCAGGGTTAGCAGTATCAGGGGAAGAGAGCCATGTTTCTGTTAGTGCAAGTAGGTTTAGGGAGTGTGAGATAAATAGGTCATGGATGGAAGTTGGATTTATAGGTGCTGCCCACAGAGCGTGCATTTCAGATGGCAGCTTTAAAGGAAGAATTAGAACGAGAATTACATGGAATGGGTATTAGGTTGTTGTGGTTTCTGGTGTTTGTATCAGGTGGCTTAGTAGCGGAGGGACTCAAGTACCCCCTAACAGTACAGGATTTAGGGATAACCAAGTTGTGTCTAAGGTGTTTTTAGAAAAAACAAAACAAAAACAAACAAAAAAAAAAAAAAAAACCACAACAAGGTAATCCCTAAATCCTGGACTGGTAGGGGGTACTTGAGGACTGGGTTGGGAACCATTGACTTAGATGGATGGAGACAGAAGAGGAATTAGTATATGTTGCTGATGCGCACCCAGGAAAAGAAAGACTGAAATACTTTCCTGATCTCAAATCCTAACACTCCATTGATAGGACTTAAAGGTTCTAGACGTAAGTTCTGTACTTCAGTCTGCTGGTGCCCCTAGCGGTCATGTAGAATTTACCAGAATCAAATGATCTATCACACTAGCAAATCAAGAAAGAAATTAGAGACAGAAATGCAAAACAACCGAGAATCTTACCGCCCATCCATCAGGCTCATTGATATCCTTCCTTTCTGTAGATTTTATGAATTCCTCCAATGTGACCAAACGATCATGATTTACATCCACCTGAAAATACAAACCAATTGAAAAACTTCTCATAAGAACAAAAACAAAATAAAATATAAAATAAACACAAACCAGACATCTTTTTGAGGTTTAAATATTTAAGGGATTTAAAAAAAAAAGATTTCAATACCCCATGCTTGACAAAGACACAACAGTACTAAATCACTGTAAAAGTTAACTTTAAATGGCTTGGTGGTGGTGGGGGTGGGAAGTTGGGGAGGGAGTAGGAGGAAATAATAAATAAATAAAAAATCCAATAAGCATTGTATGCTGGTTCACTATTAGTTGCCAAGTGTTCCTTTTTAATTAACAGGGTTACGGTTTTATATATTGTGTTAACATATGGCAGAGATGATTCAGTGAGATAACATTTACCGTTCCTACCAAATACATAGGAATGTTGATAAGCTGCAAATATATTGCAGACCACTGCCATAATAAGTACATCAGGAAAGGAACATTTATTAAACTATCACCGAAAACGCATTCATTATACAATGCCCCAAATAATCTTCGCCTTTGTAACATTGCAACATTTTGTGAAAAAAGCTAGCAAGAAACGTCTTGAATTTGTTAACATATGAGATGGTGTCACAATCATGGTTAACTATTAAAAAGAACAATTAAACCCATATTTTTCTGTATTGATTGCATTGCACATAAAATCGGTTTCATATTCTTTGAGGTCTAACACCATTTCATGAGAATTTTTTTTATAAAAAACAAACAAGAAACAAAAACCAACAAAGGAAACATACATTTTTCATGACATGCTCTCTCATTCGTAGCCGCTCCTCTTCCATCTCCACCATGTCATCTTCTTCATTCTTGGGGTCATAGACTTTTTCCAGCTACAGACAAAGTATTAACAATTACTGCTTATTAATACGAATACAATGCTTTCTATTAGTCCCAAGATGTACAAAGCATAAGTTTACCAATCTCTCTTCCCATCACCCTACAATTTGTGTAAGAGAAATGACAGAATGACAGAAATAACACAGATCTACTCTAATGTAGCAACGTTGAAATCTGAAGTCACACAATATACCATTTAACTTTGTGCTAGTTTCTGATTACAAGTGTAGCCACTTAGGAGCATGAGAACTTAATTTTGGAGAACGTGGATATAACCACTCAACATCCATTTTGGAGGAGAGTTAGAAGGTGACATATATTATCTGGGGTTTATTTACTGTACAAAGATTTGCCTAGCGAATTGGAAGTCTTAGCCCAAACTAGCAGAGCTAAAAATAGAGGAAGTTTGAGCATTTTTGCAGCTATGCGATTTGGTTTTTGTTTTCCTTTTTTGCAATCCTCCACAACATTTGGTTTAGTTTATAATTCCATTTGATTTCACTTAAAACAAATACATTGGAAAGAAGGACAGAGAGCTTCATTTTACCTCCTTTGTGAAAAGGGCCTCCAGCTCCTGCTCATCCAGTACTCCATCTCCATTGGTATCTGACAGATAGAAAGGTTAAAGAAGATTAATATTAAGGTGCTTTGCCATCACAGAAAAAAACTTCAACGGCATTAGCTACACAGATGACCCGACAAGCTCTTCAAGTTAAATTCAACTGTATTACTAAAAAACCAAGAGGGTTAAAGGGACACTATAGTCACCAGTACAACTACAGCTTAAAGTGACATTAGTCAGAAAAACAACTTTAGTTTAATGAAGCAGTTTTAGTGTATAGACCATGATCCTGCAGTCTCACTGCTCAATTCTCTGCAATTTAGGAGTTAAATCCCTTTTGTAGCCCTAGCCACACCTCCCCTGATTGTGACTCACATACCATGCATTGAAAAAATAAAATAAAAAAAATTGTTTCACTTTTAATTTGATGTAACTTACTTTAAGTTCTTATTGCCTGCTCTCTAAACTGAACTTTAATTATACACAGGAGGCTTCTGTGGGGTCTAGCAAGCTATCAACAGTGCAGGGGATAATACATTTTAATTTAAATAGAATCTGAAAAGAATGTAGTATAAACATTAGCGGACTCTTTAGAGGAAGTATTTAGGAAGGCTGTGCAAGTCACATGCAGAGAGGTGTGACTAAGGTGCATAAACAAAGGGATTTGACTCATAAATGGCAGAGAATTGAGCAGTAACACTGCAGGGAAATGATCTATACACCAAAACTGCTTCAATATAGCTAGAGTTGTTTTGGTGACTATATAGTGTACCTTTAATGCAGTTGTTCTGTGTGTATAGTCAGTCCCTGCATGATTTTGTATTGTAAACACTGCCTTTTCAGAGAAAAGGCAGTGTTTACATTACTGCCTAGTAACATCTCTAGTGGCAGTCTAGTGGCATTGGATTGGCTGAGATAATAAAGTTTGATGAACTCAGCCAAGGAGGCAGATCAGGGGCAGAATAAAGGTAAATAAATTCACTTTTTAATTTGTTGACAGTGGTGCTGGAGTCTAAACTGTGTTTTCACACCTATAGAAACAGGAATACATGTTTGTATTCCTGTAACTATAGTGTTCATTAAGATAATGGTGTTAAAAAAAAAAAAATTTCAAGAAAAAAACGTGATAGCTTGTGCTTTGGTTAGTCTCCACTAAAGCTTCAAACAAGTTTTTACTCATATTTGCCTGTTGCATTTCAGACTGATTCCCACCCACAATGGAGGTCCACATCTTCAAGGCCAGCAAGCTCCCTCTATAAGCAAGATACACCAACCACAGACAGTAAACTGTAGCTGGCTCTATGCAGCTCTAGAAGATACGAGGACACTACGAACAGGCAAACACTTTGCGAGTTCCTTTGTTTTTGTTGCACAGTCTTTAGGGTCTTCCTTAATTAAAATGGATAATAATCCAGACATGGACCCCATGTTTACTAGATGTGGGGGGCGTGGTTAAAGCTACTCCTCACTGATGTTCTAAATTTTTGCCAATTCTCAGTGTTTGTATAACTACTGTTAATTTTTGCTCAAGATAATGGTAGTTTTAGTTAAAATGAACTGAACTGCTACAATTGGCCATTAGTTTGTCCTAGTAAAACACGCATTAATTGCTCTTCCCAATTCAGACACGCACTGCAATCATGGAGGGTGTGTAGTTTTTAACCAAAATAATTTCTTTACCGTGTAACTTGAAGAAGGTTTTGGGGTTAAAGTCATTGGGATCAAGGCCATCAGTTTCTTCCCAAACTTCCTTCAACTGATCCATGCTTCCCTATTACAAATAAAAAAAGGGAGACGACAGCTGAACAAAGTTCATCAAAATGCCAGCTCTTTAAAACAGTGTTCAAGTAGATTGTGGGAAATGTGGTGGAATTTAAAATGTGTTATCATGTGTGAGACAGCTGGGTCACGTAGTGAATAAGTATACGCTGTGTGAGACAGCTGGGTCACGCAATGAATAAGTATACGCTGTGTGAGACAGCTGGGTCACGCAATGAATAAGTATACGCTGTGTGAGACAGCTGGGTCACGTAATGAATAAGTATATGCTGTGTGAGACAGCTGGGTCACGTAATGAATAAATATATGCTACGTGACACAGCTAGGTCACGTAATGAATAAATATACGTGCGTGAGACAGCTAGGTCATGTAATGAATTAGTATATGCTGCGTGACACAGCTAGGTCACGTAATGAATTCGTATATGCTGTGTGAGACAGCTGGGTCACGTAATGAATAAATATATGCTACGTGACACAGCTAGGTCACGTAATGAATAAATATATGCTGCGTGACACAGCTAGGTCACGTAATGAATTCGTATATGCTGTGTGAGACAGCTGGGTCACGTAATGAATAAATATGTGCTACGTGACACAGCTAGGTCACGTAATGAATAAATATATGCTGCGTGACACAGCTAGGTCACGTAATGAATTCGTATATGCTGCATGAGACAGCTCGGCATGTAATGAATTAGTATACGCTGTGTGAGATAGCTGGTGCGTGTAATGAATTATTAACATATGTTGTGTGAGACAGCTGTGGCATATAATAAATTTGTATATGCTGTGTGAGACAGATGGGGCGTGTAATGAATTAGCACAGAGTATTTAAGCACAGAGGACACATTCCCTGTTGTAATGAGCTTCATTGTTAAAAAAATGTGCATATTAATTGTGTATTGATGCCTAGATGTCATTTTTATTCAGTTGCCATTTCCCGGGAAGAATGATCTTTAACAGAAGATAGGGTGATTAATGGTACAATGAGACACATACTGGTACATTAATTTTTGGGTGCTCCCTGTGTTTTTTTTTCAGCTCCTCGTAGCGAGCTTCTTCCTCTTTCCTTTTCTCCTCATCCAGGGATTTGAGGTATTCCCTTCTCTCGTGCTCCTTCAGCATCTCGTATCGTTTGAACTCCTCGTGGCGAGCAGCATCGTAGTTTTCTAAGTCCTTGGTGGCCTGAGCAAATTAGAACATTATATTACATGTGAATGCTAAGCTAAGGGCTGCACAAGCTGGTGAACTACATTTCACATGATGCTCTGCCGACCAAGAGGTTAGCTGTAAAAATGAACGAGAAACAAAATATGCACTGTTCTACAACCCCGCCCTCTAGTGGTTATTTCTCATATTCATAAATCTGACTTAATTGCTTGACAGTGGACTAATATCTGCATCAGGTATCACATGGAGTCCAACAACAAGCAATACAAGAGGCTAGAACACCACATCACTAGACTGAAAGAACATAATTTCATTGAGAAGTAGAAAGGAGTGGATTTTGAATTAGTGTACATGTATGCCAGTGGCCCTTATGTGTGCAAGAAATATCTAAAATACTAAATAATTAAGGATAATGTGAATATCCACTAATAGACAGGTAGTACAATAGTAGACTAAGCCCCAAAGTACAGCCATTTAGAGCAGTCCCCAAGATTTCCTATTTTAACTTTCTGAAGCCTCATTCAGGAAAATTTGCAAGGGAATTTTCATGGACATTTGGTACCAAGAAGCATCTGGAGCTGCATCCAAGTCTCTCTCCCAGAGAGGTGAGATATCAATGATGCCAAGATTATTTATAAGAAATTACATTTCATTTACAAATCAATAATTGAAGAAAGCATGACAATGAATTTTAGATGTTTTCCTCAAATATTAGTATAAGTTGCTACAGAGCTAGACTTACTGCCTGAATAAGAAGTTCCAGATCACGGGCCTCAAAGGTATGCTGATTCTGAGGATCCAGGTGCTCAAACTGCTTCAGTAATCCCATGTGGTCAATCTGGACATCTGAGAAACATGGCAGGTGTCAAAATCATGATCAATAACCAACAGAAATGCAGGGTCATTCACTAGAGTGGAACTGGAAAAATTATCTAGATCATCTCTGCTTTCTGTTCAGATACTCTGGCATTGAATTTACCGTATATACTTGAGAATAAGCCGACCCGAATATAAGCCGATGCACCTAATTTTACCACAAAAAAATGGGAAAAAACGTATTGACTCAAGTATAAGCCTAGGGTGGGAAATGCAGCAGCTACTGATACATTTCTAAATAAAATTAGATCCCAATAAAATTACATTAATCTAATATTTATTTACAGTGTGTGTATATAATGAATGCAGAGTGTGTGTGTGTGTGTGTGTGTATATATATATATATATATATATATATATAATGAAGAGTGTGTGTGTATATATATATATATATATATATATATATATAAATAATGCAGAGTGTGTGTGTGTATATAATGAAGAGTGTGTGTGTGTGTGTATATATATATATATATATATATAAATAAAATGCAGAGTGTGTGTGTGTGTGTGTATATAATGAAGAGTGTGTGTGTGTGTGTGTGTGTGTATGTATGTGTATATGTATATATATATATATATATATATATATATGATGCAGAGTGTAGTATATATATATATATATATATATATATATATATATTACAGTATATATATTGCATTATTGTATATGATGCAGTGTGTGTGTGTTTGTGTAGTGTAAACTGGGTGGTGGGAGGGCATTTTTAATATTTTTATTTTAATATTTAATTTGTTTACACTTTTTTGTCCCCCTCCCTGCTTGTTACCTGGCCAGGGAGGGGGCTATGGCATTCCCTGGTGGTCCAGTGGTATGTACTGAGCAGTGGGGGGGCTGCCGGCAGCAAGCTGTTACTTACCTTTCCTGCAGCTCCTCCAGCTCCCCAGTGAAAGTCTAGCTGAGAGCGTGCCGCGCAGAGCGCTACCATGGTAATCTGTGACAACGCTCTGACGGCCGCGGGACTCGCGAGATTTACACTGGGGAGCTGGAGGAGCTGCAGGAAAGGTAAGTAACAGCTTGCTGCCGGCCCCCCATAATACAGACCCTGACTCGAGTATAAGCTAAAGGGGGGCTTTTTCAGCATAATAAATGTGCTGAAAAACTTGGCTTATACGATAATTGAATTCTCACTTTAGTAAATAACCCTGATGCTCAATAATCACACTTGAAGGATTTTTCATTTAAGTGAGAATTAAAAGTAAATTTCAAATTTAAGGTCCAAATGACTGAACTGGAAATGTTCTCTAAATCAACTATGCTTTTAGTTTGTTTACCAATATTATTGTCCTCAAATTAAAAATGCTCTTTGAATTCACACACCAGTGAATAACCCTGTCTGTATTCCACTGAATATAAGCAGTTCAATACTCAGAAGTGTTTTGTAGAAGAAACCCTGCACAGTTTCTTTTCTTATTATCCACTCAACTGGAAAATTATCAAGAACTGACATGACAAATGCACGTTGTACACCAAATTAGCAAAGCTGGAAAGAGTCGAGTGGGAACATTTTGTTCCTTGTAAGCATTTTACTCTTAAAATGTGCAATTTATGTGTTTTCCACACTGGAAATTGTAGAGCATTCACAAACAAAAACAAAAACCAAAAAGACACAACGCTGAAGCACCAGGAGCAGAAGAGGACAGCTTGAAGAAAATGGCAGCACACACGAGGGACAGGTGCAGGTAAGTTAAACACAATTTTGCCTGCCCGCTCCAGACAGTGACAATCCCGCTTTATTTAAACTATTAAATATTTAAAATTGTTTAAAATGGACAATCTAAAGTGGATCCTTTTTAAGATGTTAGAAGAGACAATGAAGTAAAAATGTACTAGAAAAAAATAAGTCAAAAGCTTAAATCACTTAATAACAATTGCACCATCTTGAACATAGATTTTAAACAGATTTTCAGAATGTAGTGTGCTTACTTTCTTCCATTGTTGCATCCATCTTTGCCTTGATCAACATCCGCAGTCGGGATATCTCCTGCCTCTTTAGCTCATCCAGCCTGGTCCGGACATGGTGACTGACAAAATCCAACTCTTTGCTTAATTTACCACTCTGACAAAGAGCGAGACAAAGAACAGAATGTGTAAATACAAGTACACAGCAAGAGAAAGGAGAGAAATTGATTTGCTTGACATTCTCAAAAAGTATGGACGACGGGGCTGCTTCAGTCAAGTTGTTTCTATACTAATGAATCCACCGCCAGATGCACAGATTAAAATGTTATAGTTCTCTGAAGTCTGTGAGATGAATACACAAACATGCTGGCTATTTTAACCATCTTTGCAGACATCACAAATTATAAAAATTGCACAGCGGACGTGCTCAAATCAAAAATTCATGCCTCTCAGTGTTCGGAAGTATGCAGAGTGGACGTGCCTCCATATATAAACCTCATATTTCTTTATCATTACTATTCAGCTTTGCACATTTTTGCAAGTAAACGTTTTACACGTATATATGGTATACATAAGAAATACGCTAGGCTTAAAAGGGACAAACTATAGTCACCAAAACAACTTTAGTTTAATTACACAGTTTTAGTATATAGATCATGTCTCGGAAGTCTCACTGCTCAATTCTTTGCCATTTAGGAGTTAAATCACTTTTGTTTCTACCCATGCAGCCCTACCCGAACCTCCCCTGGCTGTGAATGACAGCCTGCATGAAAAAAAAAAAAAAAAAAAAGGTTTCATGTTGAATCAGATGTTAACCTGCTTTAGAAGTTTGTATCTCTCACTCTGTAAATTGAACTTTATTCACATACAGGAGGGCTCCTGCAAGGTCTAGCAAGCTAATAACGGTGCAGGAGATACACAATTCTAAATTAAACAGACTGTGTAAACAATAGTAAAATTGAAAATCCAGTGCACTCCCTTATCTACTAAACAGCTACTTTGGTGCCGACTGATTTTGCAAGTTTTATTAAAAACACCTAGTCTAGGCAAAAAATAATGGGGGTTTAGTTACATTATATGATCATACATTGTGTAAACAATAGATCTCACTTTTTAAGAATAGTTTAGGAAAGCTGTGTACATTACAGGCACGGAGGTGTGACTAGGGCTGCATAAAAAAGCGATTTAACTCCTAAATGCCAGAGAATTAAGCAGAGAGACTGCAGTGGCATGATCTATACACCAAAACTGCTTTATTAAGCTGAAGTTGATTTGGTGACTTTAGTATCACTTTAAGCAATTATATAAAAATACATATGTCCAACTTATAGATCAAAAAGAAGGTACATATAGTTAGAATATTAATATTATATTGGCTAGGCACAAGTTGCGTTTGCCTAACTAGGTATATTTGCAGTTTCATCAGTTACTAATGTTTTATTACATTTATTTATCTAAGGCAGGGATGGGCAACCTTCAGCACTCCAGATGTTGTGGACTACATCCCTCTTAATGCTGGCAAATCATGGGAGGCTGTAGCCCAAAACATCTGGAGTGCCGAAGCTTGCCTATGCCTGATCTAAGGATTGAACAGGTATCTGTTCATATGGATAGGATATTAGCAAGGGTTCAATTAATTTTGTAATCTAAATAACTTGCAGTATAACCACACAAAGAAACCATGCACATAGAACTGATTTAATATTAATTGTAATAAGTCAAAACTATTTTCCCTGTAACTCAAAGCAAAAATCTTACAATCAGTAGGTCTTAGTCAATTTTGGGATGTTTAGTTATAAAATAGGTCAGGAGCTTCAGAAATCTGAAGCCATCCATCCACCACCCAACGGTTGTCAGGCCTCACCCAACTTGATCATTTTTAAACAAATATTTTGTTTCCTTGCTAGCTCTCCATAGGGGCAGTTAGACTCACTCACATGTGTGTCCCTGTATGAAAATTGCTCCTGCCTTTAATGCCTGGAAGGTAAAGGGGCAATTGGTTTAAGGAGACCTGACTGACAACTATACGTAAACCTGTCTTTATGTGGAACCAGAAAATCTGGAAAATTTTGTTCCCCCCCCGCCGCCCAAGACATAGAAAAGGCAACCAGTTCTTTGAAGAATGATTGTATCTTCCACTTGCAACATAAATTACTGGCATGTGTAGAATACAGCATTGGGTCCCATACTAAAACCTACCTAGAAATTATCCAGATTGACTGTACACGAATGCACACTTGAGATTTGCACTGATTGCCAGAATGAATCTTTTTTTTTCACAAAAAAATAAAACAGCAATTTTATCCATGAAAAATGTGAGTTTCTCTATTTAAATGGACACTAAAGGCAACCAGATCACTTCATCTTAATGACGTGGTCTGAGTGCAGTGTCTCTCTCTTTGAAAGCCTGTAATATACAATAAAAATACTGTTCTGCAGGACCGTTAAGAATTACATTGCAGAGTTAAGACACCTCTAGTGGCTGTCAAGCAGAAACAAACTAAAGGTCAAACTCTGTTACAGAACAAATGCTGCTGACACAGCAGCATTTGATTGGCACAGTGCTACATCTTGACGCTCATGCGAACTATCCTCCAAATACTTCCCCATGGGAAAGTAGTAGATTGGCGGACATCATCAATCTTGCTGATCTCAGCCAAATATACCAAATGTAAATCTCATTTTTTAAACCCTCATATGGGGACGCACATCCAGATAAGTTACAGGAAACTGGATACATGTTTGCATTGCAAATGCTATAGTGTACCTTTAAATCATTCATTCTGCTCTGGCAATTGCAGCTGTGGCCTAAATCTGCTTCAACACACTATATTGTGCTCACACTGTCCTTATCTACAGTGATTATTTTGTTGCTGTGTTGTAACAGACTGTGTTTGCATAGCATCCTGTTTATTTGGCCGGAAGAAGTACAGAGTCCACAGAAATAATCTGTACAGATACAGCATAGTTGCACATGTTACATTAAAAAGGTTAAAGTGTCATAAGAGTGCTCAAATAGCAGCTGTGCACACCTCAAGCACTTAGTGGGTTAAAAGGAATGCCCATTACCTTTATGTCCTCAGCATTAGCTGCCTGGAGCTTCTCCCGGAAATGGCCATCTGTCTCCAGCACATTGATTACCTCCTGCAAGTAACGGTCATAGTAGAGACCCGTGTCCTGCAAAAAACACAAACAAAAAAACAAAACAAAACACAGTTGTTAAATAATTGAAACTCATACAATTATTCATGCTTATGGCAAAGAAAAGGGAGGACAATATTTTTTGGTTACTCAAAGGGAAATTACCACAATTCTCTGTAGTGGTTGTGGTGCCACCATGAGTTCACGGTGTCTCCCAGTTTGCTCTATTAGTGCAGGGAGGCACTCATTGGCTGACAGTAAATGATACAATGGATTTAAATACTAACTTCCTATAGAGACAATAATATATAACTGGTAGTCCACCAACGTGCTTCACATTGACTGGAGTAGCGATGAATTCACAAGGCTTGGAATGGCAAATGTCCTAACAAGCCTGCCTCTTGGTTGGATTTTAATTGGAGTGCTGTAACAGTGCAGGAGATTGAAGAATATATTCAGCAGCCTTCGATAGAGTGAATACTGCTGTACATACCTAAAAAGATGTGTATGCACTGAGCAAGACACCACCTCATTAATTTAAAAACAAAAAACAAACAAAAATTTACTTAGAAACTTGTATTCATATACCTTAAATAAGAAGCATCCAGCATGTTAGTGCATGCACTCCTCTAAAAACTTAGACACTAAAAAAAACAAACAAAAAAAAACCACATGCATATGGTTCTAACCCAGCACCCAATAGATAAAGAGAGACAAGTGAGGTGATGAGCTGCTATGGGTTTTTGCAATTTTTCAATTCGATATTCACGTGGAATCACTCAAAACTGCATGATTTTATTTGCTGGTCGCAGCATGCTTGGGTCTTACAGGTGATATTCGAAAAATATGAATATTGTGCAAAAGTTCATTTATTTCAGTAATGCAACATAAAAGCAGAAACGAATATACGAGATAGACGCATTACACGCAAAGCAAGATAGTTCAAGCCATGATTTGTCATAAGTGCGATGATTATGGCTTCCAGCTCACGAAAACCTCAAATCCACAATCTCAGTAAATTAGAATATTACATGCAATCAATAAAACAAGGAGTGTACATAGAACAATATCGGGCCTCTGAAAAGTATAAGCATGCATATGGACTCAGTACTTGGTTTGGGCCCCTTTTGCAGCAATTACTGCCTCAATGCGGCGTGGTATGGCAGCTTTCAGCTCTTCTGCATTGTTCGGTATCATGTCTCATCTGTCTCTTGGCAATGGGTTCAGGTCAGGCGAGTTTGCTGGCCAATCAAGCACAGTAATCCCACGGTCACTGAACCAGGCTTTGGTGCTTTTGGCAGTGTGGGCAGGTGCCACGTCCTGCTTGAAAATTAAGTCAGCATCCCCATAAAGCTCGTCTGCGGAAGGAAACATGAAGTGCTCCAAAATCTCCTGGTAGATGGCTGCGTTGACCCTGGACTTAATGAAGCACAGTAGACCAACACCAGCAGATGACATGGCTCCCCAAATCAACACAGACTGTGGAAACTTCACACTGGACGTCAAGCATCTTGCAGTGTGTGCCTCTCCATTCTTCCTCCAGTCTCTGGGTCCTTGGTTTTTAAATGAGATGCAAAAGTTGCTCTCATCAGAAAAGAGGACTTTGGACCACTGAGCAAAAGACCAGGTCTGTTTTTCTTTAGCCCAGGTAAGACGCTTCATACGTTGTTGGTTGTTCATAAGTGGCTTGACAAGAGGAATACGACATCTAAAGCCCATGTCCAGGATCCGTCTGTGTGTGGTGGCTCTTGATGCACTGACTCCAGCCTCAGTCCACTCCTTGTGAAAGTCCCCAACACTTTTGAATTGCCTTTTCCTGACAATCCACTCCAGGCTGCAGTCATCCCTGCTGCTTGTGAAACTTTTTCTTCCACATAGCTTTTTATTAATGTGCTTTGATACAGCACTTTGGGAACATCCAACTTCGTTCGCAATTACCTTTTGAGGCTTTCTCTCCTTATGGAGGGTGTCAATGATGGTTTTCTGCACAACTGTCAGGTCAGCAGTCTTCCTCATGATTGTGATTCCTACTGAACCAGACTGAGAGACCATTTAAAGGCTCAGAAACCCTTTGCAGGTGTTATGGCTTACTTAGCTGATTAGAGTGGGACACCGTGAGCCTAGAATATTGCACCTTTTCACAATATGCTAATTTACTGAGATTGAGGATTTGGGGTTTTCATGAGCTGGAAGCCATAATCATCGCACTTATGACAAATCACGGCTTGAACTATCTTGCTTTGCATGTAATGCGTCTATCTCATATATTAGTTTCCCCTTTTACGTTGCATTACTTAAATAAACTTTTGCACGATATTCTAATTTTTCGAGTATCACCTCTACATGCTCCGAATGTCCCTTAAAGGAACACTATGGTGCTGGACTGCATGTTTAGGTTACCGGCACCACTCACAGTGGAGTTAAAAAGGTATTTAAAGGGACACTATAGTCACCATAACAACTTTAGCTTAATGAAGCAGTTTTGATGTATAGATAATGCACCTGAAGTCACACTGCTCAATTATCTCCTATTTAGATGTTAAGTCACTTGGTTTATGGAGCCCTAAGCACACCTACGTGCATGTGATTTGCACAGCCCTTCTAACTACTTCCTGTAAAGAGTCCTTTAATGTTGATACTTCCATTATTGCAAATTCTGTTTAATCTAGAATTTCTTATCACCTGCTCGGTTAGTAGATTGCTGGACTCTGCAGGAGCCTGATGTAAATAATTAAAGTTCAATTTACAGAGCAGAAGATGAAAACTTTTAAAGTGACATCTGCTTAAAATTGTCAGTCACAGCCTGGAGAGGTGTGGCTAGCGTTGCATAAACAGAAATAAAAGTGATTAAACTCCTATATGGCAGGGAATTGAGCAGTGAGGCTTCAGAGGCTATACACTAAAACTGCGTCATTAAGCTACAGTTCTTTTTGTGACTATAGTGACATAGTTCCTTTAACTTACTTTTTCTTTATAGCTGCAGTGGTCTCACCGAGGCTGGTCCTGCCTCCGTGGCTGAGATCATCAAGCATTATGTTCTCAGCCAATCCAATGCTTTCCCATAAGAAAAAGAATTGGGAGGTTGTAGTACATGCGCAGGAAAACCTTGCACTCTGATCAATATCTCCTTATAGAGATGCATTGAATCAATGCATCTCTATGGGGAGCGTTCACAATGTAGCAATTACATAGAAAGCACCTCTAGTGGCAGTCTATGTTATGGCACCTAGACATGTTACTAAACAATGTAAACAATGCCTTTTCTATAAATAGGCGTTTACATTGGTGAGCCTGCAGGGACATGCTAAAGACACCAGAACAACTAAAGTAAGCTGTAGTGGTTCTGGTGACTATAATATCCCTTTAAAAAGGGTGCACTCCAAAGGCCTGATGGATATACCTTACTTACGTGTAGATTTAACAATAAATAAGGTTACACCTTGCAAAAAGTGTAGCAAGACAAACTACCCACTTGTAGTTTGAGTTTCATTTCCACTTGAAATGCTAGTGCTGTAAAAGTAGAGCACTAAACAGATTTAAATATCAAGAAACCATGTGAGACAGGTACTTACAGCTGGCTCTGGAGGTGGTTCTGCTTCTTTCTTTGGAGTGGCTCTTTCTATGGGTACTGCAAGTCCGAGTCCCAAGATGGAACACACCAGAAAAAGTCGGAATGCCATGAGGACAGGGAAGCGGAATAATAAACTATAAGGCAAAAGCAAAAATAATGAATGTGAGTAGAATTGCACAATTGGATGAAGACAATTAAAAGATTCATTGAAATTTACTTGCCTCTACTAGAAATATACAGAATCCTCTGTTAAGACAAAAGAATACAATGGTATAGAGCCAGTTCTCAAGTACCCCCTACCAGTCCAGGATTTAGGAACTACCCTGTTGTGTAAAATAAAAAAACACTACACATTTTGTACATAGATGGCAAGCCTTGTAATTTGAGCTGTTTGAAATAAAGGCTGGCTGAGTATCAAGGGAACTTTAGTTCACAAAATATTTATAAATACACAGCAACCTTATCAATAAACGAGACTCCTTTACACATCCATATGAACAGCACAGATTTGTTTATTAGACTGTTATACGTAATACCCCTGCAAGGTAAACCATTGTGCTATTATGCCAAGCACAGCATGTGATAACCGGCAGCATGGTGCATGGTGGAGACAAGTTAATTCCCCAACTGCAGAACATTATATTAGTGTCATCATATGCCTCTGAACATTTTCATCGCATCCAAGGAGAATTTGGAACTACTCTAACACTCCTCTTCGTTGTTTCCATTAATTTACATCCAAGTGCATCCCAGATTCATTTTTATTAATTTATAAATTGAGCTTTGACCAGATTCCCTTGGTTTGGACACCATAATCTTTCCCACTAACAGGTGAGCACAGGACAGTCCCTTGAAGCAGTTTAATCAGTACATTTTGCATTTAATATGTTTGTATTAGTGTAGAAACCACTGATATTGGTTAATCATGGTAAGACTGACCATATGGTGTGACAATCCCCCTTTAAATAGATGATTTTAATTAGCTTTTTCAGATTTGAAATGAAGGTGTATTTTAAATTTAGTCCTTAAAAGCATAAAACACAGATTTGCTGTTTAATGGTGTGCCCCCAATTCATTATTTTTCAGTATTTAGAATTCTAGTTTAGGTTTACTGCTAACTTTTCTGTTTCAGCAATGCAGTGATGACCAAGTATCACATAGGTTTGTGAACATTTTAACCCATCCTCCACCCTAAGCATCAAGAGAAATGTAGTTCACAAACAATTGCAGTATTGAACTTAGCCGTCAGTATTGTAACCTGATAGAAACATATTTTAAACCTCTCACTAGCAACACAGAGCAGCTAAGCAAAATTGCTATTTACAGGAATGTAGTTCAAGAATTATCAACAGAAAGTTTTACAATTAACTTGCATCATGAACTAAAGCTGTGGCAACAAGATTAAAAAAAAAGGAAATTAAATTAAATACATTTTTCATGAACATCCCTTTTTGATGATTGCTGGGGAGTAGTCACTATTGAAATACTGATGATGAAACACAGAGCTGGAAATACTCCAAAGTGCCTGGGAACCAGAATTCCTAAACAGGTTTAGGGCTGGCACTTTCACCTTTTGCTCTATATAGAATTCCATGGATTTAACACTTCCCTGGTCCCAGAAAGGATAGAAAGAAATCATATCTAAGGTCGTCATCTCAGCCCCCATCCCCATTACTAAGCCTGTCACCTCAGCCCCCTACCCAACACTAGAGCTGTCTCTTCAGCTACCCCAGCCCCCTATCCTCATCACTAAGGCTGTCACCTCAGCCCCCCCACCCTCATCACTAAGGCTGTCACCTCAGCACCCCCAGCTCATCACTAAGGCTGTCACCTCAGCACCCCCCAGCTCATCACTAAGGCTGTCACCTCAGCACCCCCACCTCATCCTCATCACTAAGGCTGTCACCTCAGCACCCCCCACCTCATCCTCATCACTAAGGCTGTCACCTCAGCACCCCCACCTCATCCTCATCACTAAGGCTGTCACCTCAGCCTCCCCATCCAGGGGCACTAAGGCTGTCACCTCAGCCTCCCCATCCTAATCACCAAGTCTGACAGGTTAAGTTGCCTTCCGTATCACAAAGGCTGCCACCTAAGCCCTCCCCCATCTGTATGCCAAATCGATGTATCCCCTCTCCCAACAGATAAAGCAGCTCTGACCCCTTTACCATAATTAGATTTAACCCACTTATTATAGGCTCCCTGTCACTGCTGACAACACACCAGAAACCCCATCAGTGAAAGCTCCACATCACCATGTAACACACACACACATTGTGCAGTCCCTTTCCATCCTCCATCCTTGCTGCCCCCATAGATCCCATAAAACATGTCATCATTCAGTGTGTCTCCCGCTCTGACAGCCCCAATGACCGCAGGCCGGCAGACACCGGGCATTACCTGTAGGTCCTCACTCGCCGATTTCCACCCGCAGAGCAATCTCTCCAGCTTCCACGACACCCTTCCGGCTCGTGACGTCACTCATCCCGTCCCCGCCCACAGAACATGGCTGGAGGTCGCAGGAATGTGACGCTAAAAACCAGCTGACATCACCATAGCAACGGCTACAGCCAGGATGGCCAAAATATAGCAACAAAGCAGAACTAGGCCCCTGTGTTTTATAACAACTGGGACATGTCTTTACTCCTCTGGCTGACTGGTAGCTAGATGCCCAGCCTGCCAAATGCTCTTCATACCTGCCAAGTTCCCTATTTAGAAGAGACAGTCCCTATGTGCTATCCTAAAGATCCTCTTTTCTAGGAGCTATGTATTATTGGTGAGTGTGAGCGTATACCAGAGCTACACAACAATACTACTCACAGCTCTTAAACTACAATAATAAATGTGTTTAGAAATCAGTCTGTGTAAATAAGATACCCTTTTTCTTGCTATAAATTACATTTCAGTAAAATAAATTGTTATTAGTAAGTGACTGGAGTTCGGCTTCTCTGTGTTTTGCATGGAGGTACTGAACATTCCCCGTAGAGATTAATTGATTCAATGCATCTCGATGAGGAGATGCTGATTGGCACAGAGCGGAGTTTTGCTGCGCATGCACAATAGCCTCTCAGTGATCTCAGCCAACCCTATAGGAAAGCATTGGATTAGCTGAGATCATCAAAATTGATAATCTCAGCCACAGAGGTGTGGCTAGCCGCAACGAGACTGGCACACCGTGGGAAAAAAAAAGGTGAGTAATATCAAATTTTTAGAGTGATCTGAGGGGTCATGTTTGTATTCCTAACACTATAGTGCTCCTTTAAACTGTCCCTCTTTAGCCATTTGAAATATTGGGAGGTATGCCTTTCTAGTGATTCTGAAGCAGCCAACTTTTGTGCATTACTGTAGCTTATAGAAATCATATAAAATAATAATTGCGGACTTAATTTTCTATGATGGTCTGAGGATGACTAATGCCAGCAGATCATCGTAGTACATCTCTACAATTATTATTATATATAGCCCCCACATTCTGCCATGTCCCTCCAGTGACAATAACAATGATTGACAGAGAGCCAAGATGTGTGAATTTCCACATTTAATTGTATTTCTTAAACATCGCAAGTACAAATTTTATAAATAATAGGATAAGAAAATATAATATTAAAAACCCTCTGAAATTATGCTTCCCCTTGTAAACATTTTTGTTTCATTACAAATGGAGATACAAGCTGGTAAACACTAACATGTTATTCACTAAAGTCAGATTATCAGGCCATTCAGACATTGTTCACACTATGTACATATTTTGCAATTTCAGGCTGAATGAGCCTGCATTTGGTGGAGATTTCAGCTGAAATCCAGACCCAAATGTTTAAATCCAAGCCTGGATGCTTCAAATTTAATTTAAACAATCTAAACCATTTGTCTGCTAACTGTGCTAGCAGCCAGTGGGCAAATAATTAAAAACCCTTGGCCACCAAGAGTGGGACTTTAAACTAAATAATGGAGTATCGACAGATGACCCCCTACCCCCACCCATGCATGCAATCTATGAGAAGCATTTGATTGGACCACAAACAGGAAAGAAGTGATGCAGTGTTTTCTCTTCTTTTACAAGACTTTTTTTTTTTTTTTTTAAATAAGAAAAGGGGACAGTCCTCAAGTGCCCAGTAGGACATTTAAAATAAAATAAATATATTGTGAAAAAGGGTTGGAGTAACCTTATAATACCAATGGCATAAACATTGTAACACACACAATAACAATTATACAATGGCAATGGAATAAAGCTAGATTTTGAAAACCAATTAACAAATTCTTTATATCTTTTTCCTTGTGAAACTTAAGCATGTTAAATCATTGAGGATTTTTTTCACAAAACTGTAAATTGTAGATTCTCACCCCAATTCTATTCTTTTGTCAAGTCTCTAAAATGTATGGTTTAATAAATAAACCTGGTTATGTTGACCCCTCCCGTGCTGAACATTTTAAGTTCTTATTATTGTGGGGTTTTACATTGTTATGGAAAGCCATATTGTGACGAAATCACTAATCCATGCAAAGAAAGCGGATTAAGAGGATTCAGGCTGAGTGATATTGATGTCCCTTGGAGGAGAATTAGACAGATTAGCAGCAATGCCTGGTGCTCATACTTGTCTGCACTTAATGACTAGCTGACGGTCTACGTAAAAGCTCCATCATCGAATCTCTGCGTTGCTAAGAGCTCTGCCTGGCTTGCAGGTACTGCAAATATCTGTGATTTCAGATTTAAAAAATGTATTAGACCACCCCAAAGCAGCTTTCAACCTCTTCGATTTGATAATATAAAAGGAATATAATTATTTAGATTAAATAATGAAAATGATTTTCGTATTTTATCATATTAAACTATGGTTAACTGAAGACGTGCACTTTGTTATAGATGACACTACACACTGAAGATCCTCAAATTCTCTGCCTAGAGAGGTAAGTGGAATTGTCTCTTTACACTCATTGGTGAGCAACTAAGGCTGACAGGGTTATTTGCTAAATTCATATTGCAAATTGAATTTAAAATTTTAGAGCAAAACTGCTGAACAGGAAGCATAGCTGACTTGGAAATTTTATTTTTTTAATTATCTATTTTGGCCTTAAATTTAAAATTTGCTTTGAATTCTAGATTATTCTCACTTTAGTAAATAGCCTCTTAGTGTTACATGCCAAATATATTATAATCAGGATTTATTAACTGAAGCGGGGATTGATATAAATCAACAAGTGAATTGTAAATATTAAGTCAAAGTAGCTGAATTATAAGGTTTACTGAATAATCCCAAATTATATCACAAACATGGCTTGTAATGCTACTCAGCATTCTAATTTAGTTTTCTTTTATTGAATAAATCTTTTTACCTTTATTTAAAACTGGACAACTCGTTTTGTTTTAGTCAATGGAAGCATATGGTCTCTCCAAAGCATTTTTTTGTACTCAGAAATGTGATATTCTTGTAAATTTGCAAGTTTGCTCATACATACTATTTAGTCACACATTGTAGCCATATGTTTTCATAGTATCTGTACCTCTGTAAAAGTACCCAAGTTTTGGTGGATCCAACCTAAAATTTGTTTATTTGATTGTGCCTCCCACTGACCCTCGAAATTATACTATACAATGCCAATTCATTCCTTCCAAAATCCTGTTGCCAACAGTGCAACCACTTACCGTCCATCTTATTCCCCACAGTCCCACCCCCAACTCTCATCTTAATTTCCACAGTGCACCCACACCTGCCTTCTATTTTATTTCCCATAGCGCCCCCACACTCAACTTCCATCATATTTCATACAGTGCTTATGGGGAGGGGGAAGGGGGAGTCATAGGTAAAATATTAAGCTATAGGACAAGTGTAGGCAACCTTTGACACTCCAGATGTTGTGCACAACATCTCCCAATATGCTCTTACAAGCATAATGCTGGCAATGCATCAAGGGAGACGTAGTCCATAACATCTGGAGTGCCAAAGGTTGACTACCCTTCCTATTGGGATTGTGGAGTGAAATATGAAGTGACACTGAAATGCAAACCACTGTAATCCAACTGATATATTAGATAAGCACGCTGCCTGGTAATAGAAGTGTTCATAGGCAAGCAGTTTAAATTGTTTGTTTGTATAATTTGTAAGAATCTATCGCTATTAGTAACTAAGATTTTCAAGGTCAACAGTTGCTACTGCTTCCTACTATCTTGCTAGAAAAGCGCTAACAAAGGGTATTTGTATTATATTGTAAAAAATTGTATAAAAGGGGATAGATCACATTCCTTTGTTTGTAACTGATAACTTGTAGATATACAACATTTCAAGCTCTCTGCCCCACAATTAGTATTTCACTGCTTCTCTTTCAAATGCAAAAAGACATGATCCTACATTTCCACAACTCCGGCCTCTGACTGGCTCATTGGAAAAGGCTTTTTAAGAGGGTGGTGGGTGTTTGGCTAATAAAATGATATTGCATATGAGAAAATTTAATAATATATGAGATTATATAGGCTATACACGGTTAGGCAAACTTTGGCTCTCCAGATATTTTGGACTATGTCTCCCATGATGTTTACCAGCATTATGGTAGATGAACCAGAGGAGATAAATATAATGATCTGGTATATGGTACCATGGGAATAATACATGAAATTATATATCATATAGGATTATGGTGTGAGATATGAAATGTTATGGTGTATAAGATCAAGCATGAAATATGGCATATGGGATCAACATGTGACATATCAAATGACATATAAGATCATGGTGTGAAATATGAAATGATATGACTAGCTGGATTACATGGTCAGATTTTAAAATATGGTATGCTGTCTAATGGTATCAAATATGAAATAATATAGAAAAAAACTGCCTTGATATTTATTCTCTATTGAAAAAAAATCTGTGGATACCCATGTACTTACCAATGAAACAGTTAACGTATCTACAGATTTTGAGCTCATAATATTTTAATTCTACTTCTGGGGTGCTGTTCTGATTACAGCGGTGTGCCATTAGCCACTACGTCATACATTGCAATCTGTTCCCCAATGCATTGATTAAGATGCAGTTTGCAATGAATGATGGGATCCACAAACTACCCCTACATGCTGTAGAGTAAATATGACTAAAATCAAATTTACTCAGGAAGCTAGTTCTATACCTATAGTGTTTTGTCAGCTCCAGTAACTCTATGTAAACCATCTATTCTATAACGAATTGTCAAGATGCTCCCTGCTAAGTCTCTCATGCTCAGCTGTCCTTAGACTTATCTCTAAGCAGCTTTGCATCACGTCTTATGCTTAATTAACCAGAAGTTTGCTTCTTCCTGAAATATTGACTTTCTGATACTTAATTTAAATGATCAGCAATTCTGAAATTTAAGCCATGTCCTAACCCTAACCACTACTCTATACCCAATTGCACAACCTGCAGAGATAGGTAAAGTTTACGCTTCTCCAGTGGCAATACACAGATAAGTCTACATCAGAATCTACATCTATGGATGGAGCCTCAGCCTGTTCCAAATATGTTCCTAGTTTAATATTGTCTTACTAATAGTGGCATACACAAGCAGTATTGTGTAGATAAGGGACAAAAAATGTAGTCCAGTGCTATAGTTAAATCTATTACCTCCTATGAGTAATGGCTTAGCATGGCATTGCAGGTTTGTTGACTGTATTTGGCTGTTGGCTATGCATCTGGCACAGTAGCTTCAATGCACTCACATAAAAGGGTCCACTGCTTGTTTTGCCAAGGTAAAAGAGGCGAAAAGTATTTGTTAAACCTCAGGGAATTTGTGTGGATAAATTACAGAGTGGGTACATATGCAGACTTATTCACTAAAGTGAGAATTGGTTGTAATTCCAAGTGAATTCAAAGTGAACTTTTAGGCAAACATGGCAGAGCTTAAACAATTCTCCAAGTTAGCTATGCTAACAGATCGGGTATTTTGGACTTAAAGGTTTAATCCATGCACTATGACCACTTCATAACGTGTATCTTTCTGTTAAAAACCGTGCATTTACAAGACAAACCCCTTATCCGCTGTCTAATGTTAGTTATGTGAAACTTTTAGACTACCAGGGAGCATCAGAGCCCAGAAGGGACCAAGGTATAGTTTTGCCCATAACAAAGGAACCGGGTCAGGGTACTTTTGGCATTATAACCACTACAGCATGCTGCAGTGTTTATGATGCTTTAAGAAACTCTTTGAATATAAAATTCACTTTATATTTACTAAGAATCCCTGATCATTCTCACTTTAGTCAAAAATCCTGTAAATTTACTATTGTCCCTAACTTACCAAATTGTCTCCAGAATTGATTAGGTGCATTCCTATTCAGCGTCCATCCAATCCCAGCTGGCCCTATAAGTGTCTGAGGTAGCTCAGCAATTGCCCAGGAATTATTGTTTTTTATGATTCCTCATCTACTTCTATCAATTAATAAATCAATACATAAATGAATGAAACAGGTGCTCCAGGATCTCCTATTCTGTGAGAGGAAACAATATCTTTTATAACTTCAGTGGCTGGCTAAGTTGTGTAAAACATGTCCAGAGTTGCTGTAGAGATACATGGAGTGAAAATATTTCTAAAGCCGAGGCATGATGATATTGTATAAATATGTTTGGGAAATATGTTAAGATAAATAATAATTTTCATTTGTCTTTGTGTGCAATAGTGGGATAGAAGCGAACCTTCTCAATGTGCGGCAGCACAAACTGGAACAACAGGTACCATATTTGTACTAAATAATGTGTGTATGTTGACGTTGTTTAATATCTGCTTTTGAAAATTGTTTGTCTACCAAATTGCTATCAGATTCTTCCCATTAGAGGCATATTTCACCCTGCAATGTAAGCATGGCCATATCTACTAAATGGCAAAGCTTTACGTTGCAGGGTTTAAACTAAAGGACCACTGCACCTAGACCACTTCATTGAGTTGTAGTGGTCTGTGTGCCTTTAGTGGCCCTTTAAAGATGCAAGATACAATGTGATTCCCTTCCCTAGCATTACCTTCTGACCTAATCTTGATGTCACAGATCCACTAAGTCAGGGGTAGGCAATCTTCGGCACTCCAGATGTTGTGGACTACATATCCCAGAATGCTTTTACAGCTATAATGCTTGCAAAGCATCAGGGGAGGTGCAACCTTCAGCAACATCTGGAGTTAAAGGTTGCCTACCCCTACACTAAGTGAACCTGATCAGTTAAAGGAACAGACAGAAGTACAGATTAGCTTGTTCTTGTATCTAGAGTTCAGTCCCAATGAACTCTCTAATATTATTTGGTTTATCTTGATACAAAGCTGACTTTATGAGAGCCTCTTGATATACACTGTAAAGAAAATAAAGGACATAAAAAGACTGATCACAAACATTAATCTGAGATCTGGATAGCATGCCATACAGGATAATTGTATTTCCTATAGCGTTTTATCTTTGGAATGGCATGTGCTCTTTGACATATTTGAAAATGTTCTCTATTAGTAAATTCTGCATATCTTATTATTGTTGCATACTACTGATTTCATTCACTCCTCTTTACAAATATTTTCCATAAATTCCAAGCGAGACCTCTTTGAAAAAAAACAGAAAAAGAAGAGACAGGAACCACTGATGGTTCAAGCCAACCCAGATATTAAGCTGATGCCTCGACACTCTCGGAAGTCTGGAGAGCAGAGCATATTATTGGACTCTTGCAGCGTCTCCAGCATTTACTTAGGTATGAAAAATATTAGTAACCCAAAACAGAAGGGAAATAGGTATTTTTATTTTCATCATGGGGTTATTCCAACTCTTTGAGAGTCGCATCTCCTTGCCACATTCCTTTCTGTCTCCATTTTGCCACTTACTGCATGGTTTTGTCAACAAACTACTCAAAAAAGAGAACAAACGAAAGCTAGAATATTAAGTGCACCTCAATGCTACCACCGTTAATGAAGGAAAAACACGTTTCAGTATTAATTACCCTTTCTCAATGTACAATTCCCTAAATATTCTGTTTTGTGTGTGTTCCTTTTCTTTTATGGTTAGCGCTGAAACCATTCGGGAGGTCTTCCATGAAGGGAATCCATTCACCTCCCGAATGGTGACCAGCCCGATACCTCATTTAGAATGTTAGGTTAGAACGTTCACACCTCGCTACATAGGTGTCAAACCGCAAAGGGAAACAGTTAATGAGTGCTTCCCTGGGTGGCCACCATTCATACAGATGAACGCCACCAGGGGGAGCATTCATGGATTGTTTCCCGACTCGTTGGTCTCCCGAACGAGGATCTCCCTGGTGCTCCATTGGAACGTTCACACCAATTAATCAGAACGTTCACACTCACAACATAAGTGTAAACCCCCAGGTAAGTAATTAATGAGTGCTCCCCGTCCTGGTGAAAACTACATCAACAGTTTAAAGTGCAAAGAATATTAATCTATGATTTCACAGTTCAACCATGATATACAATATTGTTAAAAGTTATTTTTATTTTTACATTTATTTTTATTTTGGATTTTTATTTTGGATTTTATATAAAAATTAACTTTTTTGGTTTTTGTATTCATAGATGTTACCACAATGTTCATCAGTACATACTAGTTCATAAGTAATCTTAGCCATTTAAAACGCCACCAAGGGGAGCATTCGTGGATTGTTTCCCGACTTGTTCATCTCCCGAACGAGGATCTCCCTGGTGCCCCATTGGAACGTTCACACCAATTAATCAGAACGTTCGCACTCACAACATAATTGTAAACCCCAAGAGAAGTAATTAATGAGTGCTCCCCTGGGTGGCCGCCATTTCGTATAGACAAACGCCGTCCAGGGGGAGCATTCGTATCCCGAAAGGAGACGCTTCCCTTGTCGAGTTTCACACAGGGACCTCACGAGCGGAGCCTGGTTGAAGAAGGCTGTGAGGTCCCCTGAGGCTGGTGTGGGGCACTGGGGCTACTCCTGGGGCACTGGCTAGGTTGGCGTGCTTGTCGGCTTTTCTGTACCTGGGAGATATAGGGACGGTCCCTTTTTCCTGCGCCTGGACTCCCAGGCACAGAGGCCCTTGGGAAGAGGACCCTCTGGCGGCTAGTGTGGGAAACCCTGTGTTCACAGTGGCGGCTTTGGGGACTAAGGGAACAAAGTCCCTTCCCGGGCTAGGGTCCCAGGGAGGGGGAGGATCTTGGGATGTGTCCCTGTATGTTTGTGTTGAAAACCCCTTGCACGGGGTATGCATAAAAGCTGTGTGTGGCCAATAAAAGTGTGTTGTACCCCCAGGACTGTGTGTCGTCCAGTTACCGGGGGGAAATGGGTCTATTTGTACTTTACATGGTTCCTGACCAGCTGAAGGAAGGGAATTAGTGGAGGTAACCAGTCGGGTTACCCGTGATCCGCTACAATGGTTTTGCAACTTTAAATATAATTATCTTTGTTCTTGTGTTGAAATTAAATACCCAAAGTACAGCAGTTCATTAATATTTAGCCATTTGTGTACCAGAATATGACTGGCAAACAATCCGTTTTGGTTAATAACTGATAGTCTGGATGACCCAACTCTGGAGAGTATAAACTGAAAAGGCAGATTATGTATAATTGCCAGCTGGTTTGCCAACCAACAGGAAATATGACTGAATAATCTGTGAAGCGTCAGCAAATCAAGAAAGCCTTTCCTTGTAACAAAGAACGTGATTGAGCTTGACTATACCTTATATATACTAGAACTAAATAAATATCTGGATTGGGCAATAACTGAAGACTGGATTTGACAGTAGCCGAGGACTGGAGACAGGACCTGACTGAAAGAATGAACATGATGCAGTATTATACTTATTACAAGAGAATTATGGCTAGAACTGTAGGAGTAGAGGGATTATAGTGCCAAATTAGGCAGATTAATGGTCTTTAACACGTCATACACTATGAAAAATATTAACTGGAGAAGGCAAGAGTGAAATAGGTAACTTTTTATTTTCATTCCTGCTGTGCCCTGGCACCAAGTACAAGAGTTTTGAGATAAAAAGGCGAGGCAGAACCCTGACAAAAATGCCATGGGAACGCATAGAGGAAGTCGGAGTGAAGGAAAGAGGAGGGGAGGCCTTTCACACTTAATAATAAATATAAAGAGGTACCAAGGTAGTATCAGCAGAGGTATGGGAGTCTATAGAGCAGGCCAGTCTGAGATTTTGAGAACATCAGCTGGGGAACTAACCGCCTTTCAGTGCACCCATATATTTAGAATTACTAAGCCCTCAATTAAACCAAGAAGTTATTAACAGCAATCTTAACTAGAGTTCTTTACACCATTGATATAATAATAATTTTAATAATATAGTATAATAATAATAATAATGATAATAATAGGTATTGTTACACACAGAGAACTATTTAATTAGATAAACTGGTGAAAAAGGTATTGAGATCTCAGCCCGTGAGCAGCAATCTAACATTTGTAGTACTTTGATATTTGTAGTACGATATTGTGCAATGAGACAAAATGTACAGTTAGCAGCCAGTGTCTAGTTGTTTTAACACAACTGGTGAATTATGGTATATAAATTAAAATTAAGAAATGGTGAGTGGAAGATGTAGAAGAGATTATGAGCTTATATTTGAAATAAGAACAAAAAGAGAACATATACATAGTGAATTATTTAATTACAAAGGAAAAAATGAATAAAAACAATGGATACACTCACAAAAAGAATGGCACAAAGAGAAATATTTCTATTTGTGCTAAAGAGCTTGTCACCCACTAAAGGGCTAAGTCCACATACAGTTGGTATCAGCCTTGGTACCTCAGGGTGTCAGTCACTCACTGTGTTCACCAATCTTCACATTAAATTGGAAAGAGTTGAATGTTGTCCTGTAGATCTGGCAGGTATTGGCTATTGGCTTTAATCCTTGGGGATACTTCAAGCTTCTCTCCGCTCAACGCGTTTCGTCTGGCGACTTTGTCAAGAGCTGTGTCTATTCCTCCATTCCGGCTGTTTAAATACAGTAGATTGCGCAGCTTTCAATAGCACGCGCGTGCATAGAACAAGGGAAAGAAACAACGAACTTAGTCATGTTTCTCACTGCACACGTGTGCGCTTCCAGCCTGAACCGCAAACAACTTTATTGACAATTTACGCCGGGAGACACTGTTCCATTCAGAACCTAGAAATCTTACGGAACAAAGTGCATCAGCGGTGAAAACTACATCAACAGTTTAAAGTGCAAAGAATATTAATCTATGATTCCACAGTTCAACCATTATATACAATATTGTTAAAAGTTAAAAAGTAGTCGATATTTAAAACATTGACAAATTAAAATATGTATTTCAAATTATTTGAAATAATCATTGCTCTTTATTTGGGGAGAAGCAGGATAAGGGTGCTTTTTTCAAACCAAGGCCTCCATTTAATATTTTTGAATGAGCTTTTCAAATGATTTAATATTTTTGGATACCTTTTAAAATTATATTTTCAAAATGTAAAAAAAATATTATATATTGTATAAAAAAAATCAATATAGAAAAAACATCATTTTTTAAAAATATATAATCTTTTAAAAAGTTTATCTAAAAATATTTGAATTCAGGCCTATCAAAATTACAATACAGGACAGGCAATCGTCTCTAATGATTTTTACCTATATACCTTGTTTATTAATGGATTATATTACACTTTGGGCTTTTAATTTATTGAATTTTATTTTCATGTGTTTTTTTTTTTTTTAATGAAATAATGCATTCTTTTTCTTTCTGTATTTATTACAAAACTATTTCAGGTGCCTCCAATCTTGGCATGCCAGAAGGACTATCAGGGGCTCCCAATCACACACCCAAAAGCCGTTCACGTAGTTGCCCAAGGAATAACGAACTCGACAATGAACAAGGAAGCAAAGAGAAAGATCAGTATAGAGGTACATTGTATGGTATATATATCAAATATGCATGTACCAGGGCATGATACATTATTTATTTGATCATGTGGGGAATTGATACACTATGTACAATTTTATTAATTATTACACCCTTTGTGTTTAATCTATATTTCTCTATTGTATTTAGTTAATTTTGCATTTATGTTATCAGTTCACCAGAAGAAAACATGTAACATATATTTAATAGACTTGTACACTCAGTTTCTTCCGTATATCGATTTGTCTGAATTTAGGGGCAATCGACATTTCCCCTGAAATCCCAAACTCCGAAACAATATATGAACGCATCATAAAACAAATGAAATGGACATGGAAGGATTTTGTTTGATTTTAATTTGGAGTTCCACCCATGGCACCAAAAAAAAGATGATTGATGGTTAGTGATGTCCCGAACGGTTCGCCGAACAGTACGCCACGGACGGCAAACATATGCGCTGTTCGGTCCACCCCCTATTCGTCATCATTGAGTAAACTTTGACCATGCACCTCACAGTCAGCAGACACACTCCAGCCAATCAGCAGCAGACCCTCCCTCTCAGACCCTCCCAGGGCCGGACTGGGAGAAAAATTCGGCCCAGGCATTTTTTTAACACAGCGGCCCACTAAGAAGGGGGCGGGGCAGAGGAGGTGTGTTTTGTCATCACCAATGACAAACACGCCTCCTCTCAAAGTGAGCATGTTTGTTCAATGCTCTTCCAGGGCAGACCATGCGCAGAGCTCTGCTGAAGAGCTCTAGCATGAGAAAAAAGCTCTGTATTTGTTCTGCACAGTGCAAGCAAATTTAATAACATGCTTGCACTGTGTTTCCTTGCAACTTGTCTCTGGTGTCTCTATAAATGGATACCAGGAGACAAAAGGGCCAGGAAAGAGTATTGTGCATGTGTTTGGAGCCTGCTTGTGGTATTGCGTGTGTGTAGAGTGAGCTGATTGTGGTGTGGTATTGTGTAATAAGGTTGGTTTTAGTCATGTTGTGTTTGTAGTGTAAAGTGGTGTAATGTGATGCATATGTGGCTATGGGCTGTAGAGAATGTGTGTATTGGGGATATAGCAAGTGTGTGCATACAAGCTATAGTGTGTGTGTGTGTATATAGGTGATGTAGTGTGTGTTTAGGGGTGTAGTATGTGTTTGCTTACAAGGAATCTAGTGTGTGTATAGGGGATATATATATATATATATATATATATATATATATATATATATTTGGAAGTATTGTGTATGTGTGTTGGGGGGGTTCTGTGTGTGTGTGAGAGTGCCGTGTGTGTGATGGATGTGAGAGTGCTGTGTGAGAGAGTGCTGTGTGTGATGGGTGTGAGAGTGCTGTGTGTGAGAGAGTGCTGTGTGTGATGGGTGTGAGAGTGCTGTGTGTGAGAGAGTGATGTGTGTGAGAGAGTGCTGTGTGTGATGGGTGTGAGAGTGCTGTGTGTGATGGGTGAGAGAGTGCTGTGTGTGATGGTGTGAGAGTGCTGTGTGAGAGAGTGCTGTGTGTGATGGGTGAGAGTGCTGTGTGATGGGTGAGAGAGTGCTGTGTGTGATGGGTGTGAGAGTGCTGTGTGTGATGGGTGAGAGAGTGCTGTGTGTGAGAGTGCTGTGTGTGATGGGTGAGAGAGTGCTGTGTGTGATGGGTGTGAGTGTGCTGTGAGAGAGAGTGCTGTGTGTGATGGGTGTGAGAGTGCTGTGTGAGAGAGTGCTGTGTGTGATGGGTGAGAGTGCTGTCAGAGAGTGCTGTGTGTGATGGGTGTGAGAGTGCTGTGTGTGATGGGTGTGAGAGTGCTGTGTGTGAGAGAGTGCTGTGTGTGATGGGTGTGAGAGTGCTGTGAGAGAGAGTGCTGTGTGTGATGGGTGTGAGAGTGCTGTATAAATGTTAGAATGGATTGTGTGTGTGTAGGGGGGTAAATAAAAACAAAAAAACAGGCATTAAATCCCCCCCCCCTTCTTACCTTCAGCCTGTGAGGGGGGGGGGGGCGGCACACTGGGACTGGGAATGGGTGGCAGTGTTCCCTGTGGGGCTAGAGTTCACTCTCGCGAGACACGGTCGTTGCCATGGCAACGCGCCGGATCTCGCGAGAGGAACCCGGCGGAGCTTCAAGTTAGAGCTCCGCCGGGTCCTCCTCTCCTGGCGGCTGTCTGTCTCCCTCCCTCTCTCCCCGCCGGCGGCTGCATTTGGGCCGGTGAGGGAGAGCTTTGATCTCCCCACCGGCCCTTCATGGCAAACAGCGGGGCCGGCGCTAGGAGAGTGCCGGCCCTGCATAGACCAGCAGGGGAGATCCTGGGACCTCCCCTGCCGGCCTCGGCCCCACGGCCACCGCGGCCCACCGGTGTGCCCGATGGCCAGTCCGGGCCTGGACCCTCCCACCTCCTGGACAGCTCACTAAGAATGCAGCTTCACAATGAATGTAAAATGGATGCTGTCCAGGAGGTGGGAGGGTCTGGGAGGGAGGGTCTGCTGCTGATTGCCTGGAATGTGTCTGCTGACTGTGAGGTACAGGGTCAATGTTTACTCAATGATGACATAGGGGACGGACCGAACAGTGCATATGTTCGCCATCCATGGCGAACCGTTCGGCGAACCGTTCGGGACATCACTATTGATGGTTAGGGGACAGCCAATAAATTTCGATTTTATTTATTGATCAAGGGAGATGTGACCAGTAGACAGAAGAAATTAAGAGCAGTACAAAAATAAAAATATGTATTATTACACACACATATAAATATATGAAAATATAATTTTTTACTGTTCTTCCTCTTTTTCCCTCTATTATTACTAACTCACTTAATGTTCAAAACGAAAAATGGCACGGATGTTGTTTTTTTGAATACCATAAAAAAACAAATGGCACGGATGTTGTTTTTTTGAATACCATAAAAAAACAAATTGATAAACCAAATTCTTTGGTCGTGCAGAAGTCTAATATTTAATAAGGTTAGAAAGGTGCTCTTTAACCCATACAACTGGTACAGTAAACTGAAAGTTTTTTTGTCTTTTTCTGCTGTTTTGGCTAGAATATTTTCTGACCCATCAGTGCCCACTCTATATGTCACAGGATTACATACTGGAATTAATAATCCCCTGAGGAACTATAAATGGGGACAAAAATATACAATATGGAAGAATTATTTCAAAGTTTCAGAATGGAGAAGTCCTATTGGTCACTCAGTGGAATGTGTTGACACTGTGTATTGTACACCTGGAAGCCCATGTTGATCTCTATGCTGTAACCTAGTGCCATGGTCCATAATAGACTTGCAAGTCAGCCTTGGTACACATTTAGTATAGATGTGTATTGTGGCATTCATGTTCAATTCAATGTCCACAAACTGCAGAGTCAGATTAACAATAAGTGACATTAGGTGACTGTCTAGGGCCCAGAGGTTAGACAAGTACTCTAGTAGCATAAACTTGCAAAGTAACCTGCCTCTGACACTATGGGATCTTTATCCTTATCTTATTAGCTCATGAAAAAATAGATTTCTAATGTAATAATATAAAATTAATTTAAAAAAATAGACATTCTGACCATGTGCAGATCAAACAACTAATAGGTAAAGTCTGACATACACAATACATGCACCCTCTATACAGTATGCACAGGGCCGGTGCAAGGATTTTTGCCGCCCTAGGCAAAAGTAAAGTTTGTCGCCCCCCTCATCCCCCATGTGATCTGCCATGTTAACTAACGCCAGTGCTGCAGTGCCGCCGTGTTTAAATTAAAAGGCCTGCAGGGCCTGAAGTGGTTCTGGGGACTAGAGATTAGTGCCACGAATAATATACTAGATTGCCTACTTACAACCAGATGAGGATGATGATGGGCTCTAGCTGCAGTCTGGCTCCACTGGTCTGGTGTAGAACAGGCTCCCTGGAGGCTGTTTGTAACTGTGGTCACAAAAATCAATGTTCTGGGAGAATGGGAAGCAGCTCCATTTTTTAAGGCCCTCTACACACAAGGTCTGGGTCCCAGGGTCCACTTTCATGTTCCACCAATGAGTTTGTTCACAGGGGGTGGAGTAGGGGGATGTCCGGATATGTGTGTAAGGAATGCATTGTGTGAATCTGTGTTTGTATGTGTAAGGGTTGCAAGGTGTGTTTCTGTGTATGTACGGGATGCATTGAGTGTGTGCATCAGTAAGGGGTGCATTGAGTGTGTGTAAGGAATGCATTGTGGTTTCTGTGTGTGTAAGGGATGCATTGTGTGTAAGGGTTGCATTGCTTGTGTGTGTGTGTCTGTGTGTGTAATGCATTGTGTGTTTTTCTGTGTGCAAGGGGTGCATTGTCTAAAAATTTACTAAAAATAGTCATCCGTAATGCTGTATGAAGCTGAAAAATACCTTGGATCTCTGCAGGGGAAGGGAAAACCCTAAGACAAGGTACCCTAACAATCTGTGGCTTCGAGGGCACCCCTTAAAAGTAATGCCTAATATTCCCACTGCAATAGGATGAAACCTCCCTCCAACAGCCTGAGAAGTATAGCTAGAATAGAGACCCTGACTCACTAGTTAGTTAAACCGCTCATGATAGATAGTTGTTAGTAACTATACTCATGGGCGTCCGCAGGAATTTTTCCGGGGGAGAGGGGGGAGAGGCATAATTATAATGACATCCATGTTTGGCCCCTTTTTGACAGTGTCATGAAGGGGAGGGGCATAGTCATTATCATATAAAGCCAGGATAAATAGCGTTTTCACAACTATGGTGTCAGGAATACATAGAATGTGACGGCAGATAAGAACCATTCGGCCCATCTAGTATGCCCAATTTTCTAAATACTTTCATTAGTCCCTGGCCTTATCTTATAGTTAGGATAGCCTTATGCCTATCCCACGCATGCTTAAATACCTTTACTGTGTTAACCTCTACCACTTCAGCTGGAAGGCTATTCCATGCATCCACTACCCTCTCAGTAAAGTAATACTTCCTGATATTATTTTTAAACTTTTGTCCCTCTAATTTAATACTATGTCCTCTTGTTGTGGTAGTTTTTCTTCTTTTAAATATAGTCTCCTCCTTTACTGTGTTGATTCCCTTTATATATTTAAATGTTTCTATCATATCCCCCCTGTCTCGTCTTTCCTCCAAGCTATACATGTTAAGATCCTTTAAACTTTCCTGGTAAGTTTTATCCCACAATCCATGAACCAGTTTAGTAGCCCTTCTCTGAATTCTCTCTAAGGTATCAATATCAGGGCTCGAGTCCTGCAGGAACGCATGGGAACGGCGTTCCTGCACTTTTTCCAAAGCAGGAACGCCGTTCCCGTTACCTGTCCTGCAGGACCGGCCCTGGTCCCTGCACTGAGGGGCCGTCACATGCTGTGTTCCTTCTCCAGTTATAACTCTCGCGAGACCCGCGGCTGTTACCATGGCAACGCTCCGCACAGGCGAGTCTCGCGAGAGTTAGAGCTGGAGAGGGAACACAGCGTGTGATGGCCCCTCTGTGCAGCGGCTGCCTCCCTCCAGCATACCACCGGACCACCAGGCGATCTCCCCCCTCCCTGACAAGGTAAGAAGCAGGGAGGGGGGGATAAAATAAAAAAAAATATAGACACATAAAGTTAAAAAAAATGCTCCCCCCCCCACACCCATCATCCAGCACTCACACACCCATCATCCAGCACTCGCACACCCATCATCCAGCACTCACACACCCATCATCCAGCACTCACACACACATCATCCAGCACACACACACACATCATCCAGCACACACACACATCATCCAGCACTCACACACACACCCATCATCCAACACACACACACATCATCCAGCACTCACACACACATAATCCAGCACACACACACACACACATCATCCAGCACACACACACACACACACATCATCCAGCACGCACACACACAATCATCCAGCACACACACACAATCATCAAGCACACACACACAATCATCCAGCACACACACACATCATCCAGCACTCACACACACATCATCCAGCACTCACACACACACACACATCATCCAGCACTCCACACACATCATCCAGCACCACACACACACATCATCCAGCACACAGCACACATCATCCAGCACCACACACATAATCCAGCACACACACACACACACACACACACACATTGTATAAACCAACCTCGCCACTGTGAACTGGAGAAGCCTGGTTGCTCGCCTGCTCCCTTTGGACTATGGCCCTGCAGGTTAAACCGTTTATTTCCCCTGCAGAAAGGCTTATTTGTGGGATCTGAGTGCCATTCATCTAATAATGTGCACTCAGATCCCAGCTATCTGGGGATATGTGAAATGTCTGTGTGTTATGTGTAAATGTGACTTTATGTATTTTAAAGTGTTTTTGTGTCTTTTTGCAACCATGTGCTTAATGGAGTCTTGTGTCTATCCTGGGAGATAATTTAATTACTCTCCAGGATAGAAGACTCTGAAACTGGTTTGGGCCAGAAAGCCATGCTTCATTTAGTCACAAAGGACTTTCCCTTAACTTTTGAACCCCTGGTCTGATTCGTGCCATTTTTTAATATGTTGTTCCTCTGAATGGATTGATTATGAAAATGTATGTTTTATGTTTGTGACATGTATATTTTAGAAGTTAGAAATATTGTGTAAAAACTGTATTCCTCTGCCGGTGATAATGAGATTACCCATTGTGTTCAGTAATCATATCACATGCAGAGGGGAGGATTTTGTGTGGGAGTGTCTGGGTGTATTGTACGGATTGATTGGTTGTTTTGTAACGCCCTGTGGGCTGTACTATGTTTGTGGATTGGGAATAAAAGAGACTGTATGTGACAGTACAGGGAGTTCCTGTTTTAACCCTCAAAGTGAAGTGTCGTCTCATTATTGGGGGAAGGATTTATTGTATGCTGTTCCAGTTTGACTGCTAGGAGAGTAAACCTATTCGTATGGTTCCTATTCAACTGTCTACAGCATTCATATGCTTGAGAGAAGGTTAACGCTTCTCTGGTTCGGTGATTGTGGCGTCTGCTGCAGTGCTTGGAGTCCTCAGAAGCGCTAGGACAATCTTTCAACGGAGGTACCCAGTCGAGGTGCCAGGCGATCCGTTACATTGGTGGCAAGCGGCGGGATCGTTCCTACAACCAGAAAGACAGCTACAGGGCAACACCATTCCTTGGATTACAAAGTGAGGGCAACGCCAGTACCCGTACAGCGACCCTATCTACAAAGGAACCAACGTCGGCAGAGCAAGCATGGCGTCTGACTTCACTCAGGAGGAGTTTGACAGAGAGGTTGCCATGCGGCTGGCTTACTTTGGCCCCAACCCAGAGGAGAAATATGTACAGTTCGTGAGGAAGTTGGCAGCAGAATACCTGCAGTTCCTGGCAGACCAAACCAAAGGTATCAGCCGCCCTATCCGGGGGCAGAGTGCGTTACGGGGACTCAAAGGTGTACCCCAGGGAGCAGAAGGTGTTGTTCTTCCTCCCCAGCGGCAGTGTGTACCTCAGGGAGCTGAGGGTGTTGTTCTTCCTCCCCAGCGGCAGTGTGTGTCCCAGGGAGCTGAAGGTACAGTACTTCCTCCCCAGCGGCAGTGTGTATCCCAGGGAGCTGAAGGTGTCGTCCTTCCTCCCCATCGGCAGTGTGTACCCCAGGGAGCTGAAGATGTCGTCCTTCCTCCCCAGCGGCAGTGTGTATCCCAGGGAGCTGAAGGTGCAATCCTTCCTCCCCAGCGGCAGTGTGTAACCCAGGGAGCTGAAGGTGCCGTCCTTCCTCCCCAGCGGCAGTGTGTACCCCAGGGAGCTGAAGGTGCCGTCCTTCCTCCCCAGCGGCAGTGTGTACCCCAGGGAGCTGAAGGTGCCGTCCTTCCTCTCCAGCGGCAGTGTGCATCCCAGGGAGCTGAAGGTGCCGTCCTTCCTCCCCAGCAGCAGTGTGTACCCCAGGGAGCTGAAGGTGCCGTCCTTCCTCCCCCAGCACCAGTGTGTACCCCAGGGAGCTGAAGGTGCCGTCCTTCCTCCCCAGCGGCAGTGTATATCCCAGGGAGCTGAAGGTGCAGTCCTTCCTCCCCCAATGGCAGTCTGTGTACCCCAGGGAGCTGAAGGGTGCAGTCTTCCTCCCCAGCCAGTGTGCCCCAGAGCTGAAGGTGCCGTCCTTCCTCCCCAGCGGCAGTGTATCCCAGGGGAGCTGAAGGTGCGTCCCTTCCTCCCCAGCGGCAGTGTGTATCCCAAGGAGCTGAAGGTGCAGTCCTTCCTCCCAGCGGCAGTGTACCCCAGGGAGCTGAAGGTGCAGTCCTTCACTCCCCAATGACGGAGAATGTGTACCCAAGCTGAAGGTGCAGTCCTTCCTCCCCACCGGCAGTGTGTACCCCAGGGAGCTGAAGGTGCCGTCCTTCCTCCCCAGCGGCAGAGTGTCCTGCAGGGAGCAGAGACCGTCAGTCTCGCACCCCAACCACAGGACAAAATAATGAAAGGGGAGACAGCTGGTCCCCCTCTCCACCAGCAGAGAGAGTGTCAGGAAGAGGAGCCTGATACCCCCTCTCCCCAGCGGCAGTTTACAGTTCAGAGAGAGGAGCTTGTTACACCCTCTCTCCAGCGGCAGCCTAACCCAGCAAGGGGAGATGTTACACCCCCCAACAGTGCAGATGGGACTGTAGTCTCTGCACTTACAGCACAAGGGGTAGGGACAGTCGGTCCTGTTCCCCAGCCACAGAGCGGTGTATCCAGAGGGGAGACAGTCGGTCTCTCCCTCCCACAACCAGGCTCCCACCAGGCTACTTCCGTGGTAGCACTGGCATCAGGGCAGAGTACCGCTGGTCTCTGCCCACTCAGCAACCCACCAAGGCAGCCTAACAGTTGCCCACACAGTCGTGGTGAGGCACCTGGACATGGACAAAGTTCTCCTCTACCCAGGTGTAGTAACCAGTTATTGTGGGTGGGCTGTACTGCTGTTTCTGTTTTGTGGGTGGGTTGCTGGACTAACCAGGGCACTGACCGGCAGGAGGTCAGATACCCTGTTAGTCTAGTTGGTAAAGGGGAGAAGTGTGGCGAAACCAACCTCGCCACTGTGAACTGGAGAAGCCTGGTTGCTCGCCTGCTCCCTTTGGACTATGGCCCTGCAGGTTAAACCGTTTATTTCCCCTGCAGAAAGGCTTATTTGTGTGATCTGAGTGCCATTCATCTAATAATGTGCACTCAGATCCCAGCTATCTGGGGATATGTGAAATGTCTGTGTGTTATGTGTAAATGTGACTTTATGTATTTTAAAGTGTTTTGTGTCTTTTTGCAACCATGTGCTTAATGGAGTCTTGTGTCTATCCTGGGAGATAATTGAATTACTCTCCAGGATAGAAGACTCTGAAACTGGTTTGGGCCAGAAAGCCATGCTTCATTTAGTCACAAAGGACTTTCCCTTAACTTTTGAACCCCTGGTCTGATTCGTGCCATTTTTTAATATGTTGTTCCCCTGAATGGATTGATTATGAAAATGTATGTTTTATGTTTGTGACATGTATATTTTAGAAGTTATAAATATTGTGTAAAAACTGTATTCCTCTGCCGGTGATAATGAGATTACCCATTGTGTTCAGTAATCATATCACCTGCAGAGGGGAGGATTTTGTGTGGGAGTGTCTGGGTGTATTGTACGGATTGATTGGTTGTTTTGTAACGCCCTGTGGGCTGTACTATGTTTGTGGATTGGGAATAAAAGAGACTGTATGTGACAGTACAGGGAGTTCCTGTTTTAACCCTCAAAGTGAAGTGTCGTCTCATTATTGGGGGAAGGATTTATTGTATGCTGTTCCAGTTTGACTGCTAGGAGAGTAAACCTATTCGTATGGTTCCTATTCAACTGTCTACAGCATTCATATGCTTGAGAGAAGGTTAACGCTTCTCTGGTTCGGTGATTGTGGCGTCTGCTGCAGTGCTTGGAGTCCTCAGAAGCGCTAGGACAATCTTTCAACGGAGGTACCCAGTCGAGGTGCCAGGCGATCCGTTACATTGGTGGCAAGCGGCGGGATCGTTCCTACAACCAGAAAGACAGCTACAGGGCAACACCATTCCTTGGATTACAAAGTGAGGGCAACGCCAGTACCCGTACAGCGACCCTATCTACAAAGGAACCAACGTCGGCAGAGCAAGCATGGCGTCTGACTACACTCAGGAGGAGTTTGACAGAGAGGTTGCCATGCGGCTGGCTTACTTTGGCCCCAACCCAGAGGAGAAATATGTACAGTTCGTGAGGAAGTTGGCAGCGGAATACCTGCAGTTCCTGGCAGACCAAACCAAAGGTATCAGCCGCCCTATCCGGGGGCAGAGTGCGTTACGGGGACTCAAAGGTGTACCCCAGGGAGCAGAAGGTGTTGTTCTTCCTCCCCAGCGGCAGTGTGTACCTCAGGGAGCTGAAGGTGTTGTTCTTCCTCCCCAGCGGCAGTGTGTGTCCCAGGGAGCTGAAGGTACAGTACTTCCTCCCCAGCGGCAGTGTGTATCCCAGGGAGCTGAAGGTGTCGTCCTTCCTCCCCATCGGCAGTGTGTACCCCAGGGAGCTGAAGATGTCGTCCTTCCTCCCCAGCGGCAGTGTGTATCCCAGGGAGCTGAAGGTGCAATCCTTCCTCCCCAGCGGCAGTGTGTAACCCAGGGAGCTGAAGGTGCCGTCCTTCCTCCCCAGCGGCAGTGTGTACCCCAGGGAGCTGAAGGTGCCGTCCTTCCTCCCCAGCGGCAGTGTGTACCCCAGGGAGCTGAAGGTGCCGTCCTTCCTCCCCAGCGGCAGTGTGTATCCCAGGGAGCTGAAGGTGCCGTCCTTCCTCCCCAGCAGCAGTGTGTACCCCAGGGAGCTGAAGGTGCCGTCCTTCCTCCCCAGCGGCAGTGTATATCCCAGGGAGCTGAAGGTGCAGTCCTTCCTCCCCAGCGGCAGTGTATATCCCAGGGAGCTGAAGGTGCAGTCCTTCCTCCCCAGCAGCAGTGTGTACCCCAGGGAGCTGAAGGTGCCGTCCTTCCTCCCCAGCGGCAGTGTGTATCCCAGGGAGCTGAAGGTGCAGTCCTTCCTCCCCAGCGGCAGTGTGTATCCCAGGGAGCTGAAGGTGCAGTCCTTCCTCCCCAGCGGCAGTGTGTATCCCAGGGAGCTGAAGGTGCAGTCCTTCCTCCCCAGCGGCAGTGTGTACCCCAGGGAGCTGAAGGTGCAGTCCTTCCTCCCCAGCGGCAGTGTGTACCCCAGGGAGCTGAAGGTGCAGTCCTTCCTCCCCAGCGGCAGTGTGTACCCCAGGGAGCTGAAGGTGCCGTCCTTCCTCCCCAGCGGCAGAGTGTCCTGCAGGGAGCAGAGACCGTCAGTCTCGCACCCCAACCACAGGACAAAATAATGAAAGGGGAGACAGCTGGTCCCCCTCTCCACCAGCAGAGAGAGTGTCAGGGAGAGGAGCCTGATACCCCTTCTCCCCAGCGGCAGTTTACAGTTCAGAGAGAGGAGCTTGTTACACCCTCTCTCCAGCGGCAGCCTAACCCAGCAAGGGGAGATGTTACACCCCCCAACAGTGCAGATGGGACTGTAGTCTCTGCACTTACAGCACAAGGGATAGGGACAGTCGGTCCTGTTCCCCAGCCACAGAGCGGTGTATCCAGAGGGGAGGCAGTCGGTCTCTCCCTCCCACAACCAGGCTCCCACCAGGCTACTTCCGTGGTAGCACTGGCATCAGGGCAGAGTACCGCTGGTCTCTGCCCACTCAGCAACCCACCAAGGCAGCCTAACAGTTGCCCACACAGTCGTGGTGAGGCACCTGGACATGGACAAAGTTCTCCTCTACCCAGGTGTAGTAACCAGTTATTGTGGGTGGGCTGTACCGCTGTTTCTGTTTTGTGGGTGGGTTGCTGGACTAACCAGGGCACTGACCGGCAGGAGGTCAGATACCCTGTTAGTCTAGTTGGTAAAGGGGAGAAGTGTGGCGAAACCAACCTCGCCACTGTGAACTGGAGAAGCCTGGTTGCTCGCCTGCTCCCTTTGGACTATGGCCCTGCAGGTTAAACTGTTTATTTCCCCTGCAGAAAGGCTTATTTGTGTGATCTGAGTGCCATTCATCTAATAATGTGCACTCAGATCCCAGCTATCTGGGGATATGTGAAATGTCTGTGTGTTATGTGTAAATGTGACTTTATGTATTTTAAAGTGTTTTGTGTCTTTTTGCAACCATGTGCTTAATGGAGTCTTGTGTCTATCCTGGGAGATAATTGAATTACTCTCCAGGATAGAAGACTCTGAAACTGGTTTGGGCCAGAAAGCCATGCTTCATTTAGTCACAAAGGACTTTCCCTTAACTTTTGAACCCCTGGTCTGATTCGTGCCATTTTTTAATATGTTGTTCCCCTGAATGGATTGATTATGAAAATGTATGTTTTATGTTTGTGACATGTATATTTTAGAAGTTATAAATATTGTGTAAAAACTGTATTCCTCTGCCGGTGATAATGAGATTACCCATTGTGTTCAGTAATCATATCACCTGCAGAGGGGGGGATTTTGTGTGGGAGTGTCTAGGTGTATTGTACGGATTGATTGGTTGTTTTGTAACGCCCTGTGGGCTGTACTATGTTTGTGGATTGGGAATAAAAGAGACTGTATGTGACAGTACAGAGAGTTCCTGCTTAACCCTCAAAGTGAAGTGTCGTCTCATTATTGGGGAAGGATTTATTGTATGCTGTTCCAGTTTGACTGCTAGGAGAGTAAACCTATTCGCATGGTTCCTATTCAACTGTCTACAGCATTCATATGCTTGAGAGGATTCATATGCTTCTCCGGTTCAGTGGTTGTGGTGTCTGCTGCAGTGCTTGGAGTCCTCAGGAAGCTTTCTAGGAGCATCTTTCAACGAGGTACTCAGTCGAGGTGCTGTGCCATCCGCCACACATCATCCAGCACACACACACACACACATCATCCAGCACACACACACATCATCCACACACACACACACACATCCATCCAGCACACACACACACACATAATCCACACACACTCACACACACACTCATCCAGCACACACACACATCATCCAGCACACACACACACACATCATCCAGCACACACACATCATCATCCAGCACTCACACACACATCATCATCCAGTGAGCACACACACGTCATCCAGCGAGCACACACATCATCCAGCACACGCACACACTGCATTCATTATACACACTCTTCACTCACTACAAACACACTACATTCACTATGCACCCTCTGCATTCACTATACACACTCTGCATTTATTATGCACATTCTGCACTCACTACACACTACATTCACTATACACACTCTGCATTCACTACAAACACACTACATACACTGCATTCAGTGTACACACTCTGCACTCAATAAAAACACACTGCATTCATTATACACACTCTGCATTCACTACAAACACACTACATTCATTATACACACCCTGCACTGCACTATATGCATAGGAGTGTAATTTTTTTAGCAAAAGTAAATTCGGTGAGTTCTACACTTTTTCCCAGGACTTGACCCCTGATCAATATCCTTCTGAAGATACGGTCTCCAGCAGTGTGTACAATACTCCAAGTGAGGTCTCACCAGTGTTCTGTACAGTTGCATGAGCACTTCCCTCTTTCTACTGCTAATACCTCTCCCTATACAACCAAGCATTCTGCTGGCATTTTCTGCTGCTCTATTACATTGTTTGCCTACCTTTAAGTCAATCAGAAATATTCACCCCTAAATCCCTTTCCTCAGATGTTGAGGTTAGGACTCTATCAAATATTCTGTACTCTGCCCTTGGGTTTTTACGTCCAACATGCATTATCTTGCACTTATCTACATTAAATGTCAGTTGCCACAATTCTGACCATTTTTCTAGCTTACCTAAATCATTTGCCATTTGGCTTATCCCTCTTGGAACATCAAGCCTGTTACATATCTTAGTATCATCAGCAAAAAGACATACCTTACCATCAAGACCTTCTGCAATATCATTAATAAAAATATTAAAGAGAATGGGTCCAAGTACAGATCCCTGAGGTACCCGACTGGTGACAAGTCCAAGCTTCGAATATATTCCATTGACTACAACCCTCTGTTGCCTGTCATTCAGCCACTGCCTTACCCATTCAACAATATTGGAATCCAAACTTAAAGATTGCAGTTTATTGATAAGCCTTCTATGTGCAACAGTGTCAAAAGCCTTACTGATATCTAGGTAAGCAATGTCTACTGCACCGCCCTGATCTATAATTTTAGGTACCCAATCAAAAAAATCAATAAGATTAGTTTGGCATGATCTCCCTGAAGTAAACCCATGTTGTCTCTGATCTTGAAATCCATGTGTTTTTAGATATTCAACAATCCTATCCTTTAACATGGTTTCCATCACTTTCCCCACTACTGAAGTAAGGCTTACTGGCCTATAGTTGCCCGACTCCTCCCTATTACCTTTCTTGTAATGGGCACAACATTCGCTAACTTCCAATCTTCTGGGACTACTCCTGTTAACAATGATTGGTTAAATAAATCTGTTAATGGTTTTGCTAGTACACCACTAAGCTCTTTTAATAGCTTTGGGTATATTCCATCGGGTCCTATTGACTTATTTGTCTTTACTTTTGACAGTTGAAATAGAACCTCTTCCTCTGTAAACTCACGTGTAATAAATGACTCATTTATCCTTTTTCTTAACTGAGGTCCCTTTCCTTCATTTTCATCTGTAAATACAGAACAAAAAATTTCATTGAGGCAGTCAGCTAGACCTTTATCTTCTTCTACATACCTTCCTTCTTTTGTCTTTAATCTAACTAATCCTTGTTTTACTTTTCTTTTCTCATTTATGTATCTAAAAACAGTTTTATCCCCCTTTTTTACTGACTGTGTTATTGTCTCTTCTGTGTGTGATTTGGAAGCTCTTATAACTTGCTTAGCCTCTTTCTGCCTAATCTTTTAGATCATTTTGTCTTCCTCACTCTGGTTTTTTTTTATAATTACTAAATGCTAACTTTTTGTTTTTAACTATTTTGGCCACATCTGCGGAGTACCACAGTGGTTTCTTGAATTTTTTGCTTTTACTGACAAGCCTAATGCAATTTTCTGTTGCCTTCAATAGTGCAACTTTTAAATAATCCCATTTTTTCTTGGACTCCATTTAAATTGCTCCAGTCTGATAATGACTCCTCTACACATATTCTAATTTTAGAAAAGTCTGTTTTTCTAAAGTCTAAAACTTTTGTTTTTGTGTGGTGTGACTCAGTCACTGTTCTTATATTAAACCACGCTGACTGATGATCACTGGATCCTAAACTTTCACCTACAGTAATATCTGATACCAAATCTCCATTTGTTAACACTAAATCTAGTATGGCCTCTTTACGAGTTGGCTCCTCAACTACTTGTTTTAGAGACAATCCCAGTAGGGAGTTTAGAATACGTGTGCTCCTGGCACAAGCAGCTATTTTTGTTTTCCAATTTACATCAGGAAGATTAAAGTCACCCATGATGATAACTTCCCCCTTCATTGTCATTTTAGCTATTTCCTCAACTAGTAGATTATCTAACTCTTCAATTTGTCCTGGGGGCCTATAAATCACACTTACACGAGTTACTGTGTGATTACCAAATTCTAACGTAAGCCAAACGGACTCTATGTTTGCCTCACTAACATTTATTAGGCTAGATTTTATGCTATCCTTCACATACAGGGCCACCCCTCCCCCTTTCTTGCCTTCCCTGTCTTTTCTATATAAAGAGTACCCTGGTATTGCTATGTCCCAGTCCTTTTTCTCATTGTACCATGTCTCAGTAACAGCGACTAAATCTTCACTATCAGTTGCCATTATTGCCACAAGTTCATGGATCTTATTCCCTAAACTGCGAGCATTTGTAGACATGATACTAAGCTTATAATTTTTTAACACACTTGCTACAGGCACCTTCTGTCCTTGTTTTGGGGGACAATTGGATTGATGTTTTAGCACCCTTTTGCCCCCCCCCCTCCAGTTTAAATACATCCTGACACTATACATATATGTATTCCTGACACTATAGTGTTCCTTTAATCAAATTAAAGGAACATTCTGGTCACCATAACAACTTAATCTAAATGAAAATGATGCCAGGAGGCCCCTGGGTTCTCTCTTTCATTTAAGGGGTTAAACCACTCTCAAATGGTTTAACCCCAAAGACTTCCACCAGCTCCAGATCTCCAGGTTGCTCAGTGGTATTCGGCTTCTGAAACGGAAGTGCAGATTGACGTCAGGCTGTGTGCCACTGATTGGTTAGAGTCAGCTGACACTCTAAGTCAATCGCTAGTTCCCGGTTCAAACCTTTTTTTTAGTTTTTGTGAGTGGGGAGCTACTGATTGGCCTAGAGTGCCAGCAGACCACTCTAGCTAATCAGCGACACCCCTACCCAACAGCACTCTGTGCTTCCTGACATTTAGGAGATAAAAGACACATTAACACAGATATTTTTTTCCAAGGAAGATGAGAAGGTCCAAAGTTTCCCTGCCAGGCCTAGGTTCCAAAGCCTTATGATGTGGTGTCCAGAATAAAGTGGAGGGATCACTTCACTTGTCCTACTTGCTCAAATCTCCCTTTCTTATTCTTCATTTGACACAGTCTTCTTATTCTTCTCACACTGTCTTCTCTCATCCTTGGCTTCTTTTGCTCCTTTACCTTTTTGTTACTTTCTGCTTCTTTTGCACCCTTCTGCTCCTTTCTCTTTTTGATCCCTTTCTTTTCCTTGCAGACCCATTCTGATCCTTCTCCGACTTTACCTGTGTGCTCCTTCTGCCCCTTCCAGCTCTTTGTTGCCCCTTGCTGTCCCTTCCTGCTCATTTATTTTCCTTCTCCTTCCTGGTCCTTCTCCTACTTTACCTTCCTGCTTCTTGCTGCCCTTTCTGCTCCTTGCTGTTCTTTTACCTTTGTGTTCCTTCTGATTATTTCTGCTCCTTTACCTTTGTGCTCTTTCTGTCCCTTCCTGCCCCTTTCTTCTCCTTGCAGACCCTTCCTGCTCCTTTCCGCCCTTTCCTGCTTCTTGCTGCCCCTCCCTGCTTCTTGCAGACACTTCCTGCTTCTTGCAGAACTTTTCTGCTTCTTTAGACCTTTCCTGCTTTTACCTGCCCCTTCCTGCTCCTTGCAGACCCTTCCTGCTCTTACCTGCCCCTTCCTGCTCCTTGCTAACCCTTCCTGCTCATTTCTGTTCCTTTCTGCTTCTTCTCCTACTTTACATTTGTGCTCTTTTTGCCCCTTCCAGCTCCTTTCTGCTCTTTGCTGACATTTCCTGCTCCTTTCTGCTCCTTCTCCTACTTTACCTTTGTGCTCCTTCTGATTCTTTCTGCTCCTTTACCTTTGTGCTCCTTCTGTCCCTTCCTGACTCTTTCAGCTCCTTGCAGCCCCTTCTTTCTCCTTGCAAACCCTTCCTGCTCCTTGCTGCCCCTTTCTGCTCCTTGCAGCCACTTCCTGTTCCTTGCTGACCCTTCCTGCTCCTTGCTGACACTTTCTACTCCTGGCAGACCCCTCCTGCTCCTTGCAGACCCTTTCTGCTCCTTGCTGCCCCTTCCTGCTCATTTCTACCCCTCCCATCTCATTTCTGCTCCTTCTCTTACTTTACCTTTCTGCTCGTTCTGTCCCTTCCTGCTCATTTCTGTTCCTTCTCCTTTCTGCTCCTTCTCCTACTTTACCTTCCTGCTCCTTGCTCACCTTTTCTGTATGCTGCCCCCATCCCACACTTACCTGATCTGTAGGCTGCCCCCCCACGCCTCACTTACCTGATCTGTAGGCTGCCCCCATGCCTCACTTACCTAATCTGTAGGCTGCCCCTGCCCCCATGCCTCAATTACCTAATCTGTAGGCTGCCCCCATGCCTCACTGACCTGATCTGTACGCTGCCCCCAATCCCTCATTCCCTGATCTGTAGGCTGCCCCCCATGCCTCACCTACCCACCCTGCTGGGCTGCCTCCATGCCTCACTCATTTTAATCTGTAGGCTGCCCCCCACGCCTCCCTTACCTGATCTGTAGGCTGCCCCCCCCACTTACCTGAGCTGTAGGCTACCCATCATCCCACACTTACCTGATCTGTAGGCGCGCCCCCCCATCCCTCACTTACCTGATCTGTAGGCTGCCCCCCCAGTCTGGGATTTGCTGACTGCACCCTGTGCTGCTCCCCTGCGGTTTCAGTCAGGAGAGAGAAGCAGGTATAAGATGTAGCTTCCTATCCCTGCCTCTCTCCACACAGTGGTCGGCGCCGGTATAGCAGTGTATTATCAATCTCTAAAGAAAAATACCAGCACAAACTTAAAAATCTGGGGTGGGGGTGGAAAGTGCCCCCCCACCCATGGCTATATTACTAACTAGTAGCTGTACTACTAACACCTACCTATCATGAGAAATTATTTTTTGTTTTACACACAAGTGTTTTTGGGTGTTGATGCTCACCAGTTTTTATATATTAGCTAATATAGTAATAATAATATTTTCTTGCAAATGGTCAGGCTTTTCAGATGATGACATAGAAGAAACTACATTGGAGGACACGCAACCTCTTACCAGGAGGAAAGAACTGTTCACACCTGAACAGAAGCCGAAAATAAAGAAAAAGTCAGGTGTGTTTTCTAATCCTCCGTAACTATTTAACTTCACAAATGGTAAGACTTAATATAATTATTTTCCTAGCTCACAGAAGCAAGAATTCCTCTTCCATTCAGACATGTCCCTTTTTGTTGGAAATTAACGCTATAACATGGGGAATAACAATCAAAGACAAAGCAATCGATACTAGGAAGGAAAGAGCCTAAAAATAACTCAGTTGTAACTCAGAGAATGACACAGGTCACTAGTACCGACATCTATTTTTGTTTTTCTTTTTTTTGCTTCTGGTTCTAGATTCATGTGGGTTATTACCTTTTACTACGAATGAGGCCTTTATTACTTTCCCCCTTCACTTGGTAGTGCCGTCGCCAAGGGTGCATAATTCATTGTTGCACTATATAATATTGCCATTTAATGTAATTTATGTAGTGCAGATATGAATTGGCCACTTGGTTGCAAGATCAGATGACATAAGGGGTAGTGTGAATTGCATAGGAATGTGAAATGGGGGAAGATGGTTTTCATATGGTTGATCCCTTGATTAATCAAAGGCTCTGTAAGGTTTGAGAAGTAACACATAAGTGGCCTGGAAGTCTAGCTCCAATGTAAACTAGCTGGCTTTAGCCATATGGCCTCTACCTTTTAATTGATGAGTGGATTTCTTTGATATGTTAAAGATCATTAGAAAGGAGAAAAAACAAGCCTTGTGTTGCAGTATCATATCCAAAAGAAAGAAACATTAATATTTACCCACAGAATAATAATTAAGCCTAATGTTTTTGTTATATTTGGAATGTGACAAGCACCATCTTCTAAACAAGCCCACACATGATTGGCATAACTTAACCATAGGGGAAGGGATTGTGATGTCCGCTATATTGGGTCACAAGTAAGAAGTGTGACATATCTGTGGAATGGAGAAATAGTAACAAATTCATAGAGGCAATTATTATTCCTGTGGCAAGTATAAAAGAGGAGGTAGAAGGAAAAGTTTCTATTTGGATTCATTTGGGTATGGGACACAAGGGGGTGGTCACTTATTGTTTCTATAGATACGCCTTAACTCCACCTCTGGGTGAGGCATGGTAATCCACAGGATATATCTATAATGAGATTGAAGTGTACATTGTACTTGCTTGAGGGGCCAGAATCAAATTCTAAGTGAGTCACCATCTTTCATACCAGAGGCCCATGGTGCAGAAGTTTTACTCTGAAAAGCTGAGTAAGTGATTAGGACTTCTGTTATTTTATCCCTTTTGTTTTTATCTGTTGTTGGTGTTAATAATTTGTTTATCATCAATTTTTAGTATGCACTGTGACTATTTTTTGCTCATAATAAATATTCCTTTATTAAGTTCTGCCTTTATTTGGTAAAGAATCACGTTACCTGAAGAGACTAATTAGTATTTTGCAATTACATAGATATTGTGCTAAGTTACATTTGGTGGGTTTTTATTATTAAGTTACCTGGGGAACCAAGGCACCCCATTTATAAATTGTCTTGGTGGTGGCAGTGTTAAAATAGTAATATTTATATTATTATGCTTAAGTGTGGGTGGTGTTAAGGGTAACTTTGTCATTATTTCCGGTCTAGTGCAGACTAAAAGTGAACTTTAACCCTTTCATCACCACAACTACGTCACGCACACTCTTGAAGTAGGGTGCATTCGTGACACCTTCCTCTTCCTAACCTAGGGCTTAATCTAAGTCTCATCCTAAATCTATTTCTAAACCAAATCCTAAAGATAATGCTAATTGGGAACTTAAATGTCATTGTACCCCTAGACATTACTTTAAGGCTTTGTTGTTAGACATCACTTAATAATTCTAACCCTAACCCTAAATTTCATAACTATCTCGGCCACGTATCTTAACTATACTTATTAATGTGTCCCTCACTATTCTTCTTAACTTCTTATTGGTCTCAAAACATGATAAGAAGCAAATCCAAAATGGAGCAAAGTTCTCTGGGCTGCAAATATAATACAACAAAAATACCATAAAAATTAGAATTATGTTCTAGATTTCTCAAAGAGTGTTTTTTTAATGTCCTTGCACCATCTTTGACCACTGTAAGCTCTGCAAGAGTGCTCCTTTAAGTTCAGTGAACTGAACATCCACATTCCCCAGGTCTCCAATAGGCTTTATAGAATAATAGATTGTTTATGAATATATATCTCTTCAATTTGTCACTGTAAGAGGTTGTCCACAATCAGATACTGTTAGAGCTTTGCTTCCAACAACGACATGCAATGTTGATGACATTTTAACTAACTGATTACTTTGAGACTGTCCTATGAGGTTACCAAAGTGATCTGTGAATTATTAAAATATTGTGCTACAAAATCTGTGATGTGGAAAAACCTTTCCATTTTAATATCTAACCAGTTAGAATGAGATTGGCCTATGAGTTATGCAAGAAAACATATAAATTATTACATTGTAGCAATTCTATAGTGAAATTTTTTAAACCTTTTTAGGGCTGAGCTAAATTATATTTTTTTGCTATTTTTTGCACAATACCTTCTCAATTACAGTATTTAGTTTATTCACTAAAATGTAAAAAAATCTAATTGTAAGTAGAGATGAGCAGACACCTGGATGTTCGGGTTCGCCAGGTTCGGCCGAACATCGGCAAAAAGTTTGAGTTGGGCCTCAAACTTGACCCGAACTTGACCCCGAACGCGAACCCCATTGAAGTCAAAGGAGAACCGAACTTTTGGGTACTAAAATGGCTCTAAAAAAAGTCATGGAAAGGGCTAGAGGGCTACAAAAGGAAGAAAAATGGGGGTAAGAGTAGTACAAGTGTCCTGCAAACAAATGTGGATATGGAAATAACATAAAATACATACAAATTAAAAATAATAATCTTGAACTAGGAGGAGGAGGTGGATGTGGAGTAGGAGGTTGAGGAGGCGGTGACCGTGGCGGTGTAGGTGGAAGCGGTGGTGGAGGAGGTAGCCAACACTGTTTTTTATTTATTTATTTTTAAGTTTTTTTAACTGGGGTAGCCACCAAAATATTGAGACATATAAAAAAAGAAAACAAAGAATAAGTGCACTTGAGTATAACAATGGCTGAGTGAGGCCGGTATAAATGTCTTTTGTGCACTAGGTACAGACAAGTCTGGTGGGACCCATGCCTGGTTTATTTTAATAAACGCAAGCTTTTCCACGTTGGCTGTGGACAGGCGGCTGGGCTTGTCTGTGATAACGCCCCCTGCTGTGCTAAACACACATTCAGACAATACACTGGCTGCGGGGCAGGCCAGCACCTCTAAGGCATAAACGGCAAGCTCAGGCCGTGTGCCCAATTTGGAGACCGAGAGGTTGAATGGGGCAGACCCATCAGTCAGTACGTGCAGGCGTGTGCATACGTACTGTTCCACCATGTTGCTGAAATGCTGCCTCCTGCTAAGACGTACCATACCAGCTGGTGGTGCTGGTTGTTGTGGCGTGCTGACAAAGCTTTTCCACATTTTGGCCATGCTAACCCTGCCTTCTGAGGTGCTGGCAGTGCCCCAGCTGCATTGGCGACCTCTTCCTCCTCCTCTGCCTTCGCTTTGTGCTTCCACTGAGCCCCCAGTGTCAGTTGGGGATGCCCTCAGCAGCGCCACTAACAGCGTGCGCTTGTAGTCGAGCATCTTCCGATCACGCTCCAGTGAGGGAATTAAGGACAGCACGTTGTTCTTGTAATGCAGATCCAGCAGGGTGGGCACCCAGTAATCAGCACAAGTTAGAATGTAGGCAACTCGGCAGTCGTTGCGCAGGCACTGCAGCATGTAGTCGCTCATGTTTGCCAGGCTGCCCAGAGGCAAGGACAAGCTATCCTCTGTGGGAGGTGTATAGTCTGTGTCCTACGTATCCCCCCAGCCACGCTCCAATGGGTGCCACCCTGCAGTGAACACAGTTCTTCCTCCTCCTCCTCCTCATCCTCCTCCTCCTCATCCTCCATAACTATGCCCTGGCTGGACAATTGTGTACCTGGCCTATGCTGGTGCAGGAACCCATCCTCCGAGCCACTTGTGAATGACTGGCCTGATAACCGTGGAAATGAACCCTCTTCCTCCTCCTCTTCCTCCTTTGCCACATCCTCTTCCATCATCGCCTGAAGCATTTTTTCAAGGAGACATAGAAACGGGATAGTAAGGCTGAGAACGGCGTCAGCGGCACTGGCCATGTTGGTGGAGTACTCGAAACAGTGCAACATGGCACACAGGTCTTGCATGGAGGCCCACTCATTGGTGGTGAAGTGGTGCTGTCCCGCAGAGCGACTGACCCGTGCCTGCTGCAGCTGAAACTCCACTATCCCCTGCTGCTGCTCGCACAGTCTCTCCAGCATATGCAAGGTGGAGTGCCACCTTGTGGGCACGTCGCATATGAGGCAGTGAGCGGGAAGGCCGAAGTTACGCTGCAGCGCAGACAGGGAAGCAGCAGCAGGGTGAGAACACCGAATGCGTGCACAGACGGCCGGCACTTTCTGCAGCAGCTCTGATATATCTGGGTAGTTTTTCAGAAAGTTCTGCACCACCAAATTCAGCACATGCGCCAGGCAAGGGATGTGCGTCAAACCAGGTAGGTCCAGAGCTGCTATGAGATTTCGCCCATTATCGCACACCACCAGGCCCTTCTTGAGGCTCAGTGGCAACAACCACTCATCTGTCTGTTTTTCCATGCCCATCCACAGCTCCTGCGCGGTGTGGGGTTTTCCCCCCAAACATATGAGTTTTAAAACAGCCTGCTGTCGTTTCCCCCTGGCTGTGCTGAAGTTGGTGGTGAAGGTGTTACGCTGACCGGACAATGAGGTGGTAGAGGAGGAGGAAGTGGAGTAGGAGGAGGAGGCAACAGAAGGCAAAGAGAAATGCCCTGCAATCCTCGGTGGCGGAAGAACATGCACCAAATTGCTATCCACCTCAGGCCCAGCCGCCACTACATTTGCCCAGTGTGCAGTTAGGGAGATATAGCGTCCCTGCCCATGCTAACTATTCCACGTATCAGTGGTTATGTGGACCTTGCCACAGATGGCGTTGCGCACTGCACACCTGATTTTGTCCGCCAGTTGGTTGTGCAGGGAAGGGATGGCTCGTCTGGAAAAGTAGTGGCAGCTGGGAACCACGTACTGTGGGACAGCCACCGCCATCAGGTTTTTAAAACTGCCCATCTCCACTAGACTGAATGACAGCATTTCAAAGGCCAGGAATTTTGAAATGCTGGCATTCAGGGCAAGGGATCGCGGGTGGGTAGGGGCGTACTTCCTCTTTCTCTCCAGTGTTTGGGAGATGGACAGCTGAACGCTTCCATGGGACAGTGTGGAGATGCTTGGGGACGGTGGCGGACGTGGTGGCAGGTGCCACTGTCACTCCAGAGGTGGAGGAAGAGGCCGGGACAGCAGCAGAAGAGGAAGCAGGAGGAGCCTAAGACCTTTCTTGGTTTTTGAGGTGCTTCCTCCACTGCAGCTCATGCTTGGCATGTAGATGCCTAGTCATGCAGGTTGTGCTCAGGTTTAGAACGTTTATGCCTCGCTTCAGGCTCTGATTCCACAGCGTACAAACCACTCGTGTCTTGTCGTCAGCACATTGTCTGAAGAACTGCTACGCCAGGGGACTCCTTGGAGCTGGCTTTGGTGTGCTCGGTCCCTGGGTGCGGTGGGCAGTAGCAGGCATACTGTCTAGGGGACGGACGCTCCGCTTTTGCACCCTGTTCCCTCTTATGCTGTGCTGGTGTCTCTGTGCGACCACCGCCTCTTCCTCCAAACTGCACACGTCACTTGCATGACCTTGATTCCATGTGGGGTCTAGGACCTCATCATCCTCCACATCATCTTCCACCCACTCCTCAAACCTGCCGTCCTTGCTGCAGAAAGCCACAGTAATTGGCACCTGTGTTTCGTCATCATCAGAGACGTGCTGCGGTGGTCCTCGCATGTCCACATCCTGACACATAAGTGGTTGTGCATCAGTGCACTCAATCTCTTCCACTTCTGGGGCAGGGCTAGGTAAATGGCCCGCGGAAACCCCACCAGCAGAGTCATCAAAAAGCATAAGAGACTGCTGCATGACTTGTGGCTCAGACTGCTTGGCTGATATGCAAGGGGCTGAGGTGAAAGATAGATGGCCATGGGCTGCAGGTGCCAACTCTGAGCTTTCAGCAGGGGACCGGGTGGGAGACAATGTGAAGGAACTGGAGGCACTGTCAGCCATCCAATCTACTATCGCCTGTACTTGTTCAGGCCTCACCATTTGTAGAGCGGCATTCGGGCCTACCAAATAACGCTGAAGGTTCTGTCGCCTACTTGCACCTGAGGAAGGTGTTTCACTTGTGCGTGTAGCTGGCACAGATCGACCACGTCCTCTCCCTGCAACAGGAGCTCCACCAACACCAGCAGCACCACGACCAGGGCCACGTCCCTTATTTGACACTCTCCTCATTCTTTGCGTTCACCCACCAAACTAACAGATGGTTTAAATTTGAATTTTTCAAAGTGCAATGTAACCACAGTATTTGACGGTTCTATTTCACTCTCAGATATAAAGTGCACCGCAGGACCCAAATGTACTATTTAGCACCAAAAAAAATTGAATTTTTAAAAGTGCGATGTAACCACAGTATTTGACGTTCTATTTGACTCTCAGATATGAAGTGCACCGCAGGCAGCAAATGTACTATTTAGCACCAATAAAATTAGAATTTTTCAAAGTGCGATGTAACCACAGTATTTGACGGTTCTATCTGACTCTCAGATATAAAGTGCACCGCAGGCAGCAAATGTACTATTTAGCACCAAAAAAATTTGAATTTTTAAAAGTGCGATGTAACCACAGTATTTGACGGTTCTATTTAACTCTCAGATATGAAGTGCATGCCCCAAATTTACTTTTTAGCACCAAAGAAATTTGAATTTTTCAAAGTGCGATGTAACCACAGTATTTGACAGTTCTATTTGGTACAAAAATGTAGTATAGCACCCACAAATATAATCGCTGTAGTTTGCAGATTCAACACCAGAATTCTTTCCTAATCTGTCCCTCACAGCTGCAGCATCCTCTCCCTAAACTAATAAGAGCTCATGTGACTCCAGCTTATATAGAGGCTGGGTCACATGCTGCACTGGCCAATCACAGCCATTAGTAGGTATGGCTGTAAAGGCTTCTAAGGGCAAACGAGTCAAACGCTTGTTGATTGGCTGCCCTGCAGCTTTTCAAAATGCGCCATTAAATCTCTGAAACCGAACTGTTACTGAAATGTCCGGGGTCGGGGTCCAAAAATCGTAATGTTCGGTACGAACCCGAACTTTACAGTTCGGGTTCGCTCATCTCTAATTGTAAGGGAGTAGAATTTTAAATGGCAAAACAGCTGATATGGAGAACTTCTGCAGTCACAGTTTGGCTATTTTAACATCAGTTGTGATATTTGGGTTTAATGTGCTACAATTTGGAGTTTACTAAAAAACCCTGCGAATATCTTATTACACCTGAATGTATATTTCATAATTTGTAAGAGATGATTACTAAATTCTACAAAATAATTTTTTTTTTTTTATTAAATGGTGAATTGTTGTGTAATGAAAACAATTTGATATCTTACTGTGGCACAATGCTAGAACACTCCTGGCACCATAATCATTACATCAGGCTGTAGTAGTTTTGGTGCTTGGAGTGTTCCTTTAATATGTATGGTGGTGTTGAAATTGAAACAACAATTGAACTCTCAAAGCATATAGAACGAGCAATTAAACAGTAATATTGCAATTTTGTTTCTAACCTTGTAAAAGTTTAGCTATTTTTATTTTATTTTTAAAAAGCAGGAAAATCTGAGGTTAAAGAAACGAAGAAAAAGGTGCTGAAGAACTCCAGATCATCAGCATGCTCTGCTAAATATGCAGACAAAGAGAACAAACTAAAAAAGAAAGGTAGTGAATTCCACAAGCAGAGATGTGTGTGTGTGTGTGTGTGTCTGAGGGCGTATTGTATGTGTTTGTGCAAGTGTAACTGGGAGGTCAACAACTCATAGCCGATTTGAGTTCCACAGCGGTCCTGGTAGGTCCCGCTGAAGCCTGTTTGGAAGATGTTACGCACAAACGAATGCCAGGAGAGTGAGTATTCGGATTAATTCGGGAGAGGGAAGGCACAGAACCAGGGAAACCGTGAATATTAATTCTTGTTTCACAGACATGCAATTTCCATGATTTTATTGATCCAGGCCAACTGGTTGAAACCCTTGGTAAGCTCTACTCTCCCCGTTTGTTGTATGCTGGTGCTATTTTTCCAAAGCACTACTGTCTTTCCATCTTTTGATGGTATAGCAATCTCAGCTATGGAATTAAGTTTCCATTGTGACCACCACATCTTCAACATCTTGCTGTCCTTTCTTTACTACAAATGACTGTTTTATTACCTATTCTTTATTTTGTTATATAAAGAATTTGTAAATATTCATATCTTTCCATTTCGGTCTGTAGTCAGATATTTGTAGTAGTTTTATGATATTTTTTTCTTACTATTTCTTATGTGTTGGATTAATAATAAAGCTTAAATACATTTATTGTGTGCTCCCATGTCATTTAATGATGAATAATTTTGGCTCTGGGGACACAGGGTATTCATAGTGAGCACCAAGCATTAAAGCGGCACTGTCATGCCAAACATACCTTACTCCTATTGTTTCCTCCTCTCTTCCTCTCTCAGGATCTGTTCTTATTTTCTTTATTTCTGATCTAGTTTTCTTTAAAACATAAGACAGTAGGGACTACGTTCTCTTATGTATTTTTCCTGCACTTGACTTTCTTTGACCCAAGAGAGGCTTAAATCAGTTCTATTTCCTGTACCAAAAGAGAAAAGAGGGTTGCACTCAATCATAAAAATCACAGGGTGATATCTGAGTATGGGTCAGCATATCCCATAGAACATGTGTCAAGAAAAATAAAATAAAAATCTCAGGCACTTACTGTGATACGTTAAGCAGCTTTAATGGATACCACAATGTTCTGACCCTGGGAACAAGTTCTATTTCCTGTATCAAAGAAAGTACTCACCCTTCTCCTTGACACAGGAAATGGATTTGACTTAAGCTCCTCCTTGGATCAAAGAAAGTGAAGCCTAGGAAAAATTCACAAGACAAAGTAGTCCCTAATTTATCTTATGTTTCAAAGAAAACTAAATCAGATATGAAGAAGAAATTATGCGAGAGGAGGAGAAGAGGAAATAATAGGAGAAAGGCAAGTTTAGGATGTGCCACTTTAAATTCTGTCTCTTCTCTATCTACTTGAATGTATGCCCTCCAATTCAAATAATTGTGATGTAATTGGACTCTATACCCATTTTGCTTGTTTACATTTTTTATTAGGTATTGATAGTACAACCACTTTACAGGATGAAGTGCATGAGATCAATAACGACATGGAGCTTATTAATCAATCCTCTAGTGAAGATGACTCTTTTTCTGTAGGGGATCGTGTAGTTCCTCCAGCACCTGTAAAACAACGTAACAAAAAGAAACCAACAAAATCAGGTTTGTTGTACGTATATGCCCCTTTTAATCTTATAACTACTCTTTTCTAGAGAGAAATGAGAAGTTGATTAATTTCTAATGTATGCATTTGTACCCCATACCTGGGAGATGTTCTTGTGGGGCAAGACAAAAAAAGAGGCATAACAATAATGCTACTCACCTTGCTGGTTATCTGAGTGAGTTTAGCTTGAAAAATGGTTTGTCTGAATGATGAGTACACAAAAAGTGTAAAAAGTGTAATGTGCAGAGTACTATTGAAATACTTTCCCATGGGTTAAATAGCCCAGAATATAGTTTGCGCAGTATAAGTGGGAATTCTTTCTCAGAACTTGGTCGAGTTTAAGAGTGGGACATCAGAACAGGAGTCCAAATTTTAGACTTTTGGGAGATCTGGTGTTCTTAATTAGAACACTATGAGCAGCACCTCAATGCAAATAATACACAGCTTAATTTTCTCATTGATTGCACACAGTTATCTCGTTACATTTATCATATGCAATTATTCTACCAAACTAAGTAATGGGGACACTGGAAAAACTAATGCGGTACAATTGGAGCTGCAACTATCTCTGACATGGAATGATCAAAATTTGTTACTCTTTTAACTTGATGAAAATTATCTATCCCCAACAATAATGTTATACACTGCTCAAAAAAATAAAGGGAAGACAAAAATAACACATCCTAGATCTGAATGAATTAAATATTCTTCTGAAATACTTTGTTCTTTACATAGCTTAATGTGCTGACAACAAAATCACACAAAAATAAAAAAAAAATGGAAATCAGATTTTTCAACCCATGGAGGTCTGGATTTGGAGTTACACTCAAAATTAAAGTGGAAAAACACACTACAGGCTGATCCAACTTTGATGTAATGTCCTTTAAAATGAGGCTCAGTAGTGTGTGTCTCCACATGCCTGTATGACCTCCCTACAACGCCCATGCATGCTCCTGATGAGGTGGTGGATGGTCTCCTGAGGGATCTCCTCCCAGACCTGGACTAAAGCATCTGCCAACTCCTGGAAAGTCTGTGGTGCAACGTGACATTGGTGGATGGAGCGAGACATGATGTCCCAGATGTGCTCAATTGGATTCAGGTCTGGGGAACGGGCGGGCCAGTCCATAGCATCAATGCAGGAACTGCTGACACACTCCAGTCACATTGTCTTGCATTAGGAGGAACCCAGGGCCAACTGCACCAGCATATGGTCTCACAAGGGGTCTGAGGATCTCATCTCGGTACCTATTGGCAGTCAGGCTACCTCTGGCGAGCACATGGAGGGCTGTGCGGTCCCCAAAAGAAATGCCACCCCACACCATTACTGACCCACTGCCAAACCAATCATGCTGGAGGATTTTGCAGGCAGCAGAACATTCTCCACGGCGTCTCCAGACTCTGTCACGTCTGTCACATGTGCTCAGTGTGAACCTGCTTTCATCTGTGAAGAGCACAGGGCGCCAGTGGTGAATTTGCCAGTCTTGGTGTTCTCTGGCAAATGCTGTAAGCACAACCCCTACCTGTGGACATCGGGCCCTCATGAAGTCTGTTTCTGACCGTTTGAGCAGACACATGCACATTTGTGGCCTGCTAGAGGTAATTTTGCAGGGCTCTGGCAGTGCTCTTCCTGTTCCTCCTTGCACAAAGGCGGAGGTAGCGGTCCTGCTCGTGGGTTGTTGCCCTCCTACAGCCTCCTCCACTTCTCCTGATGTACTGGCCTTTCTCCTGGTAGCGCCTCGATGCTCTGGACACTACGCTGACAGACACAGCAAACCTTCTTGCCACAGCTCGCATTGATGTGCCATCCTGGATAAGCTGCACTACCTGAGCCACTTGTGTGGGTTGTAGACTCCGTCTCATGCTACCACTAGAGTGAAAGCACCGCCAGCATTCAAAAGGGACCAAAGCATCAGCCAGGAAGCATAGGAACTGAGAAGTGGTCTGTGGTCACCACTTGCAGAACCACTCCTTTATTGGGGGGGTCTTGCTAATTGCCTATAATTTCCACCTGTTGTCTATCCCATTTGCACAACAGCATGTGGAATTGATTCAGTGTTGCTTCCTAAGTGGACAGTTTGATTTCACAGAAGTGTGATTGACTTGGAGTTACATTGTGTTGTTTAAGTGTTCCCTTTATTTATTTTTTTCAGTATATAATTTTTATTGATTTAAAAAAAAAAAAAAAGAAATCGGTAAAAGGTAACAAATATTGAGGAAATATCCTCATTTGAAAAACAGTTTGTATTAACATATGTATGTTATAGAATCTACATCAAAATTATTAACATATGAGTATTATTAAGTAACAAACTACATAAACATATGTATATCTTCCGGACCAGATTTGGTCACCTTTAAAACAAAGTAACATTTATACATATTTAATGCACTCACAAAGCAGGAAAAAAAATCTTTGTTTCATTTATTCTTCTTAAAACAGCAAAATCCAGAAGAAAAAGTCCTAGCAATGATGATGAAGACAAAGATGCATTAGACGAAGATGATTTTGATGGAGAGTCAGATATCCTAAGCAGTGTTGTGTACACAAGTCCTCTTCCTGACCCCAACAGGGTGAGCAATCTTGCAGAAATTGACTTCCTTCTAGCAATCTGTAGATGTATTGTGTTTTGTAAGTTGGATTGTATTTTCACAGCAATCAAAATGTCACTTTCAATCAGTCTTCTCATATTAAATCTAGATATCTCATTACCAGTAATGCTGAAAACCTCTTGTCAAGTGTTCTGGCAATTTACGCCATGCATTTATAAATTCCATTTATTTGGGCTGTAGTTCTTGATAATTTTAACTCTTGATATTTTTTACGCTTACAAAAGAAAAATAATAATACCTCCCCTTTGATATAGACATAAGACATAATGATTTATTTATAAAATTTAGTTCAGCAGAAAAAAATTATAATATAGTAAATAATTTGATTAATCAATTCCCTACTAAAAGCATGTAGTAACAGTTAACTTTCATGTTGCATTGCATAAAACATGTTTCTCTGTATCTTTATAATCCAAGGAGGAAGATTATCAAGTAGCGGAATCATTGGAAACCGGAGACCTGGAAGGATTTGCTTTACAGCCAGCTCCTCAAAACATGACTTTGAAATGCCGCATCACCAGAGATAAAAAAGGAGTGGACAAAGGCATTTACCCTACCTATTACCTACATCTAGAAAGAGATGATGGGAAAAGGGTAATTACAGACATTCAATGTCTGACAAATTGTGTGGCTAAATTGTCTTGCATTAAATGCCTAAACTTTTTATATATTTGAGGAACACTCCAATCCCAATAAACACTACAACCAGCTGTAGTGGTTATTGTGCCAGGAGTGCCCTGGTACCATCCCATAGTTAGCCATCAAAGTAACAGTCCCGCAGCTGCGGTCCCTGCTTATGTTCTTCTTCTGCAGCAAAATCCAATTGACTCTACAGAGCTGAGCAGAGCCATACAAGACCATACTCATTGGTTGAGAGCATCAGCTGAATAATCTAAGCCAATGTGTGTGGTCCTGGATTGGCCAAGACATCCAGCTTTCCTGCTGAAAGAAAAACAAAACAGATGAAGTATGGGTGCCCCGTGGATCCAGGTAAGTTGCCACATATGACTATTTATCATGGGACAGTGCTTGGCTTGATAATCACTACAGTGGGCTGTGCTGGTTTATAGTGCTTGGAGTGTTCTGTTAAGATATGTTATATGTAATTTTTAGTAGCAAAAATAGAGTGATTTAGATTACTGTCTAGACATTTTCTCACTATTAACTCTGTTATATCCGTTTAGCTTTTTCTTATGGCTGGTAGAAAAAGAAAGAAAAGTAAAACTTCAAATTATCTCATCTCCGTGGATCCCACTGATCTTTCCCGAGATGGGGAAGGCTTCATAGGAAAAGTCAGGTAATATTCGATGTACAATTGTCCTCTATGCCCATATCTAATACAAGACACTATGAAACACACATCATATCAAATCATTTATTATTCATCCATAAAGGTCCAGCATATTTATTTATTTTTCTTGAAGCCACAACTATACAATGTATTACATATGATTAGGATCTATATGGATGAAGTGGTTTTATCAGAGTCCATACAGATGTTCAAACAGCTATTAGATGCATACTTGAAAAAACAGAATATTCAAGGATATACTCTTTCAATGTAGCGTAATAACTGCTTGATCCAAGGATAAATCTGACTGCCATTCTGGGGTCAAGAAGGATTTTTTTTCCTAGCTTTTTGCAAAATTGTGCTTCAAACTGGGTATTTTGCCTTCTTTTGGATCAACGGCAAACAACAAATGTGAGGAAGGCTGAACCTGATGGACGCAAGTCTCTTTTCAGCTATGTAACTATGTAACTATATCATAAAGAGTCATTTATATTTCAACCAACAATTATAAACCCTTCTCAGCAAATAGTCATTATTGTGTACCGAATACCTGTGATTTTAGGTCAAATATGCTGGGTACCAAGTTTACAGTTTTCGACAATGGAGTGAATCCGGAGTTGAGACCCTTTGTGCAGGAGAAGGAATCGCTCAGACAAGAACTGGTATCTATATGCTATGTAAGTGACAAACAGGCCAATCTGATAATTTATTGGCAAACCTAAGTGATCTTGTCTCACATCTGTGTTTAGATTATTACCTTGAGTTCCTTATGTAAATGCAAGGGGCTGTATATTAGTGATTTAATAAACAATAACATTGTCTATATGGGGTCAACTGGCTGCACTCAGGCAATGAATGAGTGTCTATGCATCCAAATTTTCATAGAACTGACATTAGCCACCCAGAATGCTTGTTCTAAACTGGCTGATGACGCCCCATGTTGCTGGCGATGGAGTTAATATCTGAAAGCAAAAATAAATGTGCGCATAATGTTATAGTTACTAGACTCGTGCATTAATTTTTGACTCCAAATTGCAATTCATCTGAATTTAGACCTGTTGGCAGGTCGTCTGAATTCCGTAACTCCTTAACCCCAATGTGTCATATGGAGGTATAACTGAACAAACAACTCATACAATGGATGAGCATATCTGTTTGATTCGTAATTCAGAGTTTTGTCTGTGGTATCAAAAAAGATGATTGACAGGAAAATAAATGATTGATGGTTAGGGGACAGCCACTAAATATTGAATTCACAGATCAAGTGAGGAGTGACCAATAGAGAGGGAAAGAGGAGAAGTAAAAAAAAACATTATATATTTGTTAAATATACATAATGCATAAATATAGTTTTTTGCTGCTTCCCTTTTCCCCTCTATTGGTTACCTCTTCTCTCTTGATCTGTGAATCAAATGTACTGCACTATACATATACATACATATTTATATTATGCATATACTTTTGCAGTACACTTATTGGTACATCAACTCACCATTTTTGGTTAGTCCAAATTGTTCCCAAATATTTTGTATGGACAATATTCAGACGAGCCAAAGTGCCACATGGGCAACTATAGGCATACCTGAACTAAATTTTAGTTTTGGACAAAGTGATTAAACTGAACCAAATGTTTCCACTGAGCACACATCTTTGTGACTCTTATGCTAGGAATACAATATTAACTAGCTATGTCAGCATTGTTAAATCAACCTAGACATGCCCTTTAGTCTGTACTCTTTTATGACACTTAAACATTAAATATATTGGTTTGATTTCAAAGGTTACATAGGAGTAAAGAAACACCCTAGAATATGCTGACTACACAACAAAAGTGTCAAATATTAGACACAAAAGACTTGATTCTTCTACAAGTGATAAACTTTTGGCAACTGAACAGCAGTTGTCCTGCTGACATGTATTGGTACAATGATATTTAATCACCAGAGTTATGATTATCTCTTGTAGTAGAATTTATCCCAAAAGAAGCTTAATGGAAACATTTGTGTGCAATCTGTGGAGTGGTGTGAGTGTGTGTGTGCAATGCCACAGCAATGCACCTATGAGCTGCTACAACAATGGGCTTATTTTCAGGCTCTCTGTTAAAAATCAGCCATTAAGCATTATTAATGCCAACATCTGGCAGATGATTGTGGCATAAAAATACCAAAAGGATTCTTGGTCCATTCTTGCTTTTTTCTTTTTGTTTCTTTAATTTGTATTTATGTTGTAGATCACATTTTTTTTATTTTTTTTGTTTCATGTGCATCTTTGTATGATAAGACTCTTTTTAATCATATATAAATGTGTGTGTGTGTTCTCTTTATTTTCCATCAGGGAACCAATGTTTTGGGATTTAAAGGTCCTCGGAAAATGACTATCATTCTACCTGGAATGAACATGGATGGTGAAAGGGTATCTATTCGGCCAAAGAATGTAAGCGATGAGATTTAGCTTTATTTAAAAAAATTCTATGGAAATATTACACAACAATTGATGTACTAAAATTAGTAGGGTAATGGTAGCTTGTCAATTAAAAGCTTGTAATCAAGGCATAAGTCTAAAATATTTTTTTCAGCAGAGCCTTAGATTTTAGAGGTGCTATAAAACCTATAAGCCAATTGTTCTTAAACTTACAAGTAAGGTTCCAAACTTGTGTCCCTGTACTCTTTAATTGAGTCTTTACCCCATTTGTGATAAAAATAAAAAAAACTTTTTGCACTGCCTCCTCCACAGTGGGCCAATCAAATACTCCTCACAAAACAGCATTGGGGACCCGGTGCACATGCCCGGTGAGTACCTTGATTTAATGCTTAACTGTGAGGGCTTCCTCGCTCAGTACCGCTGAAGTACCTTCCGTGAGATGAAGAAGTCTGGATGACTTTAGTGAAACCCATACCTCCCCGCTTTTCAAATGGCTCAATGCCATGGCATGGCAACGCCTCGATCTCACGAGAGTGAACTCTAGCCAGCAGGCTAGAGTTCACTCACGCACTAGGACCACCAGCGATGGTGTGAGAGTGCCGGACCCCCATCCCAGGCTAAAGGTAAGAAGGGAGGGGGGACATAATGCCTGCTTAGTTATTTTATTTGTTTATTTAATCCCCCCCCACACACACACACACAATCCATTCTAACATTTATACACAGCACTCTCACACACATCACACTCAGCACCCTCACACACAGCACTGTCACACACATCACACTCAGCACTCTCACACACATCTCAGCACTCTCACACAACACTCTCACACACATCACACTCAGCACTCTCACACACAGCACTCTCACACACATCACACACAGCACACTCACACACATCACACTCAGCACTCACACACATCATACACAGCACTCTGACACACATCATACACAGCACTCTGACATACATCATACACAGCACTTTCACACACATCATACACAGCACTCTCACACAGATCATACACAGCACTCTTACACTCAGCACTCTCACACACATCATACACAGCACCCACACACACCGCACCCTCACACACAGCATCGATCACACACACATATTGCACCCCTCACATACACACAGAACCTCCCCAACACACTGCACCACACACATACACAATATTTCCAAACATATATATATATATATATATATATATATACAGCACCCCTCACACTCACTGCACCCCTCACACACATTCTGCACCCCTAAACACATTGCATTCCAGACACACACTAGATCCCTTACCCAACTTTGGATTATCTACACACATACACACACTAGATCCCTATATACACTCTGAATCCGTTATATACGCACACTCACTAGATCTCCTATACACATTTTGGGTCCTACAAACACACACTAGACTCATATATAGGACCGAATGGGTCGAAACGTCGGCAATTTTTGATGCTATACCTATTGGGATAAACTACCTCCTTTTTTTCATTTATTAAGTCCTAAGAATGCATCTCTTTATTCTCTCTGTGTGTGTGTATATATATATACAGGGCTGGACTGGAAACTAAAATCAGCCCTGGAAAAAAATTCTATACCAGCCCAATATTGCGTCGCGCCAGCATAGTGTGCTGATAAAGAGGGTGAAAAAATAACTTGAAATTGAAAACTCTTACTCCAACGAAGGAACGCATATAGGGCTTCAAAATAAACAAAAGAGCGCCTTTATTTTAAGTAGACGTACATTTGCATGTAATGTTTCAGTACAACTACTTTGGCCTATTAAGGACATTTTAGTAATGAAATGCTGAATGTCTGCAGTTACACAACTAAAAAAATGAAGTGATCTGGTTAATTTTGAAGTTCTATGGGTGCGCTCTTCACTTTGAATATGTTATTTTGCATGAGTATGCAACTAGCAACAAGACAGGGCCAATATGTGCTCATTACATATATATATATATATATATATATATTTAAAATGACATATTTAATGACATTTATGTGTGTATTATGCATAAATAAATGTATATTACTATATGTGTAAATATTATAGGCATAATTATATGTTACTAATACACACATCAATTTACGTCTATTACCTTTATCTCGTTTAGTGTATCTTGTCTCCAGTTGTCTCCTTTTTTTCTCTTACAGCGACCCATGTGCATCTTTTACTTCATCCCAGTCCCTGTGTGTTTCTTTTTACCCTTCTCCAGCCTCTGTATTTCTCTTTCCCCCAGCCCCTTTTGTGTTGTTCTTAGCCCCAGCCACTTTGTCTCTTTCTCCCCTTCCAAATCTCATCTGTGTGTCTCTTTCTAACTCCAGACTCTGTGTGCCTCTTTCTCTTCTCCCAGTCACTCTCTGTCTCTTTTTCCCCAGCCCAGCGTTGCCTCCCACAAATCTAGTGTCACTTTGTTCCCCTTCCCTACTGTATGTCTCTTTGTCCCCCAACAAACCTTCTGTGTGTCTCTCTTCCCCATCTCCTCCCTGTGTCTCTCTCTTACCCCTCTGTCTCTGTGTGTCCCCTTCTCCTGTGTCTCACTATTACCCCTCTCTTTGTCCCCCCAACCCCCTATTACCCCTCTGTCTCTTTGTCCCCCCTTCCCTGGTGTCTCTCTATTACCCCTCTCTTTGTCCCCCCATCCCCTGTCTCTCTATTACCCCATCTGTCTGTGTCCCCCCTTGCCCTATGTCTCTCTATTACAGCTCTGTCTCTTTGTCCCGTCCCCCCAACCTGGTGTCTTTCTATTACCCCTCAGTCTCTGTGTCCCCCCTTCCCCTGTGTTTCTATTACCCCTCTATTTGTCCCCCCCTTCCCCTCTATTTGTCTCCCCCCCATTCCCCTCTATTTGTCTCCCCCTTCCCCCCATTCCCTATTTGTCTCTCCCATTCCCTATTTGTCTCCCCATTCCTATTTGTCCTCCTATCCCTCTATTTGTCTCCCCCCCTCTATTCCCCTTTTATTTGTCCTCTATTCCTTATTTGTCCCCCCATTCCTCTCTATTCCGTCCCCCTTTTCCTTATTTGTCCCCCATTCCCTCTCTTATTTGTCTCCCCTTCCTCTATTTGTCTCCCCTCTTCCCTCTATTTGCCCCATTTCCTATTTATCTCTACCCTTCCCTCTATTTGTCTCCCCATTCCCCTCGTATTGTCTCCCATTCTCTATTTGTCTTTCCCTTCCCTCTATTTGTGTCCCCCCATTCCCCTCTATTTGTCTCCCCCTTCCCCTCTATTTGTCTTCCCCCCATTCCCCTCTTTTGTGTCCCCTCCCTTCTGACCTTGTCACAGGAGGTCTAAGGGAGAGGGCAGAGCTAACTACCATGCTCCCTTGTGGTTCCCATAATTCCCAGCATGGACACATCATAGAGTAGGGATTACTGTATGATGTGTAGATGCTGGGAAGTTTGGGAACCGCGAGGGAGCATGGTAGTTAGCTCCGCTGTCTCCCTCAGTCCTCCTGTGCTGACAGCCGCATGGCTGTCAGTATCAGTGAGTGTGCTGCTGGATTGCTTAGGCGGCCGCCCGACACACTCACTGATACTGACAGCTGTCAGCACAGGAGATGGGGCCGCTGGCCGCATGGTGAGTAATCACCTCAGAGTGTGCCGCCGGAGCAGCCACCCGGCCGCACCGACCTGCGGCTGCGATATTATTAAAATATAGAGAGCAGGGCTCCCTCTCTCCAGCCCCCTAGGTGCCGCGGCCTACAGGGAAATTTCCCGGTATCCTGTGGGCCAGTCCGGCCCTGTATATATATATACATACACACACACACATATACACTCTGGATCCCCTATACACACACTAGATTCCTTGTAAGCAAACACATGCCGCGGCCTACAGGGAAATTTCCCGGTATCCTGTGGGCCAGTCCGGCCCTGTATATATATACATACACACACACACATATACACTCTGGATCCCCTATGCACACACTAGATTCCTTGTAAGCAAACACATACTACACCCCTAAACACCCAATTTGTACAAACACTACATCACCTATATACACACACACTATAGCCTGTATGCACACACTTGCTACATCCCCTATACACACACATTCTCTCGAGCCCCTAGCCACATATGCATCACATTACACCACAAACAGAACACAAATAAAACCGACCTTATTACACAATGCCACACCACAATCAGCTCACTCTACACACACGCAATACCACAAGCAGGTTCCAACATATGCACAATACTCTGTTCTGGCATTTTTGTCTCCTGGTATCCATTTATAGAGACACTAGAGGCAAGTTGCAAGTAAACACAGTGCATGTTATTAAATTTGCTTGCACTGTGCAGAACAAATACAGGGCTTTTTTCTCATGCTAGAGCTCTTCAGCATGGTCTGCCCTGGAAGAGCATTGAACCAACATACACACTTTGAGAGGCGGCGTGTTTGTCATTAGTGATGACAAAACACACCTCCTCTGCCCCGTCCCCTTCATAGTGGTCCGCTGTGATAAAAAAAATGCCCGAGACGAATTTTTTTCCCAGTCCGGCCCTGCATGGATATCCATACTAATACACAGACACACTGTATGACACACATTCAGATATACAGACACACACTGATACACATGCGGATACAGAGACACGCATACAGACAGACACACATATAGACACACATGCAGATGCACATACACAGAATGACACTCATGCAGATATAAACAGTAACACACATGCAGACAAACAGATACACATACAGACACACATGCAGACAAACAGATACACATACAGAAACAGATACACAGAGACATACAGACACAAATGCAGACAAACAGATACACATATAGACACGCATGCAGATACACAGACACACTTAATGGCAAACATTCAGATACACATACAGACAAACAGACAAAGAGATACACACACACATATACACACAAAAAAACACACACTTATACACACAGACAGACATACACACACATACAGATATACTGATACAGACATTCTCTTTCTTACACACACACACACATACACACAAACTGTTAAAAAAACATTTAGTCATCCTCCTGTTTCCTACCTTTTAGGTGCAGGAGGGTGACTTCCCTGGGGTCCAGTGGTTGCCTCATGCTGATGTGAGTCAGAGCTCCAACTCCCTCCTGTCCTCCCTGGCGGTCGCCTCTGACGTCATCACTGGAGCCCGGTCGCATTCTTTAATTGCTGCAGCGCTGTTCAGGAACCAGGAAATCCATTGCCATCGGGTGGCCCCAAGAGCATGGGCCACCTAATGGGCTCCTTCAATGCGCACCACTATGCCGGCATGCACCTCGATCACTGTGGTCGGAGGGCAGCTGGGCCCCCTGGAATGACGAGTCTGGTCACAGCTGCGATGCCTGTGACCACGGTAGTTCCGCCAGTGCTTGGGAGATATGCCTTAGGCACTCCATATTTGGTGCAGTTTGTAGGTTAGGTTACACATTCTTTTTTTTTATTCTTTATTTTATGCGTGCATAGAATAGACAATCAGTATTGCACTGCCACAACAGCTGGTGCATGCATATCATTGAATAAAGTATAACATTAGTGTGAGTGTGACATTGGTAACATTGCACATTTTATGTTAAGAAAGGTAAACATGGTTAAACGAAAAGCCTACATGTCTCAGCGTTTAGCAGTATAACGGCTGACTAATCCTTTAACCGTTGAATTTAACATGCTATGTGAACTTCTCTAGACCTGACGCAAAGTATAGATTATCATTGCAGTAATATTGAGATCTTGAGATGCTTATGCAGTACCAAGGACCAATAAGACAGTAGATCACTGGGATCAAGCATTATCAAAATTAAAAGTAAAATGAATCGCTTCAATACTTGTAGCAAGTTGCCTAGGAAATCTGCTTATTCACATTTAGCTTGTGCCTCTTCTGTGCCTGATTATGAATCACTTCCTGGCCTAGCAGGTAGTAAAGGTCCAGTTTTTATGAGTGTAACGTAAGTTAGCAAGGTAAGACATTTCCAGTACTCTGGTGCCTTCATTAAAGGGACACTATAGTCACCTGAACAACTTTAGTTTAATGAAGCAGTTTTGGTGTATAGAACATGTCCCTGCAGCCTCACTGCTCAATCCATTTAGGAGTTAAATCCCTTTGTTTATGAACCCTAGTCACACCTCCCTGCATGTGACTTGCACAGCCTTCCATAAACACTTCCTGTAAAGAGAGCCCTATTTAGGCTTTCTTTATTGTAAGTTCTGTTTAATTAAGATTTTCTTATCTCCTGCTATGTTAATAGCTTGCTAGACCCTGCAAGAGCCTCCTGTATGTGATTAAAGTTCAATTTAGATATTGAGATACAATTATTTAAGGTAAATTACATCTGTTTGAAAGTGAAACCAGTTTTTCATGCAGGCTCTGTCAATCATAGCCAGGGGAGGTGTGGCTAGGGCTGCATAAACAGAAACAAAGTGATTTAACTCCTAAATGACAGTGAATTGAGCAGTGAAATTGCAGGGGAATGATGTATACACTAAACCTGCTTTATTTAGCTAAAGTAATTTAGGTGACTATAGTGTTCCTTTAATGTTTCTGTCATTTACTATGTAGAGCATTGAGACTTACAAAAGATTCCAGGTGCTTGGGGAAAGGGTGGAGGTAGCAAGCTCTCTCTGCGCAATCAGGGGACGTAGAGGGGGCGTGGGTCCAATCTGATGATGATTAGCTCATCATAAAAATTATATGCCAATTTTAGAAAACAAAACAAAGAAAAACAAGTAAAAAAACAAAACAAAACCAACTTCGAACCACAATTAGAAATAGTACCCGTGAGAACTTACGCCTATCGTGGGCTGGAAGTCTCACAGGTTGAGGCAGATGGTACTCTCAGGTTTTTCTTGTAGCTGCACAGAAAAATAAAAAGTAGGAACTCTAAAATAATATGTTACCGAACTTTGAACCGATATGGCGTGTGCGAGGTACAGTGTGAGTGTCTGACCGGGTGAGAGAGTCCTGGGGTAGGCCCAGGTCCCTTAGTAGTGCTTCAGGTCTGCACATTCTTTTTTAATTGTTTTAATAAAAATTAGAACTAATTTGTTTTGCTCCATCAGTGTTACTCCAAAAGTACTGCTGAATATGATGTCATGGCTTAGGTTTCTGAGAGTTGTAGTTCAGCAGGTGTCTGACTAAACTACCAGTCTCATCCTTCTGTGACAATAAAGCAGTTTTTGGGAAAAGCCTATGAGGGTTCTAGAAAGTATTGTTAGCATTAGTCACTTCCTGGTTTGGTGAGAGCACAATGCACATCCTGCACATCCTGGAGTTTTGAAGGAAATTCAGAAACTTTGGAAACTTTTATTATTGTTTATATATATACTTTTCATATAATGCATTAAATATAATATGTGAAATCTAGCCTGGAGTCCCTATACCTGCCTAAAGCAACATAGTTTCAGAATTATTTTGCTGTATTTCTTTCAAATTTTGGTTGTACATAGTAATAAAGAGTGCATGTAACATCTTTCTCATATTTATACTTCATTCCTGAAGGAACATGAGACACTGTTAGCTCGCTACCAGAATGGTAACATGGAGAATATCACAGTTCTGCAAAACAAAGCTCCGTCGTGGAATGAGGAGACCAGCTCATACATGCTAAACTTCCATGGACGTGTCACTCAAGCTTCTGTAAAGAATTTTCAGATCATATCTTCTCAGGACCGTGAGTATCTAACTTACCTTCATTAACATGGCTGCAAGAAGTTTTTTTTACAGTTCACCAAGCATATTTAAGAGGCAATGTATGCACTGATCACTATAGTCTGCTGTAGTGGTTATAGTGCCACCATGCATATAGTACCATCCCCAGTTCTGTGTCAAACTGTTTTTAAGCAGTTTATTGCAAACCTGAGGTCACCTGGCTACCCCTTACGTGGCATATTGATATTGTGGAAGTTAAACATCAGTATTAACAATATTTATCTTGATCCATGTATTGGCTGAGCACATCTGCTGACATGCTTAGTCAACAAATAATGTCTTACTTGTACAATATTGGCATTGCAAATATGGAAGTGTAACATCCGCAGACGCAATACAACATATGAAGGACCAAGTCATGTGTTATCTTCTCTTGTGAAGAGAAAAAGCTTTCGGATCGGAAAATATATATCTACACTGGCAAGTAACCTGCCCCACAAGTTTAACTTTTTTGTCAACTCTTAAGACCTTGTATTTTTTTTACCCAGTGTGACCAACCAATAGTAAGCTAAATCTGCTTATGTCATGATACCCACAGTAGGTAATTCTTGCGCATAATGGCACGTGTGACTTCATATTGCAACTAAATTATGTGAACAGATGTAACACCAATAGATCCTTTTTTTAGATGATGTCAAAAGTGAAATCAGCCAGTCTGCACTAGTGCTGTAAAAACAGATGTTTGGCAAATATATACCTCTTAGAACAAACATTTTATCATGAAAAATGGGTATAACCAAGCATGTGAGATTGGTTTACTGAGATGTATAACATTGGGCAACAAAAATTACTTTGTTATCCTAGAGCAGGGGTAGGCAACCTTTTAGCAGCACTGTGCCGATATAGGATTGTGATGTCCCGTAGCGTGCCAGTCCTATTTTTTTAAACTGAGGTGTATATGCTGCCATATTCTGCTTGTGTTATTTTTACTGTAATTGCTTTGTATTGTTGTATTTGTGCGTATATGAGCTATTATATTGTATATGCTCATTAGTAGTTTATGGTATTGTGTATGATACATATGAATGTGGGCTGTGTATGAGGGCTGCTTGTGGAATTGTGTGCATGTATGTGGGTTGTTAGTGGTGTTGCGTTTGTGGGGATTGTGTGTATGTTTTTGTGAGGGCTGTTCGTGTTATTTGTATGAGGGGAGGCTTATTCTGTAGGTCTGTGTATATCCAGCAGTGTGGGTGGCTTCCCTGGGTTCCAGTGGGGACCAGGCTGGCGAGGTACAGATCAAGGACAGGAGCTGCAACAGCAGCTGCGGGCTGCTCTACAACAGTGTGGATTCCCATTCACAAGTGCTGGGAGGAACTGATCTGAGATCACTTCCTCTACGTTCTGCAATGCATAAATTGAGGATTGTCCTTCACTACCTCTTTGTATTAGCAGATATCTGAAGTTTCACTGAGACTCCTGATAGGCCAGAGCCTGTTTTGCTCTAGCAGCCTTGAGTGCCGTGGAAAGACACCTCGAGTGCCATGCATGGCACTAGTGCCGTAGGTTGCCTACCCCTGTCCTAGAGCAAGGGTAGGCAAACCTTTTAGTAGTACTGTGCCACAACAAGATTTTGTTGGTGCAAGGATTTTTGCCATCCTAGGCAAAGCTTCATTCTACAGCCCCATTGGCTCTGCCCTAGACTCCACCCCCTCCTGTTGTGTTCGAGGAGGGTGTGTATGGTGGATGAGGTGCACGTGTATAGTGGATGCAGTGTGTGTAATAGATGTAGAGTGTGTGCTTATATGGTGAATGCAGATTGTATGTTTGTGTAATGGATGCAGTGTGTGCAGTGTCTGTGTAATTTATGCGTGGGTAGTGGAAATAGTGTGTAGTGGATGCAGTTTGCATAGTGATTATAGAGTATGTGAAGCAGATACAGTGTGAATATAGTGAATGCAGAGTGTATGTTTGTGTAGTGGATACAGTGTGTGTTTGTGTAGTAGATACAGTGTGTGTTTGTGTAGTGAATGCAGACTGTATTTATGCAGTGGATGCAGCGTGTAAAGTGCAAGGTGGCGGTGTGTACAGTGCAAGGTGTAACGATGCCTTACCTTTCCTCCTCGGTCCCACGCCGCACAGCATCCTCTTCCGGCGAGTGGCACAGCCCCTCTGACGCCGGCCGCGCAAATGCCGACGTCGGTCACACGCGACCACGCCCCCGGACCTTCTGGGGGCGTGGTTTTAAAGCAAAATACCCCACACTATAAATGGGCGCCCCTGGCATTTGCAAGGCGCCCTAGTGTGGTTCTTGTTAGTACCTCTAGTGCTCATACTCTCTTTTAGTGTTGATTCCCTGGTTATTGACTTTTGTTTTTCCTTTTGACTACTCTGCTCTCATTGTTCCGTACTTTGGCTAGGTCTTATCGTTTATCCGTCTTCTGTACTCCCTTGATCTCTGGCTATCCATTTGACTACTCTATACGTTAGTCCGGCCACTCTAAGGTCCGGTATACGTTCTTCTGGGTTACACTCTGTGAGAAGGGGTCACTGTCGTGACACAAGGTAGCAGTATGTAAAGTACATAGTGCAAGGTGTCAGTGTGTATAGTGTAAGGTGGCAGTGTGTATAGTGTAAGGGGGCAGTGTACATAGTGCAAGGTGGTAGAGTGAAGTGAGAAGTGGCAGTGTATATAATGCAAGGAGGTACCTGGTTATGAGTCAGGATGGAATGGATGAGAGGAAGCGGTGCAACATAGCATGTGGTGAGAAGGGGCCCAGTCAGCACCATCTTGTCTTTCCAGCTGCTTCTCAATGCAACTTTTGCGAGTATGGCCTGCTTTGACATATTAACCTGTGGCAATGCTCTGACGGCTGCAGGGTTCGGGTTGTTTGGAGTGACGAGCACCTGGAAAGAGAAGATGGCGCTGGCTGGGCCCCCTGCTGTCACTCTCTAATGGCGGCCCTGATTGGGGGCATAAATTATTTTATTATAAGGTTATGGAGACAGCATCAACTCTCTTAAACCATCAACAAAATAAAGTTCATGCTGTCCCCATAACCTCATAATAAAATATATTATGTCCTGAGATTAGGGGACATCATTAGGTCCTGAGATTAGGGGACATCATATATTTTTTATGAGGTTATGGGGACAGCATGAACTTTATTTTGAGGTTAGGCCCTAACTAAGTTTATGCAGCCTCCCACCCCCTAACCTCTAAATAAAGTTGATGCTGTCCCCTAGACTGTAATTTACAAGGGGCATGTATGTAAAATAATAATAAAAGGTACTGTACCTTGTCATTCACCCAGCCAATACTCCTGATCTCTCTCCTACAGGGATTGTTCAGGGTATGGCTAGGGCTGGAACACTCCCCCCCTCCCCCCACTCCTCCTTCTTCCCTTTTAATAGATGGTGGGTAGGAGACGCAAGGGGAGGGGGCAGAGGCATTGAGGGGTGTCATATGAATGACTCTCCACGCATTGGCAGACAGGGCACGCAGCTAAATTAAATTCCAGCTCCTCCTTGCAAGATAGAGGAGCTGGAGTGAGTGGGATGACCAAGCTTTAACATGCAGCCGCCCGGCACGCAAACCGGGCACTGCAATTAGATTTCTGGCGTTTTTGAAATGCTCTTTTTAGAACAGCGCCAGACCAGTGGCTCTCTCTCCTTAGTGCCGCAGCACGTGAACAAGCGTCGCGCGCAGCGGTGAGTCGGTGAGGTACGGCACCCCTTCAAAATGTGTGCCCTAGGACAGCGCCTACTTCGCCTATAGATGGTGCCCGCCCTGAGTCTGTTGGTGTGCCAATCCTCTTTTTTAAGGATCAGCACACCATATTCTGCTTGTCTTATTTATGGGTGCTTCAGCTGCTTTGTAGTGTTGTACTTGTGCCTGTATGGGCTATTACATTGTATATGTTCATGAGTAGTTTGTGGAATTGTGTATTATACCTATGAATGTGGGCTATGTATGGGGGCTCCTTGTGTAATTGTGTGTGGATGAGATGTCACATTGTATTTTTGTGTGGGTCAACTTGGGGGTATTGCATGTATATAGTTACATAGTTACATAGCTGAAAAGAGACTTGGTCCATCAAGTTCAGCCTTCCTAACATATGTTTTTGCTGTTGATCTAGCTATTACCCCACTAATTAGAAATTATATCCCTGTATGTTATGTTTTTGCAAGTATTTATCCAATTGCAGGCTAAACATCTGTATGGACTCTGATAAAACCACCTCTTCAGGCAGAGAATTCCATATCCTTATTGCTCTTACTGTAAAAAAAACCTTGTCTTTGCCTTAGATGAAATCTAATGAAATGCCTATTTCAAGATCATTTATAAATATGTTAAATAGAAGCGGTCCTAAAACAGAACCCTGAGGGACATCAATTACCACTTTTGTCCAGCCTGAAAATTTACCCTTAATAACAACTCGTTGTACTCTATCCTTAAGCCAATGTTCTAACCAAGAACAAGAATATTTATGTAGACCAATTTAGTTTGAAGACTAACCTATTGTGAGGAACCGTATCAAATGCCTTGGCAAAATCCAAGTAGATCACATCCACTGCAACACCCTGATCTATACTTCTACTTACTTCTTCGTAGAATGCAATTAGGTTAGTTTGACATGACCTATGTTTCATAAAACCATGTTGATTATTGCTAATAACAAACTTATTCCCAATGAATTCCTGAATATTATCCCTTAATAGCTCTTCAAATATTTTCCCAGTCACAGAAGTTAAGCTCACAAGTCTATTATTTCCAGGCAAGGATTTTGAACCCTTTTTAAATATAGGAACGACATCTGCCTTCCTCCAATCTTCCAGTTCAATACCTGAAACAAAAGAATCTTGATAAATTAAATACAGAGATTCACTTATTTGCCCACTTAAGTACTTGTGGGTGAATACTGCCAGGCCCCGGAGCTTTATTTGCATTAATTTTCTGTAGCACCTTGTCTCGAGTCATTCAATCACAAGTTATCTGCAAGTTTTTTTGCAGCAATCATTTGTTTTTTGGTACAATATTTTTCACACCACGACCCCAATTCCACTAGGACGTGGATACACATCAACTTCATACTATTAATTTCTGAAATGCAATTTCTGATTCTTTCATCCTACTATTCTACTATTCTAAGCTCTCTACTCCGACTACTGACTATATATTTATTCCTTTTTCTGTATAGCTGAGAACTTTGTGATGCAGTTTGGACGTGTGGCAGAGGATGTTTTTACCATGGACTACAGATATCCCATGTGTGCTCTGCAGGCATTTTGTGTCTGTCTGTCCAGCTTTGACGGCAAACTGGCTTGCGAGTAAACAATAGAATAAAATAAAATACACTCATGGAATGTGCAATATAGAATCAAACAATCCATCTTTTCGTCATTTCTGTTTCCATTGTCTAATTTCTTTTCCGAGGTAGAGATTGATTTTCGAAATAAATATATTGATAAAGGCAGCCAGTTGGTGCCGAAACGTTGGGGGGTTTGGTGACTCGTGTTTCTGTCCTGAGGCTTGTAAGAATTTTTGTGTTAATTTATTATTATTTTATCGTATTTGCCCTTGCTTCTGTCACTTTGTTTATTTTTTTCTTATATGTTTTCACTCTGGTACTTTTTTGTACATAATAAAGCTAAGTTTTTTGAGATTGTTCTAGTGTGCATTCTATATTCTATATAAGAAATAAATATATTGTCACGTTTTATCTGTACATTCTTGTTGTGACTCTTTATTTGTTAGGACAAAAGGACAAAAAAGACTAACAGGTTATTCACTAAGATTGGAAGTGTTGGGAGATGAAAGTGAATTTTAAATTTTTGAAGCCAAAATAGCTTAATTAGAATTAATTTGAGCTATTTTGGTCAATAAATAAATGAAATTTACTTTAAATTCCCTTTGCATTCCCAATAATTCTCATTTTAGTGAACAGTCCTGCAAGATGATTATGCACACATATATATATGGGTACACAATGAGGAACATAGAGGTTTATGCAGAAAGTGATGTTATATCTGCAACTCTAAACTGGTATTGAAACGTAAATAAAAAAACTAATTGTGAAATTTAAGCAAAAATATTACTTCTTGTGACGATGGCTAGAGTTTGAGAATTTTTCCTAATCTGCTATTCTGTCTTAAATTTCATAATTCGGTTTTTAGTCCTGCAAATTATTGGAACTCAGAGGGAAAAATAAAAATATAAAAATAAATATTAGATACATTTTTTATATATATATAATTATTTTTGATAAAATTGTTTTTGAAACTAACAAGTCCCAGTGATAATGATTAATTTCACTAATCCTGCTAAATTAGAAAGGAAAGATTAGTGAATGCAGATGAGCTATTATTTGGAGCCTTAGTTAACTATTACTATTACTGTGTGGTGGTTATGCATTAGGATTCTGTAGGTCCAGCTACTGTTCTTACAGTCAGTGTGTCAGTGTCCTTTAACCCTGTAGTGTAAACATTTTTACAAAACTGCAGTATTTTACATTGCAGGGTTAAAACTACAGGTGTGTCAGCCAGTTTAAAGGTTTAAAAGAAGTGTTTATAAGTATATCTCTTGTTGTTATTATTATGTTATTATTTATATAGCCCCAACAAATTCAGCAGCGTTTTACAATGGGTGGACGAACAAAGATGTAGTTGTAACCAGACAAGTAGGAAACACAGGAACAGAGGGGGTTGAGGGCCCTGCTCAATGAGCTTACATGTTAGAGGGAGTGGGGTAAAGTGACACAAAAGGTAAGGACAGTGTTGTGAATCCGATTGTGGAGCACTGGTGGTTGCATGCAAAAATAGGGTAATATTCACTCTTCTTACCCCGATTTGAAGGTTGTATAGTTGCAATGTAACATGTAAAAGAAAAATATTTAAAAAAAATAGTGCAGATTGATTCAGATAAAAGTGATCTGTGCTTAATAGTGCAGTGGTACCACTCACATTTATTGGAGCAATGGTCAAGTGTCAATACTTGTGCGGACGTGCTAAATGATGTTGTTAAAAAGTTGCTCCAACAACCATGACCATTTCTGCTTTTTGAAATTGTCATGTGGTAGGAGTCTGGATGTGCAGTTTTTCTGCCTGAAACACTGCACATTCAGAGTAATTAGCATTTTTGTGCCAGGGGCCCGGAGGCGTACCTAGGGTCTCTAGTGCCCTTGGCGAGAAGCTCTACCGGCGCCTCCTTCCCTCCCCCCAAATCATGAAAAATTTAAAATTTTAAAATAAGTGCTCCACCATGTAAAGGGAAACTAAAGAAACATATCTAGAATTATATTTTGTCTCCTAATCCTCCCTGTCCCATAAAAAAATGAATAAAAAGGAATTGAAAGTTCCTGAGGTTTTCCTGCCAATCACCCAAAGCCTTTCACACTATATGAAACTACTGCAAGAACTCCTATAAACCCTCCCATCTGCTAGAGCAAATGAAATGGCAAAGCTCCATAGACAATGCTTTCCCAATAATGCCAATGATAATATGTGTTATCAGCCTCAAATCATAAATATATATTTATACACACATGTTTATACTTGTGTGATGATGGTGATGTGCCACAGGAATGCTGGTCATATTGCAAGCATAGTACAGTCACATCACACCTTATCACAAGCATAACAAACGCCATTACACCTAATTGCAAACACAAGACACCTTTTTACAAGCATAACACAGGGACGTCACGCCATATGAGTGCCGGACTGGGTATAAAAACCAGCCCCGGAAATAATTTTATACCAGACGAATAGCATTGTGTCATTATACTGTTCACAAAAGGGAAAACTATGAATTTTAAAACACACTTGAAGAGTGTATTATTTATAGATAAGACTCATATATAACCTTAATATATACACAAAGTTATATCTCACACACTACTCTGATATATACAGGGTAATATATAGGCCCCAGTATGTACACAAATTTATATGAATTGCCCTGTGCAGGGGTATATATCAGGGCAGTGTGTGAGACATAACCATGTTTATATACTGGGGGCATATACTGACTTCAGTATGCAGACTGCACTTACAAGACTTGCTCGAGCACCCAGGACTTACTCCAGCACGGAGATTGCACTCACAGGACTTTTCCCAGCATGGAGATTGCACTCACATGACTTGCCCTAGCACACACGACTTACCCACCCCAGCATTGAGATAGCACTCACAGTAGCTGCCCCAGCACCCAGATTGCCCACCCAGGACCTGTCCCAGCATGGAGATTGCACTCAAAGGACTTACCCCAGCACTTAGATTGCATTTACAGGACCTGACCCAGCACCCAGGACTTAACCCAACACTTAGATTGCACTCATGGGACTTGCCACATTTGGATTGCACTCACAGGATTTGCCCTAGGACTTCATACAGTGTGAAATATGCCAGATATGAGATTTCTAGTAGCAACAAAGGTAACATCAAATTGGCTGAGAGACTGCATTCTCACATTCTTGTGCCCGCATTTCACAGCGGCCCTAGGGCAGTCCAGCCCTGCACCATATTACAAACAGGAGTCTTTACTGGGTTCACAACATTTTTTTTTATAACTAACAAATATCTTGGTTGTGACTACCTCAGACTGTCTGAGTATAGTGGGAACTGCATGTGATATATTGGGGTATCTGGGTGTAATGGGGACGGCGTATTGAGCTATCTGAGTGTAATGGCTTCAAATTGTGTTTGATATATATGGCTGTCTGACTATAATGTGGACTGCATGTAATGTATTGGGTTGTCTGTGTGTGATAGGAATAGTTTATATTTGATATTGAGCTGTGTACATGGAAACTGTGTTAGCATTGGGCTGGCTGTGTGTGATCATTTTGTGCAGTCAGTATGTGATGGGGACTGCTTGTGTTTGTGATAGTTTTGGGCTGGCTGTGTATGGTGAGACTGTGTTTGTCTTTGTGTGATAGTAATAACCCCCGATGAGTAGATAGAATCATGTAACTGGTTATCTGTGCTGCGTGTGACCTGTTTAAAAGTTAGTGAATCCTTGAGCAACACAAACTAAAATTACTTGCTCAATTTCATGCTCATGCGTACAATGTGTAATCCTGGACACATATCATTTACTCAAAAGTTTCACTTCGCTACTTACAGTCTAAGTAGTAATGCCATGGTCTGGATGTCCGCTCTGCTTGCTCCCTCGGTCCCTATGCAAACTGCAGTTTCAGCCAGGTAGGTAATGTGTCAAACCTTAGGTCTCTCCTCCCTTCCATCCATATCCCCCCCACCCATGTCTCCCTTCGATCCATGTCACTACTCCCTTCCATCCATATCCCCCTTTTCTTCCATTCATCTCTCCCCCATATTAACCTCCCCCTTCCATATCTCTCCCCCATGTCAACCTCCCCTTTCCATATCTCTCCCCCATGTCAATCTTCCCCTTCCATATCTCTACCCCAATGTCAATCTACCCCTTCCATATCGCTCCCCATATCAATATTTTCCTTCCATATATCCCCATGCCACTTCCCTTCCATATCTCCCCATGCCACCCCTTCCATATCTCTCCCGATTCCACCACCTTCAATATATCTCTCCACATGCCACCCCCTTCCATATATCTCCCCATGCAACCCCCTATCTCCCAGCCAAACCCCCTTCTATATATCTATATACCAATCCCCCTTCCCTCTCTCTCCCCATGCCACCCCCTTCAACTTCCATATTTCTCCCCATGCCACCCCCTTTCATATCTCTCCCCATGCCACCCCCTTCCATATATCTCCCCATGCCACCCCCTTCCATATATCTCCCCATGCTAAACCTTCCTTATATCTCCCCATGCTAAACCTCCATTCCATATCTCTCCATGACAACCCCCCTTCCATATATCTCCCCATACCAATCCCTCCCTTCCATAACTATCCCCATGCCAATCCCCCTTCCAAATATCTCCGTGCCAAACCCCCTTCCATATATCTCCACATGCCAAACCCCCTTCCATATATCTCCCCATGCCCAACCCCCCCTTCCATATATCTCCCCATGCCAATCCCCCTTCCATATATCTCCCCATGTAAACCCCCTTCCATATATATCCCCATACCAACCCCCCTTCCATATATCTCCCCATGAAAACCCCTCCCCTTCCATATATCTCCCTATGCCTAACCCCCTTCAATATATCTCATACCTCATGTCTCACTCCCAAGAAGCAGCCATTCACTCACAGAGCCAAGTTGAAGATTGATGGCCCGGTCCCTGCCGTTTTGTCTGTCATGGCAGGGGAGGGGGCGCCCGATGTCTGATGAGGCACGTGCTTGGTCTCTGTCAAGCTGAGCGCCGGGTAGTCACGTGACACCGGGCACTCCTACGCAGAGCAAGGGGGAGGTGCTCCACCTGTGTACTGTGTGTGTGGTTCCCTTATGGAGCCGCACGCTGCCTGGGGGCGCCGGGAGCGCAGGCCGAACGGGGGAGCATAAATCACTGCTCAACCGTACAACTGATTTTTGCGCTCCTGGCAGGCGCTGGTTTCACCAACTCCACGATACACCCGTACAGGGGCCAGTTAAACCCCCAACACATGTGACATAGGCAGCCGAAACCTTTGTCAATTCTATGCATAGAATACATTTGGATCCTACAGACGTAATGTAATTCAGAGCGTGCCCCCTCCCTACAGCACTCTCACCTCCCAATTCCGCATTAGGTTCCCCATTGATGCTGAAATAAGGTGAGTAACTCATGGGCGTACCTAGAGCATTTGGCACCTGGGGCGGATCGTGTGTTTGGCACCCCCACCCACATATTAAAATGTAAAAAACACCCACAATATTTTTAATGTTTAATGTTTTCATTTTTAAAAATTGCACATGTGTACATTTTGAAAAAACCCTGTCCTGCCCACTTCCACAAAAGGCATGTCCTACCCACGTTCTACAAGACCTCTGCACCCCCCTTCCACAAATCCCCTGCTCAGCCCTTTACAATAAAATAAATTTTTTTATACAACAATATTAGCAACAGTTTTTAGAGTCCAGTCCCAGGCACATAGTCACTCGCACACAGTCACACACAGTTACAGGCAGACAGTCACACAGTTACACGCAGACAGTCACACAAACAGTTACAGACAGTCACACATACAATCACAGGCAGATAGACACACACACACACACAGTTACAGGCAGCATTCCCCAATCACAGGCAGACAGTCACACACTCACTCACTCACAGGCACAATGTCACATACAGACAGTCACAGGCAGGCACTCACACACACACAGTCACAGGCAGACAGTCCCACACACAGTTACAGGCAGGCAGGCAGTCACATATATCACACACACACACACAGTCACACACACACACAGTTACAGGCAGGCAGTCACACACCCACAGAAACCCACAGGTAGACAGTCAACACACACACACACACTCTCTCTCTCTCTTTCTCTCTCTTACTTACTGACTGTATGGGCTGGAGGAGGAGTGGATTAACTGAAGTCCCTGGAGTCTATTAGTTGGGGAAGCAGGGACTCCATCCTGCTTCCCCTTGATGTGCAGCAGTGACAGCAGCGGGTGGAGGCCGTGTTTAACGCTGCCCCTGCTGCTGGTTTGGCTCTGCCCCTGCCACCAATTAACCTTGCCCCCGTTTTTCTTAGATGTGGCTGGTTTTGAAGTTCTGTGGCTGCCTGGTGTGTGAGCTGTGCAGCTGCTATGCTCACACATCCTAAGGCCGCACTGGTCATGGCACCCTTCTGGTGAGTGGCACCCGGGGCGGAACGCCGCTCCCGCCCCTGCCTTAGTACGCCACTGGAGTGAATTCAAGGGTTATTTAACCATTTGAGTGTTGATGGGGGGAGTGCATGAGGTGGAGGGATGGGGGGCAGCAGAGGAACACTTTAGTGTTAGGAATATAGATTTTTATTCCGAACACAAAAGTGTCCTCTAACCCTGAAATGTAACCATTGCCATTTTTACAAAACTGCAATATTTTACTTTGCAGGGTTGAAACTACAAGATCCGGGTGACTTTATTGGTCCTTTAATTGAAGATAAATTATTATAACCCAGGATACTACAGTCGGACTGCTCCTTCAAAGTGCAAAGCTTTTACAGCAAACTTCTCTAATAAATCAGTATCTAATAAATCCTCGGGACTTGGCCTGTTTTCATGCTGTCAATATTTGACTTCACCCATGGCCGACACTCCCCCTTCACATTAGTATAAAAGGAAGATTTCTATAGACACATTCAAGATCAAAGACACTCTTTGCCCCTTCTGGATTAGACTGGCATCTTTGACTTTCTGTTGCTATGGCAACAAAATGGGGTATCTGTGCTGCAGGAAAAATATGCAATGACTTCTTAGTAGCATTGCAGACTCTGCCAGCAGAGGATCATCAGGTAAGTGTTACAGAAACAAAAGGTAAATGTAATCAATAGAGGATATTGGGATCTGTATATACAGTACAATATTCCCTATAAACAAGGCACATTTTGCCCCTCTATAGCCACATCTCTTCTTTTTATTCATGTCTGTTCTCTCTCTGATCAGTTTGAAAGAATTATAGACAGAGAGAGTTATTCAATAGCAAACATCTCAAACTTCAGATGTTCTGAACTACAATTCCCATAATTCTCTGGTCATCTATTGCATGCAAATAATTTTGGAAGTTGTGGGCCAGCAACAATAGAGTTTAAAATCCCTGCACTAAAGGGTGTATTGCCAGGAAATCAAACATGAATTTCATATGTTATTTTGCCAAATAGGACATATTCTCCAAGTCAGCAATGTTTTCAGTTCAGCTTTTTTGGCCTACAGGAGTAAACTGTGGTATTCTTGCATACATTGCATATGCAACATTGAAGTATATGGATAATCCTAGGAAGCTGTATCCACCATTGAAAACTCATGCAATTTGCTCCATCTTTTTCTTGTGACTATTTTAATTGCTTAGTCATTTCACTGAAATTACAATCAAAATATGTCGTAAGACAAAGTAGGAACAACTTATGCATTTATCCTGCACCTGACATTTCCCCCAAAAAGAAAAAGGCATTGTCTATGAAGGCTCCTGTCGACCCTCCATAGACATCAGTGTTGCACTCTTGTGTATGTACGAGTGTATAGCACTTACATGGTGTGACGGAGCTCCCTGTACCCCAGCTTGGTTCCTCCGCCAAGCTTGCTCCCTAGCTGGAACCAGAAAAAACCCGAAGTGCTTCTGCCCCAGTCGCCGCAGCTTCACTGGGGTCCTTCTGGAGCTTTTCCCCCAACCAGCACGTCTTCCAGGAAAGTATTATCTCCTCTGCCTATTCCTCTGGAGCTTTGCTTATAGTGCTTGCTATTGCCTTTACAAAGGCACTTGCAGCTCTCAGGCCTAGCTCTCTTGAATTAACCCTCGGCTACGGGGATCTTTTAGACAGCAAACAGGTCCAAAGACTGTCACTGGGATCCCTAAAAATCCACACAGGACATAAGTTCCAAAAGGAAATAACATACAAAATTTTATTTTTACCCGGGACCAGCCCATATGTTCATTACATCAACCTTGTTGTGACAAACTTACTAAACTACAAATAACCAAAACATGTCAGAAAACATACAAGGAATTATAATAACCTAATAGCATAGGAATGGGGAAGACCATAATAAACACAAAGCATCTCTACTGCCTGCAGAAACAGCAATATGCATATCTACCTGAATATGCAAATTAACTGGCCTTGCTATTCACCTATAATGGGCACAGGGTGATTAAAACAGAAAAATAATCCAGGGACCTACATAAATAGTCTGTCTGAAGTTCCAGGTGATGGTGACTACCGTCACATATGGGACCCTGGCAGATGAAGCGCCAGAAGCTGAAGAGGATCCACCACATCATGACTACGTCTATGAGGGGCAGCTTCAGGTAAGTAAAACTTACCTTCCGTTGCACCCCAATGCCACCACATTACAAAGGTGGTTCTTTGCAAAATATGGTAATTTCAATTGTCACTGCTATAGTATAAGTATATCTGAGCTCATCACTTATAACTATACTATTCTGGATTGCTATTTGAGTTCTCTATATAATAGAACTCATTCAGACTGTGTACAAACACCATGAATATGTTGCAAGGTAATATAACAGACACTATACAGTTCATACAATTTCAGTTAATTTGCTTTCTATATCTCTCTGCTACTCTGAACTCCTGTAATATAACACATATTGCTGGTTATCTGTCTGCAGGCTGTAGCTGTGGCATCAAGAGATTTGAAACGAGCAAAAGACTTCGCTCAAACTCATAACATTCACAAAGTCTTTGGTTCTTATGAAGAGCTTGCCAAAGATCCCAACATTGGTGAGGAACAAACAAATAAAAAAAAACAAAAGGGGGGATTAAATAAAATGAACAATGAATTACAACGGTGAAACATCATCAGTTAAAGAGTAGAAGAAGGGAATACGTGTAAAACTTGAAAATAGGGCGTAGAGGTAACAAGATGAGCAGAGAAAGGGGGAATTGTATTGGTCAATGGAAAACAAACACAGATTTGATCTCATCACTGTTATAAATTACTTATCTGCAAAACAGCAGCAACATGTTCACAAATAGCCTAGGTGAATCCTCAATGAGACTTGCGCCAGAAACTGTACTAATTGTAACATTTCTGCATCTAAAATGGTGTTAAGGTTTTCTGTGTATCAAATAAAGTTTAGCACCCACGTTGGGCCTCCAAAAAATACAGTAAGCACCCAGGAGTGATAACATTTATGTGTTCACGTGGTCCTGGTCAAGTTTTAATAAATGAACACGGCTTATATCTTCCCATTTTCACACACAATGTGTAACCTTACAGATGTTATCTATGTTGGCGTCCTCCATACAGTCCATCGAGATGTAGTTCTAATGTTCATGGAGAACAGAAAAAATGTGGTATGTGAAAAGCCACTGGCCATGAACTCTGCAGAAGTCAAGGAACTCACCTTGGCTGCTCGGAAAAATAATGTATTTTTTATGGAGGTATGGTAATTTTAATTGTATAATTTACTGTCAAAAACAATATCCACTATGAAAAATCTCACAAACAAATTATGTGTCTTTAGTCCACAGATCTGAAACTCTGGCACCCCAAATATAATAAGTATTGTATATTAAATTGAACATATTTTAATATTATTTGACAGTCCTTGGTGAGGACTATTAGCAATTTATATTCCCCCATGTCTTCATCCATGACAATAATAACTTTACCATAGCCCTGATTACATATTTATTTTCAGCTTATTGTAGCCTGGAATAGTATTTTGGTTTTAGATTCGGATGGAGCAATCGGTTTTATTTATTTGCCTACAGGCTATGTGGAGCCGTTTCTTTCCGGTGTATGAGCAAATCCGCACACTCTTATCTCAGAAGGCAATTGGAGATGTGAAGGTTTTAAGGGCAGAATTTGGTTCCAACCAGTATCATGTACCACGGGCGGTGCAGAAGGAGCTTGGAGGTGGTGCTCTCCTTGACATTGGGTGTTATTGTATTCAGTTTGCATTAATGGTATTTAACGGGGAACGGCCGGAGTCTATCACAGCAAAAGGCTTTCTTTATGAGACTGGTAAGTACTCTAAACTCTAAGTACTCTAAAACTGTTCTTTACTGCCTAAAAACTTTCCAAATTCTTTTCAAATGGAGATACCAGTAAAACATAGACCCATAATCATCCTATAGTACTCCAAAGCATAACATCTGCTGATGTTCACTTTCTTTTCTTTTTTTGCTTGCCAAATTCAAAGGTATGTTCAAAGCACCATAACAACCTATGCTCTTTGTGCAGTTTATGATGTATGGAGGTCCCTATTATAGAATTCCTATAACTGCAGTGATTTACAAAAACCTTTGTATCTATAAACCCTTAAACACTCATATATGTGGAAGATATGCAATCCTCTGGCTGAGTATATACTTGGATGACTTAAGGCTCCTTAAAGGATTACTCCCACCGCCATAGCAGCTTCAGCACATTGAAGGTGTTAAAGGGCAGAGCTGTCGTCTTACCTGCTGGGGTTAGCCAATTTTAGGTCGTATGGTGTCCATCGTAGCCCTGAAGGTAGGACAATGTCCAGACATTCCTGCTCCCATAACAAATTACACTCTCAGCCAATCACTGGCTTCTCATTGAGAGAAATAATATGCACTATATCTCTTAATGGATGGCCAGTGATAGGCTAAGAGCATCAACTGATGCTTGTAACCTATCCCCGGCAGCCCAGCAAAGCCTTCCTCATACACCAGCTGCAGAGAGGATGTTACATGTGGGCAAATGTGTTGGATGCTGGAGGATTAACTGCAGTGTTAAACCACTGGAAAACAGTTTAAAACCTGAAGATAATTAGGGGCACACAGACACCCCTGCCCCATAATATGTTCAATGTGCTATAGTGGGAATGTGGGCAAAAATTTTCCTCCAATAGCATTTTCAATGAAACCGTACTATGGCTGTTTCTTATCTTTTTCTAAATGAAACTGATGCTAATATTCAACTATAAATCCACAAAATCTCTGCTGAGTGATTGCCTATGGGTTGTGCTAAAAATATTTGGATTGTCAGGATTGGATGAAAGCTCTTACAGCAAAAATCACTACATCCCGGCTAGGAAGTAACTGAAAAAATCCAAAAGCAAGAGCATAAACATCGTAAAAACAGGAATTTTAAAGATACTTTTTTACTTTTTACAGTTATTTACACACACATTATAGCGGACCACCTGTTAACCCGACCAGTTACCTCCACTAATTCCCTTCCTTCAGCCGATCAGGAACCATTTAAAATACACAGAGACCCACTTCCCCCCAGTAACTGGACGAGACACAGTTCTGGAGGTACAACGCTGACCGACTCCGTTTATTTTGTTACACATGGTTTTACAGACACAGACCCCTACATGGGGTCTCCAACACAGAACAACAGGGTTTTCAATCCCAAGAAGCTGAAGGGGGAGGGAGGAAGGACAATGCATGTAGGTTAAACTGGGCTGGCAGTGTCTCTGTGGCAATGTCCTGCTGTGAGAGGAAAAGGGAGGAGGAAGGGCGCAGAGCAATCCATTTCACTTACTCTTCTTTACAGAGCTGTTGCATATACAGGCAAAATACACGAAAGGCATAGAAATACATGGGGAAACACAGAAGAAAAGGGGAAACCACATTTTATATTGGGGAATCTACGAATATAGAAGAGGGCAATTCATGAACAGCCAGCAGTCCCGCCACACACATTATCTATGTAATACTTCTTTCTGAGAATTTTCATTAAACATCTTGTATATTCCTGGACAATGTGTAGGATTGTGCATACAATACAGGAGGCAAAGAGGAGTTAAATTCACATGTAAGAGTGGTGTACAGCTATTTATCTTAATATTAGAAACAGTGGCAATGTTAGTCCATCTCATTGATAACAATGAATATATGCATCTTTTTTTTTTTTACCATATCATTTACAACTCATCTTTTCATTAGGAGTTGATGAAACTGTAACCATAATCCTTCAATATCCTGGGAAACGTCAGGCCATTCTCACTTCTACCATCATGGTCGCAATGCCAAATCAGGCTGCCATATGTGGCTCCAAAGGAATGATACAGGTACACAAGCACATGCATTATACAGGAAAACAGCTTAGATGTGTATAGCTTCTATACATTCAACATCAATAGAATATTACAAAATTATATGGATATACACCTAGCTATGTGCTCTCAGAGAGACTTCCAGACCAGAACTGGCACCAGGCTGATGAGATCCACAAGGTCGAAACTGCAGTCCAAGGCTGTTTTCTTGTCACTGATCCCTTTGGATCATAGCCTATACTTTGGTTAAAAAAATAGTTGTGTTTCAAACAATTTCCATTGCTAAGGGTATCTGCAGAAATGCGGTATAATGTCTGAGAGACAATGCCTATCTGTGCTCATTTGCATTTGAAACTGGATAGTCCGGTATAGTTATGGATACATGGTTTTTCAAGTATCCAGCCCAAGAAGGACCCAACTTGAGATATGCAGGTGATGCATAACAGTAATTTTGTGTGTATATATACATACCATAGACGGCTCTCTAATTAGGCTCTTTAGGTGGCTGCCTAAAGCCTCACACCCACTTGGGACTTGCGGTTGCCAAACTTACCTAACTGGAGAGCAGAGCCTGTAGCATGGGGCAGGCAGAAGAGGCAACCATTAGAGAGATGCCCACTATTAGGAGGAACGACAGGTGAGCTCACACATTTAGGGAGGGAAAGGAGCATAGGTACCGAGCATCAGATAATATTGTAACCAGGCACCGAGGATTAAGGCATTGTCCGATCAAATGCTTATCACAGAGATGGGTTGTTTTAGTGAGGTTAATAGATTTGTATAAAATATATATATTTATAGCAGTATTAGTTCAAGCACCATTTGTGAGTATTAATATTAGCAATTATATAGCATGCCTCCCAACCATGCTGATTTCAGCAAGAAACTCCTGATTTTCAGGTCCTGTCTCGACTTTGTCCCCTGGTATCCCACTTTTGTCCCCAAAAAGTGTAGAGCGAGAGCATCATATATTTTTTATTTCCTGTTCTGGGGTTAGCATGCTACACATAGAAGAAATAGAAGGTATTATTCTCTGGAATTAAACATTTTTAACATGAAAGACTGCGGACACAGGTTATTTGCACCATAACCACTTCAATTAGATGAAGTGGTAATGGTGCTTAGCGTGACTCTGTAAGTCTTCTGGTTGGAAGGAGAGCAACTGTCACCCACAGCTGGCCTTTTATGATGTTGTAGCTGTTTGCTTGCGAGCAATCAACTGATAACCTCCAGTTTGTTTAGCTATGAACATTCAGCTACTCCAATGGACTTTAAAACTTAACTATCACTATTGAGATTTTGTCGCAATGCCGTATCTAATTAAAAGATAATTTTTTTCTCTCTTGTGCACGTTATATTATTCACATTGTATGCCTGGCTGCCCTGACAGAGCCAGAATGTGCCATGTAGATTAATATAAACCATGCGCAGCCGTATGTGTGTTGGAGCATCAATTCCTAGCTGAACGTAGCAACCACTCAAGATGACATTTTTTATTGAAATGTACTTTGGGCTTCAATAAAGTAGTTATTGTATTCATTAAAGTAATAATTACTCTCTGCAAATTAATTTCCATTGCAGGTTCCGTCATGCATGTGGTGCCCAACGTCCATCATCGTCAATGGAAAAGAAACAAAATACTCTCTCCCTCCTTCTACAAAAGCCATGCATTTTACCAACAGCACAGGGCTGAGTTATGAAGCAGAACATGTGCGTCAATGCCTATTGAAAGGTAATTCAAAGGTTTAATGCAATTTTACGATGACTCGATTATTCTTGGTGGTGAGATAATGTCAGTTCTTACCTATGCTGAGATTCCCCCTGGTTTGAGGGTTATTCACAAAAAATTGTCCAGAATGCAAAGTGAATTTCAAATTTAAAGGGTTCGTCTAAAAATTTATATTGTTACTTTTTTTTTAAGATACTATTTGTAAGTCTCAATTGTTTTCTTTAGGTCTCCCCTGAGCCACGTTTTTAACTGAAAAGTCAGTTTAACTAGTATAAAACTTACCTGAAATCCAGTGTCTGGCCAAGTACTCCAGGTTATCTTCCACACCTCTTATTTGGGGGTGCTACACACTCATTGACTGGATTTTGTCAAATGTGACAATGGGTGGACAATGGGTGGACAAGGAGAGTGGTTGGGAGGAAGAAAATAAGGGTTGGCACTATTACAGTGGGAGAGAGGCAATATTTTAAATTAAAAGTAGACACTAGTGGAGGGAGGGAAGCAGGGCTACTTCAGGTATATCTAGGAGACTGTGTGTGCACTTTTTGCCCACACGGTCCAAAGGCTTCACTTGCAGGCACATTGCTTGCAAGTGAAGAATCAGTGGAGAGTGTGTGCTGACGACAGATGTTATTTTTGCACAGAACTTACATTAGGCACTCTGGAACAGCGTTCCCAGCTGTCAAATCCATGGGTGCTGAGGATGTAACTAGAACCCAGAACACAAGTGCAAATATTTCTGGGTGTGCTATGTGCACATAGAGATTCCTTCCTCCTTTACCACTTCAAAACGCAGAAGTGAACATGGACGTTGGAGTAACCCTTTAAGGCCAAAGTAGCCAAGATGGAAGCATAGCAGACTTGGAAATTTTTTTCCAGTTTGGCTATTTTGGCCTTAAATCTGAAATTCCTGACAATTTTCACTTTCGTGAACTTCAGTTAGAAAAATCTTTCACTCTCAGTGGGTTTGGTGTTTGAGTTTTTACATTTTCACCTTTCTGTGTTAGACAATTTATACATGTTTTTAATGTTTGCTGTTTATTTGAAAACTCTTTATAAAGGTTCTTAGGTGTTGGTTAGTTACATTTACTTTTGATAAAACTGAGATCATGAATAATAAAACCAGTTTTTAAATATTACCATATGTGATAAAACTCATCAGACGGCAATATCTTCTTGTTTAAACTCACAGTATCACTAATAACAGCAGGTCCCTCACCATCATATGACTGAGGTTGTAAAGCCCATCATTCACTGTCATATCCAAAGCAGCAGGGCACTTATTTCGTGAAGGACACCATTTACATTATGTGACAGTACATACGGTAATAAGATTCAGGATATTTTGTCTTTTATAAATACTATATAGCCAAAAGTAAGTGGATACCTGATTATCACACCTCTATGAGCTTGTTAAATGTTCCATTAAAAAAATCATTAGCATTAATAGGGCGATAGGCTCCTCTTTGCAGCTGTAACAGAGGCCACCTTTTTGGGAAGACTTTCAACAACATTTTGGAATTTGTGACCTTTGCAATAGCTTTACCTTGATGGATGTCCATCAGTAGATAATGACGTGTGTTTGATGTTACAGGATTGAAGCAAAGTCCACTCATGACTTGGGCAGACAGTGAGCTCTTGGCCAGCATCATTGAAGACGTTCGCACACAACTCGGAGTTACATTCCCTCAAGACAGAACTTGACTCGCAAGGAAAATCGACCAATTTCAATATATTGAAGAAATGTATGGATTGGTTTTAAAGGGGATGTGCCACCAAACAGTTTTAATATTTTATTTACCTATCCCCTATATTTAAAAATGTATGTTTATGAAGTCTGAAAAATAAAATGAAATCTAGAAATCGGTACGGCTGTATTTACCTCTATTCTGGACATGACCAAAACCATTCTAGCTCCTTGTCAAACACTGTTATTTGTCCTTTCACCTACCTGTCAGTGTAGAAACTAAGAGCATACAATGTAATGTGCCCTGGCTGTGACAGGACTGAATTAGATTGTTTACGTTTCTCCTTCTCTTGCTATGCTCTCTGTATGTTGACAGACAGGTGCAAAGGACACAACTTATAAACAGAATTGTGCAAATGGTTTAGGTAGATGTTTATATAATGCTGTAACGTAAAAATGCTTTCAAAAATAGAAATTTGAATATTTTGGTGCTATGTAAGTGTAAGGAAGCTCCTTGTACCCTGGTTGGGTACCTCTGCCAAGCTCACTTCCTACCTGTAACGAGGACACCCGGAGCGCTTCAGCCCCAGTTGCCGCAGCTTAACTGAGGTCTATTGGAACTCTCCCACCCTAGTGCTATATTTCCAAAGTGACCAGGCTCTCCTGCACAGGGTATAGCTGTGTAGCTATACCCAAACACTAGCCGAGACTTAGTGAAGGGTGAATAAGAACTGATTTTATTGCATGAACCACAGGTTTCTATACACAGATCCCCAGCATAGGGGCTCTATTGAAAACACAGTAAACCCCGCCCTTGTACCTTTGGTTCTTGGAGATAATTGAGTTATCTCTCGCTAAGCTAATTAATTCCCATGCACACAGGTACTAACAGAATTATCCCCTGCACACAGGAAATACCTTAAAAACACATAGAAAAAAATAATGCACCTCTAATGAGTTTCTTCACAATAAGGGATTGTAATAATTGTGTGTGTGTAAGGAGTACTGTTTGCAGTATTACAATGGTGAGAATGCTGTCTGTGATGTGTGTGTAGGAGGCTGCATGTGGTTTTGCATGTGTGGGGATGCTGCTTGTGGGCTTGTGTGCTTAAAGTGAGGCGCCTTGTAGTTTTGCGTATATCAATGGGTCTGTTTGCAGTGTAGTATGTGAGTGGAGAGGGCTGGTTGTGTTGCAGAGTGTGTGTGGATAGGGAATATTGTATGTGTGTGTGGATAGGGACTTTAGCACTGGTGTAAGTACCACGGTCGCAGGAGTTGCAGCTGCAAATGGGCTGCATGGAACTGACTGAGGAGGGGGGAGAATGAGAAATGTTGGGGTAATTGATACACATGGAAGGGACTGGCAGGTGAAATTGCTTCAGCCCCAGTCGTCGCACCCGACCAAGCTGCAGCTCTTCTTCCACGCAGGTATCTTCTACTCTGCCGCTGCAGCCCTTCTTCCAGGCAGGTATCGTCCCCTCTGCAGCTTTGCTTACAATGATTACAAAGGCACCTGGGCCTCTCAGGCCTAGCTCTCTTGCTTTATCCCGGGGTAAGCGGGCCAACAGGTCCAAAGATTCTGTCACTGGGATCCCTAAAACTCCACATGGAACTAACATGCAATACTTTATTTTACTTGGGACTAGCCCAAATGATCATTACATTTAGATTGCTGTGACAAACATCATAAAATTCAAATAATCAAAACATGTCACAAAATATAGAGGAAATTATAATAGCATAATAACATATTTAAAAAGGGATGGGCAATATGCAAATCTATCTAAATATGCAAATTAACCCGCTTGCTATTCAGGTAGTGCATATTGCTGTTGCTACCAACAGAGGACGCTACACAGGCTCCATAGCCAAATCCACCTAGTTGGTAGCAATTCTCAGCAGTACAGGAGAGAAGACAAAACATGTAATGCTAAACACTAAATATTTCACACACACCCTGCACCTATAATGGACACAGGGTGACTAAAACATAAGAATAGTCCAGGGACCTACATAAATAGTCTGTCTGAAGCTCCGGGTGATGGTGACTACTGTCACAGTAGTGAAGAACAGGTCATGGTCAAAATGCCAAATAAGAATACAAGATAAATGCACTCTCTGATTCCCAGTAAATAGAACCACAATGGGCACTTTGTTTAAATAGCACTAGGATGACAGGGATTGACCATAAATGACCTTATGACGTCAAAACGTGTGTGTTCATCAATGACGCATGTATGTTCGTGTCATTACTGTCATATAGCATAGCTATGAATTGGGCTCCGTCTGAACGCCACATCGTCTGGGAGCTTCATGGAACGCAGGCTGGATCGGAATCCGCTGCAAGGTAAGTCTTCTCACAGAGCCCACACTAGCGTGATTGCATCAATCCGGCTCAGCCACGTTATCGTGCCTCTCCAGCACTTTGACACGTAGGGGCTGCAGTGGGTGGAGGAAGGCATACGAGCCGAACAAAAAATTTACAAAAAGCATACGCATACGTAGATTCTGAGTGCTGTCTCTGCCAGGCTGCTCCTTATCTTCATAATGCTCGCAGTCCAGGAGCACTCAGAGATTATGCAGGAGAGGAGAACACAGGAAGTGATGCCATTGCCCATTCTGGGATTCCCCCTCTCCCCCTCACACAGAACACCGCACAGGAGAACATGAAGGATACCTGGTAAGAACAGCAGGGTTGCTGCCAGGTCTCACTGAGAAGAGGGGTCACTTACAGTGTAATAGTTTGCTGGTGCCCTACAACCTATGAATGGAATATTTGAGGAATTATAGCTTTCTGGCTGGGGGGAGTGCATGGCTGTTCTGCCGGACACCTAACTGCCCCTCAGTCCATGAATGTTCTACCCAAGTGGTCAGCCCACCCCTGATGACCACACTTTGCCTTCAAATCAGCATAAATTCTTTTGGATTACATCTATAAAAATATATTACATATTAATATACAGGTCAGGGGCAGATTCAGAACCTTATCGTGGGGGGGAGGGGAAGAGAGGGCGCACTAATAGATTATTTAAAGAAACAATGCAGACACAATAACCCCTACAGTTATTTTCTATTCTATTTTATTTACGTAAACATATATTTTTCATATACATTTTCTTTTAAAATTCTATGTTGGTAACCTCTACCTGTCTACACTATTATGGCTGCTAATTATCCTTTCTTATATAACCCCACAGCACTACTCAATAAGTTTGGTGCTTCATAAACCAAAATGTTAATAATAATAATAATAGTATGAAATCTGATGCAAAAATAACAAAAATGTGTGCTTGATACTCAAATCCTGGACTTCAGAGATAATTAGATACTTAGCATTAATTTTATGTTGAGGAAAAAAGCCTTTAAAGCAGGCATCAAAAACTCATGTTGCTGGACAACAAGTCCCATGATTCTATTGCCATCTATTGCATTCAAAGGATGTTTGGAGTTGTAGTTTATCAGCATATGAGTTTGAGATCCTTGATTTAACCCCTTAAGGACCAAACTTCTGGGATAAAAGGGAATCATGACATGTCACACATGTCATGTGTCCTTAAGGGGTTAAAGGGATATTGCATGCTCCCCAACATTGGGAGGTTTGAAATTAGGAAAGGTTGTCTCTTTAAACATATCTCAACTACACGATACGAAGTTCTTGTTCTCTGCCTCTTACCTTTCATGTTTCAAACTAGACACGCCCCCCTCACCGTCCTATTAAAGCACTTGTTTCAAACACTGACTGTCTTTCCCTGTGACTCCAAAGATCAGCCCTCAAAAAAATACATGAAACATCTTAATTTTATTTTTTTTAAATAGTTATGGCAACCAAGTGGGGTATCTGCTCAGCTGGAAAAATCAGCAATGATTTCCTAGTAGCTCTGGCAACTCTGCCGGCTGTGGATCATCAGGTAAGTTTAAAAAAAACTGAGAATAGGACCCAGAATTTCCCCAGGCAATTTGAATGCAAAGTGAACTGACAAACTTTTTGATACGTTGTAGCATGTATTATTGTGATTTTGCAAACAGTGGTAATGGACATAGTCTCTTACTTATAAATTATCCTTCAAATTATATTAGTGGTTTATTTTTTTCCAGTTTTACATTTGGTATTTTCTACACACCAAGTTTATATAAAGACAACTAACTTAAAATAGTTATTTTATTTATGTTACTAATTTATCGTAATTGTTAAAATGCCCAGCATGCCTAGGATTTCAATTAGTTTTTAGAAGTTCTAAAACAAATACTGCAAGGAATGGATTATGGTTTTAAAACTAAAACTTTGGAAAATGTGGCATGCTATGAATATAACTTTAATGGGCACAGAATCTAAAACTGCTAAACAAAAGTATATATTTGTAGAAAGTAGATCCCCATGCTGTGTAACTAAGAATATTTTGACACTCTTCTTTTAACCCCTTAAAGCCGTTACGGAGTACTTGCTGCCCCGCATTTAGTAAGCCTAAACGCCATTAGGGCGGCATAGTATGCCCTAATGATCGTGAGCTCCTCTGTCCTGCATTCTTACCTGGACTGGCGATCTGCGGCGATTATGGTCTGGGGGGACTGCCTCTTGAGACAGGCAGTCCCCCTGCTTCCATTTTGACCCTCCAGGGCCATGTAATTGCGATGGATCTTGATGATCTCCTACCCGCCGGTCCAGTTATCCTGGTCCCCACTGGGGTATTGTGAGCTACCTCAACTACACTTGCCTTACACTGCACACTGCAGGGTTTTGTGCACAAGGTGGCTGCTGCTTCTCTACTGGTTTAACAGGGCCTGGGCCTGTCCTGCAAGCCTCAACTCGACCAAGCACTTCCTACACCGCCTGGATGTAGCCTTCCAGAACTACTGGAGGGGTCTTTGCAAGCGGACGCAAGCTAGAGCGGGGAAAGTGGGACCTCCCCCAGGATGATGTCTGCCTACCTGGGCTGAGAGCCATCCAACACACGGTCACGACCAATGCAGAGGATCAAGCGCCGAAGGCGGAACGCACCTTCTGGATCCTATGTCTACTCCAGAAGAGCAAAGGGCCCAGCCATCGGTGTTCGAGTCCGTGGACTTATGATGCATCAGTAAAAGTGCAGTTTTTGTGTGAAAAATTAAAAAAAATACAAATATGAACACTAACTTTGGCCAGGGATTGTGATTAAGTGACTACTACAAAAGACCAGATTTACCCCATTCTGAATTCCCTGGGTTGTCTAGTTTTATAAATGGTATGCCATGATGGGGTAATTCTCATTCCTGGGCTGCCATATAGTCTCAAAGGCAGCATAGGCCACCCAACCAATATGGCAAACAGAAATGGGAAAACCCTATATTTGACCCTGTAACTTTCCAAAACCCCACAAAACCTTTACAGGAGGGTACTGTTTTACCCGTGAAACATTGCTGAACACAAATATGAGTGTTTTAGAGCAGTAAACCTTATGACATCGATATCACCCGTGAAAGGGCATTTCTTTTTTGTAAAAAATTGGAAAAACTAATATGAATGCAAAATTTTGGCCAGGGTTTGTGGCAAAGTGGCTACTAAAAAAGACTGGACATACCCCATTTTGAATACCTTGGGTTGTCTACTTTTGCAAATGGTTTGCCATGATGGGAGTATTTCTCATTCCTGGGCTGCCATACAGTCTCAAAGGAACCATAACCAATGTTGCAAATTTCACTATGTAAAAAATTAAATGGCAAGCCCTATATTTGTCCTAAGCCCTATAAAACCTGCACATGCGGGGTTCGTTTTACTCCTGAGACATAGTTGAACACAAATGAGTGTTTTAGAGCAGTAAAATATATACTGACGATGAAAGCATCAATGGAAGTGCTGTTTTTGTGTGAAAAATTTAAAAAAACAAAAATGAATGCTGACTTTGGCCACAGTTTGTGACTGAGAAGCTACTAAAAAAGACTAGATATATCCAAATTTGAATACCCTGGGTTGTCTACTTTTTCAAATGGTATGCCGTGATGCGGTTAATTTTCATTTCTGGGCTGCCATACAGTCTCAAAGGCAGCATAGGTCCAGCAAACCAATCAGGCAAATTTCAATGTGTAAAAATGAAAAAGGGAAAGCCCTATATTTTACCCTGTAACTTTCCAATACCCCATAAAACCTGTACATGGGGGGGGGGTACTGTTGTACTCGTAACACATTGCTGAACACAAATATGTGTATTTTATTGCAGCAAAAACTAACACTATTACAACATTCACAGTTAAAATGTCATGAAGTTCTTTAAATTTGATATCAAATGAAAGCCCAGTTTCTCCTGAACAAAAATTATATATAAAAAGTGTGGGTGCATTTAATATGAATTAGGTAAATTATGCTTGAACAAACAGCGCAAATTCCAGCTTTTGTCTACGTTTTTGTTTTGATCAATGTGGCATTAAACCCTCTCGAGGATGGGTTACTACCGCCTGTGGTTGCCCCTTCCTAGTTGTGCCCAGCCCTAGAGTGATTATAGCTGCGAGCCAGTGATTATAGGCGCTTGCAGAAGGGCAATCGTGGTATCACCCAAATACTAATCGAGACTTAGTGAAGAGTTAAAAAGAACTGTTTATTGCAGGCAAGATACACTGTATTTATGCACAGACCTCCACAGGGGGTCTCCATTTACAGCAATACAAAACATAATCCCACCCTGGTGTCGCTATGTCTGGGACATAATGGTATCTCCCGGACACAGGAAGCCGAACACACAAAACCCCCCAAAATACACACCATACAGTAACTTGCCATACATCCCAGAATAGCTCCTGGTCCCAGCTATGATCCCTGCAAATAGCGGTGAGATTGGATGTACAGAGCCCGAGAAACCGTCAGATAAAGTCTGGGTTTGAGTCTCTCTACATACCTGAAAACCGTCCCAGAGAATCACTTAGTTTAGGCTGTAAGATTCAAACTTCGCACCTAAACCGTGCAGCAGCCAATTAGGAGAAAGGGTGTGAACAATTTGCACCAATCGGCGCTCAGGGAGGGGGATGTTTCGCCGGCCAATCGGGAGAAAGGGCTCAAAAGCAGTTTGAATGGCACGGACTTCGAGGCGGCCAACGGGACTCTGCAGCTTGTAAAGCTGACTCACAGTTCCAGGGATATCTCCACGTAGGTTGCACCAGAGAGAGCGCTCTTTGGGCAGCTACAAGCCTGGACTCGTAGCTGCCCAAAGAGCACTCTCTCCTGCTTGACAGTCTGATTGCAAGCAGGAGGCTCCTGGATCTATTCTGGCCAGTGATTATGGCTCCTTTAGGAGCAGGTAGGGCGATCCCTCCGCAGGAGGACCTGAAAACAATGTGGCCTCATGTGGGCAGGGCAGTCCGTGACGGCGTTCCGCCACAATCAGAATGTGTACAATTGACTCCGTCCTTAAGGGGTTAAGCAATTTATCACAAACCTAGGTCAAATTGGTTAAAGGGACACTATTGTGTGTATAGATCATGACCCCGCAGTCTCACTGCTCAAATCTATGTGATTAAGAAGTTAGATCAGCGGTGTGCCTGGACCAGGGCCCGCAGGGTGAGGGTGCCTATTTGGTGGCCATGCACTTAGTGTCCCCTGATGGGCATGTGTCTTCTGGAATCCAGCCTTTTAACAGCATGACATGGCCCCTATAATATTGTAATGGAAGCACGGGAAAGAAGTAAAATCCAATCACTTCCTCAAATCTAACACCAAGGCGTGCAGGAGATTGGAGAAGCACATATGAGGGGGGTTTGAATTGGGAGAGACAGTGTCTAATTTCCAACAGCCTCAGCCAGCAGAAGCCATCCTCGTGCCTTCAAAAAGTAAACAGGAGGGTGGCTGAAAATGTGTAAATTGTGACCTGTGTGTGTGTCAGTGTTTGCATCTGTGTATCTACATGTGTATCTGCATGTGTATCTCTCAATGTGTCTGTGTCGATGTGTGACTGTGTCGATGTATCTGCATGTGTGTACCTGTGTTTGTGTATCTATATGTGAGTCAGTGTGTGGCTGTGTACCTGCATGCCTGTAAGTGTGTGCAGCTTGGTGTGTATATGTCTGTCAGTCTGTATCTGTGTATATGTCCCTACATCTGAGCATCTCACCAACACTGCACACAAACACGCCCCTTCATTCTAAAATCAACACTATGTACAAACACTACACTACACCTCTATATTATCCCTATTCTAAGCGGCTCTAAACGCCGCCGGACGTAATAGTACGCCCTCCGGTCTTTTCCTACTTACCCGGTCACCGGCGATTCCCCCCGCGGCACGTCCGACCCCCTGGAAGCCCCCCGGCCATGTGAGAGTGAGGTCCTTGCGAGGACCCCACAATCACATGGCCGGGTAGGCTGCCTGCTGCAATGCCAGCAGGGGGGCTGCCTGTAATGACAGGTGGTCCCCCTGCTGGCTGAAAATAAAATAAAAAGTTAAATACGTAAATACGTTAAAAAATAAAATTACAAAAATAATTAAAAATAAATAATTAAAAGAATATATAGATGTGTGTTATTTTGTTCTAACTGTATTGTGAAATTAATATATATATATATATATATATATATATATATATATCTCTCTCTCTCAAAATACACGTAGAACGAAATAATATATATATCTATATATCACTATATATATATATTATTATTATTATTATTATTATTATTATTATTATTATCATTTATATAGCGCCAACAGATTCCGTAGTGCTATATATATATATATATTTATATTTATGTAATATTTTTACATAATTAGGTATCTTAATTAATTACAATTAGCGGGACCTGCCTGACAACCCATGCCGAAAGTAAAGGGAATTTCATTTGCTAGCACTATATTTAACCCTATAACTTTCCAAGACACCATAAAACATGGGGGGTACTGTTCTACTCGGGAGACTTAGCTGAACACAAATATTAGTGTTTCAAAACAGTAAAATGTATTACAACGATGATATCGCCAGTAAAAGTGAAGTTTTTTGCATTTTTCACGCACAAACAGCACTTACACGGACAATATTATTGCTGTGATACATTTGACTGTTTTGAAACACAAATAATTGTGTTCAGCGAAGTCTCCCGAGTACACAGTACCCCTCATGTACAGGTTTTATGGTGTTTTCAAAAGTTACAGCGTCAAATATAAGGCTTGCATTTCATTTTTTTCACATTAAAATTCGCCAGATTGGTTAGGTTGCCTTTGAGACCCTATGGTAGCCCAAGAATGAAAATTACCCCTATGATGGCATACCATTTGCAATAGTAGACAACCCAAGGTATTGCAAACGGGGTAAGTCCAGTCTTTTTTAGTAGCCACTTAGTCACAAACACTGGCCAAAATTGGCGTTTTTTGCATTTTTCACACACAAACAAATACTAACGCTAACTTTGGCCAGTGTTTGTGACCAAATGGCTACTAAAAAAGACTGGACATACCCCATTTGCAATACCTTGGGTTGTCTACTATTGCAAATGGTATGCCATTATGGGTGTAAATTTAATTCCCGGGCTACTATACAGTCTCAAAGGCAACGTAACCAATCTGGCGAATTTCAATTTCAAATGTAACGTGCTATATTTGACCCTGTAACTTCCCAAAACGCCATAAAACCTGTACATAGGGGGTACTGTTTTACACGTGAGACTTTGCTGAATACAAATATGTGTATTTTATTGCAGTAAAAGCAAACAGTATTATGACATTGACAGTTAAAATGTCATGTAGAACTAAACAAATTAAAAAAAATCTTATTTTCTCCCATTTTTTTCATATTAAATTATGTTTCATAGCTAAATATTTGATATTAAATGAAAGCCCTGTTTCCCCTGAATAAAATGATATATAATAAGGGTGGGTGCATTTACTATGAAAGAGGTGACTTACGGTTGGACAGACATGTAGTGCAAATGCCAGATTTTGTTTACATTTTGTTTTGTTCACAACGTGTACATTTGGCTCCGTCCTTAAGGGGTTAAAACACCACCATTATTATAAACAGACCGCTGCATTCAAAAGCCACACTACACACATTTGCATGCCTGCATTCAAACTCCAACACTACATATAAAACACCCCTACATACACTCACACATACTCCATACAAAAACATGCTTACATTCTGTATGCGTAAATAGTCTCCCAAGTGCAGTAGTGATTATAGTAGTGAATATAGCTCCCAATCCCCCAAACATTAGCCTAGACGTAATGAAGGGATAAAATGATCTGTTTAATCCAGGCTCAATGGCCTGCTTTTTTATACAATACAGAAACATAACAAACATGCCCATGACACTCATAAACACACCCACAAAATGTCCACAAAATGCAATGTCACTGTGACTCAGCAATAAATGACATGACTGCTGACCCAATACCAAAAAAACCTGTTACCCCCCCAATAACGACATGACACCTGAGTGTTGGGTAAGGGCAACGGCCACAGCTTCATTTAAACTTTAACACAGCCAGCATTTTCCACCTGTCAGCTGTTGGGGTGGCTACCCAACAGACCGATACTCCAATTCTTTATCCAGAGTTCGTACAGCCTGCCTTCTGCCATCAGCCCTAGGACCAGGGCCGGACTGGGGATACAAAGCAGCCCTGGAAAAAAAATTTGTGCCAGCCCCATAAGTCACTGCGCCATATATTGTTGCGTGTAATATGTAAGGCTATGTCTTGCCAGGACAGATGATTGAGTAATATATATATATATATATATATATATATATATATTTGTGGTCAGGGCATAAGCCGTAGTATAACTTATATAAATAGGACAAACCATGAAAGGAAATGTCAGTTGTGGTGTGCCGGAACTGACGAGGAAGTAGGCCTGAAATAAAAGAGGGCCTACCTTATAAAAATGCTTATGAAAGCGGTGTGGTGGGTGGGAGAATCCGTCGCACCTAACAGGTAGTGAGGGAAGGGTCTGGAGTCCCTTAAGAAGGGTAACCCAGCCCTTCCCACAACTTCAGGCCACGCCTTCCATTTGTGGTCAGGGCATAAGCCGTAGTATAACTTATATAAATAGGACAAACCATGAAAGGAAATGTCAGTTGTGGTGTGCCGGAACTGACGAGGAAGTAGGCCTGAAATAAAAGAGGGCAAAAGAGATAACCATTTATTCGTCCTACAACCGGACATAACAGATTACAAATTCATAGTTTTGAAAGCCAGACGTACTTCTTGTATGGGCTGAGGTATGTATCTAGTGTATGCCGTAGATTTCCATCGTCCTAGTATCTGAATAATATGAGCAGGGATATTCTTTTTAGAAGCGGTGGTGGCGGCTCCTATTCTAAAAGAGTGACCAGAGTAGCTGGCTGGGTTCAGTCCTAACCGGGCTAACAATATCCTAATATACATCATGAATTGGCTCGTAGTGAGCTTATTGCCATGCAAGGACAGGAGTGGTTGTGTGGGGCCCATATTGTCAAAGGCAAGAAGTGTGTCGAAAACCTTCACCGGGCACCAAGTATTACTTGTGGGGTAATAGGGTATAGTGACCGTTTGCCCGGGGGCGCTTGTTTTGGTATGGTGCAGTAACAGAAGATAGTGATCTTGGACCTTTATGAGATCGGACCTTGTGAGGAAAAGGGGTGAGTTATAGCTAGTAGTAGTGAATTCTCTGGGCCGTAAAAACCCGTAAAATGCTAGATAGATGGCGGCTTTAATTACATGATAGGTATGAGCTTCAAAGGGTGAGGTGTCTAGTAGTTTTGACAGTGACTGAAACAATACATCGTGTATGGGTAGTCTAGTTGGTGAGGCTATAGGGGCGGAGTCTTTGATGCCTTTAAGTATAGCCTTAACTTGGTAGGACGACAGAAAGCGATGTTTGTTAGGCCAAGTGGTGAGGATGTGATGTTGAATGCCTGTGATATATAATTTGATGGTATTGTAAGATAATGTTAGACGAAAGTGGCAAAAAGAAATAAAAGCAATAATGGTTTCCATAGAAAACTGGTCAGTGACATTAAAGTCCAACAAGAATTTATTGAAACATGGAAAGCCCTTTCATATGCCTTCCTGGTATTATCGGAGAGACCGAGCTGTGAGAGTTGTCGCCCTTGACATAGCAGAACTTTTAGTCCCAGATCATTTCCTGCCACTTTGGAACTGGAGTTGGTATGAGGGCCGCTGTTGGCAGGGCCTCCCGAAACTCCTGAAACCGAGATCGTGACAAATGATCAGCTGCAATGTTGAGAACCCCAGGCACATGAACACAAGTGAGAAGAAAACTGTGTTTTGCAGCGAGCCATGTGAGAGTCCTCATGAAACGCATGATGGTGAGGGAAGAGGAACGCCCCTTGTTTACAATATGGCATGTTGCCATATTGTCCGAGAAGCAACGAACCGTATTCCCGGACCAACTTGCTCCCCACTTAACTGCTGCCGCTAAGATAGGATAGAGCTCAAACAAGGCTGATGTGTCCTTAAACCGGGGAATCTCTGTAATTTCCCTAGGCCATTCTCCCCACATCCATTCATTTCCCCATATTGCTGCAAAACCTGAGGTGGCTGCGGCATCCGTCCAGACTGACTCCGATTTCTCTGACCAAACCGGTATAAACATGCTTTTCCCGTTCCAATTTTGCAAAAACTCCCTCCACATATGTAGGTCAGCGGTGGCCTGTACGTCTAAAGTAATGCGGGAGGTGTCAGATTGCAACATTGGAAACAGGCTAAGTAACCTTGAAATGAATGCTCTACCTTGTGGAATGATTCTCATAGCGAAATTTAGAGAACCCAACAAGGATTGCAACTCCTTCCTATTGCATGAGCCTCCTCCTAAGTAAAGGTCGATAGCTGCCAGGATGCGCTCAATCTTTTCTCTGGGTAGGCTAGCTTGCATGTGTACAGAGTCCAGTACCACCCCCAAAAAGTGGATGATAGTATCCGGACCCTCAGTCTTGGTAGGTGAAATAGGCACCCCTAGTTGTGTAAACAGTTTTGTGATAGACTGGAGGCTACTGGGAGGTACTAGGTTACTTTCTATGGTCAGGAAATCGTCCAGGTAATGGATAACTGTGGGACATCTGCAGATGTTAAGCAGCATCCAGCACAACGTCTCCGCGAAGATATCGAAAATCCTAGGGCTGCTTTTTGAGCCAAACGTGAGACGCGTGAAGAAGTAATATGAACTTCGCCACTTAACACCATGCAAATGCCATAGGGATGGGTGGATAGGGAGCTGCTTAAAAGCGTTGGCAATATCAGTTTTACTTAGCCATGCCCCTACCCCTGCTGCGAGTATGGCTGTGACTGCATGATCGATGGTGGCATACTGGAGGGAAAACTCCTCGGACGGGATTAGTGAATTTAGACTTGGGGTATGAGATGCATGGGGGGCGGACAGATCGAGAATTAATCTTTGTTTATTGGAGGATTTATTGGTGACCAGTCCTATGGGGTTTGTCCTCCAAACTGCGAAAGGCGGGGGTTGAAAGGGCCTAATAAGAAACCTTGGTCAATTTCCTTCTGTAGGAGTAAGTCGATAGTGTTGGGTGCTGCCAAGGCTGTCTGCAAATTATTACATTCTAGGGTCCCCGTGGGCATGTGAATAATACCCGTGTGAAACCCCATCTTAAACCCTGTCACCAAAAAATCAACGAGATGTTGGGAAGGGTGATCCCGCAAAAGTTGTTGCAGTAGGGAGACATGAAGAGACGATAAGTACTGCTTAGGGTATAGTTTATTTGGGCACATTGCCTTGGAGTGAGCTCTGAAGCATAGTGAGCAAACATGGAGAAGTCTGCAGGCACTGTAACCGCAGGAACCTGAGTTGAAATTGTTACAGACCTGCGATTTACCCAAAAACACTATGTCACGGCCTAGTTTATCCTTAAGCACCTTGCCAGGTCTCCCAGTGGGCACTACATTAGGAGGTGGAAAAACAGCGTTTACCTCTGGGGAATTAGGGCACAGATTAGCCGTGTGAGAATTGGACGAGCAAATGGCACAAGCTGGGGTTTTTAGGCCCGCGAAGTGTCGGCAAAAAAGCTCAGTATCCAGGACGCCCCAATCCGTTTGGTAATTGAACTGTGAAAGGGCTGCCGACGCCTTCGCGGAAAAGGCACGGTGGTAGTCGTAAAAAGACGTACCACCGTACTTATGCCCCAAATCCACCAGCTTGTGGAGATACAGGTCCAATTCCTCCCTCCTATCCGGGGATACCGAGCATATTACATCTCTGTATATACCGAAAGCCAGTACAAATTCTGGTATTGATAGTTTCTGATTTAACCTGGGGTCTCTGGACTTCAATACCACTGATACATCACCGTATGCGTAGGTCTTATTCTCTAGGACATCTTGTGAGGCTATCAAAAGTGATACCAAATTGATATCTTTCCCCTCCAAGATGTCCTTCTTTGTTTTAGCAGGCACCATGTGTGCGGGGTTAATAATATGTGGGTCTTTTAACCTATGTTGTAAATTACCCGGTAGGGGGTCCAAATGGACCGAAGCGGCCGGATCCACTGCAGCAGCCAGTGACTTTTGCTGGCTATCTGCATCCATTTTGTCTAGCTTGTCAGTAATACGCCCCAAAGAGGTCAGAACTGAGGACAGAATCGTATTCAGCTCTGAAGACTGGGTGCCACTGGACCCTTCACCCGCCCCCGCGTTATCAGTCTGTGTGTTCAGCAATCTGTACAGTTCTGCTTTCCTAGCTGTAGCAGGGAAAGGAATATTTCTCTTCCTTAATTCGGCCGTGATCCTGGGAATAGTCCATGCCCTGAGTGAGGCAGGGCTTGCGATGTCGTCACCCCGAGACGGAGTGACTGATCTAGCTGGTGTACTGGGTAAGGACTCATCTTCCCTTCCTTCCGGAACTTGGGACATGCTATAACATAAAAATGACATGTTACCTGGGGTGCTATCCAACTGGCTTATGATAACTAATGCCAAGCGGCGAAGAATTATTAAGTAACGTGACAGGTGAGGCCCTGCTAGTAGCCAAGCGGCTAGGAGAGGCGCTATCTATGATTTGGCTCGTGTGGAGTACGTGGCCATTGGCATTATGGCGGGGTGGAGGCCTCTCTGTGATTTGTAACAGCATAAGACAGAATGGGAGTGACAAGTGAGGCCCTCTCTATGCAACTAAGCGAGGCGGCTAGCTATGAATGGGCCCGAGGGGATGCCGTACCTCCGAAATGAGGATGGGTGTTGGCCTCGCAGGACCACTAACGTAAGGCATAAGAGGCCAGAAAACGTAGCTAGTGGGTCCTATTTATTGTAAGCCAGTAAATCTGTACTAAGCCGAAAGGGAAGGTATGGGGAATAATAGTCGAAAAGATATGACGTACCTGATGAGCGGGTTGACAGCTATTATGAGGAAAAGGAGGTACAGACGATCTGTAGTCACCTACGAAAGTAATATACATTTGAACGGGCACAGAAATATGACCCCTAACTCCCCTGTTATTCAGATACCTACCAGCAATATTGCCCTAGCAGAGGGCTGGGCACCAATTAATAAAAGAGCAAGGATGCCTATACCTAAAATACAGAAAACACATATAAGGACCCTGGCGTAGGGTGACTGATAAGTAGAAAATAACTCGAGTGAACTGACCTAAGTCCTGTGCAAGTTGTTAGAATAGCTGCCCACCGTGGAAATGCAGAGAAAATACTGAAAAGAGTTTAAAAGACATCTTAAGTGCTAATCATGCATATATAAATTCCCAATACCATGATCCGTAGTCATTGTTAGGCTAGCAGCCTAATAATTGTATTAAAATACGCGCCCAACATAAAAGTATCTGCACACATTGCTGGTTGTAACCTCATATGACAAACTTGCTTAAATAACTGCAAACTTTATGAACTTAAAATAGCATAAATGACAGAACAGGTACAAGAAACTCTAATCACAATTTTAGACACCAGAGGTCGCTCTGGAGCCTATACCAGTGTATGATTTTAAGTAACAGCGTTTTAATGAAATGGACACAAGAATAAAAGTAACGTGAGAAATAAGCATAAGTGTGCTTATAAAGTGACAAAGTATCAAGACGTGAATAGGTTGTTGTATAACATTGTATTATACTGGTACTTTGTGAGCGTGTAGCATATTGACCCTTAGTGATGACGTAAAACGGCCGCGCCGCCAAATTTGCGACGGCCGTTTTAACTTAAGATTTGCAGCGTGAAAATTTGCCCGCCGATTGCCCGACCTAGCGCGCACCAACCCGTGGTATCCGGAGGTAATCCTGGATGCCTCCGAAAAACTGCCCGACCTAACGCGCACCAGCCCGCCGGAAACTGCTGTCCGAAACCGGAAGTGACGAATACTTCCCCAGCAATCCGTCGAACCTAACAGGTAGTGAGGGAAGGGTCTGGAGTCCCTTAAGAAGGGTAACCCAGCCCTTCCCACAACTTCAGGCCACGCCTTCCATATATATATATATATATATATATATATATATATATATATAATATACTCTCTTATACTTATACTCATATATATATATATACAGCTTCTTTTCTAATATAAAATATTGGTCCCTTTCAGGGTAAAGCGTTTCGGTATACGGTAAGCGCCACTCCCAGCAGACACGGGCAATTTCACTGACATTTCAGTAGCCACACACAAGCGCTCATTGATACACAGACCTCATAAGACAAACAATGCACAGTATACATCAGCTCGGTGACATAAAACACAAAACTACTCACTATGAGCACCGCGTACAGAAGCAAGCTCTACTCACACTAGCAGGCAGCGCACACACACAGCTTAATGTGGTGGTACTGGTGTCTATAGCATGTCCCTACAGGCTTTTCAACGTAAACACTGACTTTTCAGAGAAAAGGCAGTGTTTATATTGCTTCAAAGTGACACTGCTATTGACAGTCACTCAGACGGTCACTAGAGGTGCTTCCTGTGTTAGTGCACCTACATTCAGGGCCTCCACACTCTGTAGGTGCTGAACGTTCCCCATAGAGATACATTGATTCAATGCATCTCTATGAGGAGATGCTGATTGGAGTGGCGTTTTGCAGCCAATCCTATGGCAAAACATTGGATTGGCTGAGATCATCAAGCTTGATGATCTCAGCTATAGAGGCAGGGCCAGTCGAGGGGAGACCAGCACGCTGCGTGGGGAAAAAAAAAGGTGAGCAAAAACACTATTTTTAACACACATTTACACCATGACAGACACAGAAACACACCTATACCATGACAGATACACACCCCATGACGGACAGACAGACACACACACACCCCATGACGGACAGACAGACACACACACAC